CCTTATGTCTAAAGACCAATTCATTCTTTATGGTGATTTTAGGGAATAATACTGTAATGCTCTTCATTGTATGGGGGAAACTCATTCACATTCACCACCAATATGTAGCATCCACCTGGATGGGTCTGCATAGCCATAGTCAAAATGATATTATTTGTGAACCAAAACAACTGGCAACTTTGTTCATGCTCACAGATCATAGATCTGTGTTGACATACATACTCATCCCTAAAATGTGATGTCTGTGCGGTCAGCCAAAGCAACTCTGAATTTTTAAACCAGCCCAGACCCTGACCCAGACCCAGACCCTGACCCTGACCCTGACCCAGACCCTGACCCAGACCCAGACCCTGACTGACCCAGACCCTGACCCAGACCCAGACCCAGACCCTGACCCAGACCCTGACCCAGACCCAGACCCAGACCCAGACCCAGACCCAGACCCTGACCCAGACCCAGACCCAGACCCTGACCCTGACCCAGACCCTGACCCAGACCCAGACCCTGACCCAGACCCTGACCCTGACCCTGACCCAGACCCTGACCCTGACCCTGACCCTGACCCTGACCCAGAACCAGACCCAGACCCTGACACTGACCCAGACCCAGACCCTGACCCAGACCCAGACCCTGACCCAGACCCAGACCCAGACCCTGACCCTGACCCAGACCCTGACACTGACCCAGACCCAGACCCAGACCCTGACCCTGACCCAGACCCAGACCCTGACCCTGACCCTGACCCAGACCCAGACCCAGACCCTGACACTGACCCAGACCCAGACCCAGACCCTGACCCTGACCCAGACCCAGACCCAGACCCAGACCCAGACCCTGACCCAGACCCAGACCCAGACCCTGACCCAGACCCAGACCCAGACCCAGACCCAGACCCTGACCCTGACCCTGACCCTGACCCTGACCCAGACCCAGACCCAGACCCTGACCCAGACCCTGACCCTGACCCTGACCCTGACCCAGACCCTGACCCTGACCCTGACCCTGACCCAGAACCAGACCCAGACCCTGACACTGACCCAGACCCAGACCCTGACCCAGACCCAGACCCTGACCCAGACCCAGACCCAGACCCTGACCCTGACCCAGACCCTGACACTGACCCAGACCCAGACCCAGACCCTGACCCTGACCCAGACCCAGACCCTGACCCTGACCCTGACCCAGACCCAGACCCAGACCCTGACACTGACCCAGACCCAGACCCAGACCCTGACCCAGACCCAGACCCAGACCCAGACCCAGACCCAGACCCTGACCCAGACCCAGACCCAGACCCAGACCCTGACCCAGACCCAGACCCAGACCCAGACCCTGACCCAGACCCTGACCCTGACCCTGACACTGACCCAGACCCAGACCCAGACCCTGACCCAGACCCAGACCCAGACCCTGACACTGACCCAGACCCAGACCCTGACCCTGACCCTGACCCAGACCCTGACCCTGACCCAGACCCTGACCCAGACCCAGACCCTGACCCTGACCCAGACCCTGACCCTGACCCAGACCCAGACCCAGACCCTGACCCAGACCCAGACCCAGACCCTGACCCTGACCCTGACCCAGACCCAGACCCAGACCCTGACCCTGACCCAGACCCTGACCCTGACCCAGACCCTGACCCAGACCCTGACCCAGACCCAGACCCTGACCCTGACCCAGACCCAGACCCAGACCCTAAAGCCTTCCCTCAACCCTAGACACCACTGAGCAGCTGCTGAGCTAAACAGCTCTTGTGTTTGTATGCTCAGTCTGGCTGACAGATCCCTTCTGCAGTCAGAGGAACACAAACAAAGGAGAGGAAAGAGGGGGACTACGCTTGAGAGCCGTCCTAGAGAAGAAAGAAAGAGGGTAAAGAGAGAGAGAACGAGGGATTAGGGTTAGACGGGAGCGGGGCCGGAGTGTGGGAGCCACAAGGGCACACGCAGGATCAAAGGTCACCTCAGACAGCCTCTAACAGGATTAAATGATGCTGTCCACTCATCAGGACGACGCCCAGAATCACAGATTTCTCTGTCTCTGTCTCTCATTCTCTCTGTCTCTCTCTCTCTCTCTCTCTCTCTCTCTCTCTCTCTCTCTCTCTCTCTCTCTCTCTCTCTCTAACAGGAGATAGTGCTGGTGGTGTTATTTGGTGTGGAGTATGGTGTGCGGCTGTGGTCAGCAGGGTGCCGTAGTAAATATGTTGGCGTCTGGGGCCGGCTGCGCTTTGCCAGGAAGCCTATCTCCATCATCGGCAAGTGACTGGAGCACACTCCACGCTGGTTTCCTCAGTCTTCAGATTAAATAAGATAAAAACATGTACAATAATGCCAATTATTATTCAGTATGCAAATAGATATCCTAATTAAGTAACAGTGATAATTTAACATCCGTCGGAACCCTCCTGTAACATGGTTCCCTCCTGTAACATGGTTCCCTCCTGTAACATTGTTCCATCCTGTAACATGGTTCCCTCCTGTAACATGGTTCCCTCCTGTAACATGGTTCCCTCCTGTAACATTGTTCCATCCTGTAACATGGTTCCCTCCTGTAACATGTTCCATCCTTTACATGGTTCCCTCCTGTAAAACGCTACCCTCCTGTAATATTGTTCCATCCAGTAACATGGTTCCCTCCTGTAACATTGTTCCATCCTGTAACATGGTTCCCTCCTGTAAAACGCTACCCTCCTGTAATATTGTTCCATCCAGTAAACATGGTTCCCTCCTGTAACATTGTTCCATCCTGTAACATGGTTCCCTCCTGTAAAACGGTACCCTCCTGTAATATTGTTCCATCCTGTCACATGGTTCCCCTCCACTGTGTGCTTCTCTGCAGATTTGATTGTAGTGGTGGCCTCCATCATCGTGCTGGTAGTAGGCTCCAATGGACAGATGTTTGCCACGTCTGCTGTCAGGTAAGACACTGGCCCTCGACTCTCATGTCCAACGTTTTCTAAGTTTACAACATTATTATGCAGGGCTCCAGACTGCAACCATTTAGTTGCATTTTGCGACCCTTTGACTTGGCTATTGTGAGTGCCGTTTCTTATTGGTCGAATTGGTGCAAGCTGCACATTCTACATGGTCACCGCACTCCAAACTTCCTTTTTAGGAGGCTAAAACCATGATTTGGTCAAATGATTCCTGTAATGAAGGTCTCTGCTCTGCCCCTGTGCCTGTTCTGCTGGGGCCTGCTGCTGTAATGAGTTAGCCACTCACTCACTCTCTCCCCGCATTCCGGGATATTTTTTATTTTCTTCTGATTGTATAGGCTGTAACATTTCAAAATCAAATTGTGGGTAATACACAGCTTTGGAAGCCACTACGGTTGTCGCTGTTGTCCCTGTTGAAGAGAGGAGGTTCTCAGCTTTCTGTAGATATAGTTTATATTTCTCCGCTCTCAGTATTCAGCTCTATAGCACAACTATTTTACAACCAAGATATTTGATATGGCTTTGAGATATGCAGCTTGAGAATTGCGCTTTGGCCATTGCGAGTGCATAGCCTTATTGGGTAGTAGGTTACAACTCCAATGTTTTTTTTAGCACATTGAATTGACTGTTAGATTAATACATTGCCACCAGCAGTGGGTATTATGTTTTAGAGTTCAAATCAAATCAAATCACATTTTATTTGCCACATGCGCCGAATACAACAGGTGTAGACATTAGGGTGACATGCTGACTTACAAGCCCATAACCAACTAGTTAGTGATCTAGCTATTGTGTTTTTAGTTTCTACTTACTCAGGTGGTGAAGTAGCCCCCCAAAAAATAAGCCTATGATATTATTGCAAAGAAAGATGTGGACAAATGTATCTCTATTGAACAAAATAAAAATCTGGACATTTTGGAGCCGTATTTCAACAGTAAAATGTAACAACAATACCCTATTTGTCCCAAAATTCATGACATCACTGGATTCGTTTTTTTTTTAAATTATTTTTTAAAATATCTTGAATCATGGATCCCTGCATGGACATGTTAGATGAAACAACTTATTTCTTGAATATCATCTCAGTAGTCTGTCTATAACTGAATTACTTTATAAGATGATTACAACATTTTTTTTCTATTGTGTGATGCTGTGGGAAAGAAATTGGTGCCAGCAGTTCCACCAGGTGAAAATGTTTGTCTGGAGTCCCGATCATGAGACAGAGAGTGTGTGTTTGTTCCAGAGGGATTCGCTTCCTGCAGATCCTGCGTATGCTCCATGTGGACCGGCAGGGAGGGACGTGGCGTCTGCTGGGCTCTGTGGTCTTCATCCACAGGCAGGTCAGTTTGGGTCCCTGAAAAGCGCTGTATAAATAACATGCATTCTTATTATTATGAGTTGTTCACTGAGAAACAGACTTGACAAACACTAACACACACACTCGTAATTTAATGCTGAACACTTGAGCGTCAATTGTTTTGTTTGTTATTAATAACTTTATTCCTCCTAGATAACTATGTTTAATAACTTGTCTCTCTGTGTGTGTGTGTGTGTGTGTTTCCAGGAGCTCATCACCACGCTGTACATTGGTTTCCTGGGGCTCATCTTCTCCTCCTATTTTGTGTACCTGGCAGAGAAGGATGCTGTGGACAGCAATGGAGCCACTGAGTTCGGGAGCTACGCTGACGCGTTGTGGTGGGGGGTGGTAAGGCTGCTGTGTGTGGGTTCGTGCGTGTGTGTGTGTGCGTGCATGCGTGTGTGTGTCACAGTAGGTTGGTGGCACCTTAATTGGGGAGAACGGGTTCGTTCTATTGACTGGAGAGGAATGAGTGTAATGGTATCAAATCCATCAAACACATGGTTTCCATGTGCTCCGTTCCAGAAATTATTATGAGCCGTTCTCCCTCAGCAGACTCCATATGGGCTGTTGTGGATGTGGTGTGTGTGTGTATGTAGTTGTGTGTGTGTGTGTGTGTTTGTGTGTTGTGTGTGTGTGTGTGTGTGTGGTTGTGTGGCGTGTGTGTGTGTGTCTGCGCATGTCAATAATTGCTAGTGTGTAGTGGTGTCTTGTGTTGGTGTGGGTTGGGTTTGTGCTGTGTAGGCATGGTGGTGGTTGTGTTCATTCCGGTTCACTTAACAGGGCGGAAGTCTGCTAAATGAGTCTCTATCTAAATGTTTGTTTCTGCAGGTGACCGTCACCACTATAGGCTATGGAGACAAGGTGCCTCAGACATGGATCGGCAAGACCATTGCATCATGTTTCTCAGTCTTTGCCATTTCCTTCTTCGCCCTACCAGCTGTAAGTGTCAGGTGGAAAGATACTGTTTGTTCATCAGTCACACAGTGAGTGTAAGTGTCCGGAGTAATCAGGTGGAAAGATACTGTTTGTTCATCAGTCACACAGTGAGGTACACTCTTATTCGTTTGTCCCAATAGGATAAGCTTTTTTGGTTACAGGTGGAACCCTTTGGTGGTGAAAAAGGTTATACTAAGAACATTTTAGTGGTGAAATGGTTCCTTGTATTAGTGAAAGGGTTCCACTTGGAACCCAAAATAGTTATTTTCAGAGGGTTCTCCTTAGGGGACAATTGAAGAACCCTTTATGGTAATAAGTTGCGCCTTCTTTTCTAAGAGTGTAGTAATCCACAATGTTTGTTTGCAGGGGATCCTGGGTTCAGGCTTTGCCTTGAAGGTCCAACAGAAACAGAGGCAGAAGCACTTCAACAGACAGATCCCTGCAGCTGCCATTCTCATCCAGGTGAGTCTGACAGAGACAGTCCCAGTGAAACCGACATCGGTGTGCTAAATAAGCAATATTAGCTTCATCCTCTCTGAGTACAGTAAACTGTCTGTTCCACAGCTCCAACCCGGGGCCCTCTGCCTCGCTAACACGCTTGACCGCCCTCCTTGACAACGTACGAACCAGTTGAGCTATAGAAAAGGATCCAATTTGATGGCACAATTGGCGACATTTCAAGCTAGCCGTGAAGTGAGCTTTTCGGCCCGTTCTTATCTCCGTTACACCAGCATGCTCTTTTAGTTCACAGCAACTCTTGCATTTCAGAAAACATGTTATTCTGGAGATGCTGTGGAACATGGTTAGGTAGATGCGTTCCTCACTATTCCTTTAAAAGTACTTTATCTCGGGTCAACTGTGGTGTAGATTCTAGTCTTTGCCTGCAATGTTAATGTCTGTTTATTTCCTTATCACATTCTCTGTCCAGACTTCGTGGAGGGTCTTTGCCGTGGAGAACCCTGACTCGGCCACCTTCAAGATGTTTGTGAGGAGGAGACCTGCTCTGCCCAGCTTCTCTGAATCCAGTCCCAAGCCCAAGAAAACGGTCAGCTGTCACTATGGTCCTACATATCCATATAGAATCACTGGTTATCAGATCGATGCTATTTAAATGATTCATTCATTAATTTATCAATCCATTCATCCATACAACCATCCATTTATACACCCACCCATTTACCCACCTATCCATTTATCTGTCCATCCAGCCATCTACCGTTCATCCATCCCTCCCTCCATCCATCCACCCACCCATCCATCCATCCATCCAGCCATCTACCGTTCATCCATCCCTCCATCCATCCACCCATCCATCCATCCATCCACCCAACCTTCTATCCATCCATCCATCCATCCATCCATCCATCCATCCATCCATCCATCCATCCATCCATCCATCCATCCATCCATCCATCCATCCATCCATCCATCCATCCATCCATCCATCCATCCATCCATCCATCCATCCATCCATCCATCCATCCATCCATCCATCCATCCATCCACCCACCCACCCACCCATCCATCCATCCATCCATCCATCCATCCATCCATCCATCCATCCACCCAACCTTCTATCCATCCATCCATCCACCACCCTTCCATCCATCCATCCATCCATCCATCCATCCGTCCATCCATTCATTGACACCTGTCCCTCTGTAAAACAGGTGAAGCTGAGGAGGAAGTTGAAGAGCACTGAGAAGGACAACGGGCCTGGTTCTCCCACTGTTCCCAGTATCACCTACGACTCTGTGTTCAATAGTGAGAGGGAGCTCAGCTCTGACGTCTACAGCACTGTGTGCACAGGTAGGAGGGGTACAGTCCTGTAGATATTTACACTGCATCATAGTGGCTTGGAGTAGCCTATAGGCGGCAGTTCACCCACATATTAATGGCACTCTGTCGGGGGGTATCAGAGTCAATACCATTTCTGTCAATTGAAAGATGTTTAATTTAATTCATGAATTAGACATTCTCTTCTCTTTACCTCTCTGTTTTTCCATCTCTCCCTCTCTCTTTTTCCCTAACTGCTGTTTCTGGCTTCTGTTTAGCCAAAGCCCGAGGATGTGGTGAGCTCCTGTTAGTGTCCACTCCTCCTGTCCAGTCACTGTCCTCTTGACCAATCACTCTCACTGTTACTGTCCTCTTGACCAATCACTCTCACTGTCACTGTCCTCTTGACCAAATACTCTCACTGTCACTGTCCTCTTGACCAAATACTCTCACTGTCACTGTCCTCTTGACCAATCACTGTCACTGTTACTGTCCTCTTGACCAATCACTGTCACTGTCCTCTGGACCAAATACTCTCACTGCTACTGTCCTCTTGACCAATCACTGTCACTGTTACTGTCCTCTTGACCATTCACTGTCACTGTTACTGTCCTCTTGATCATTCACTGTCACTGTCCTCTTGACCAATCACTGCATCTGTCACTGTCCTCTTGACCAATCACTGTCTCTGTTACTGTTATATCTGTCTCTCACTGCCTGCTCCTTCTGTATAGTTGTGTGTAGGTATATAATATAGTTGACCCTTTAGTCAGTCAACTGCAGATCAATCAGTCTTCAGTTGAATGTGTGGGTCCCAGCACATTTTCTTGCTTGTTGGGGTTTTAGGCTGGGTATCTAAATTATAAAGCACTTTGTGACAACCGCTGATGTAAAAAGGGCTTTATAAAATATATTTGAAATTTGAATGCATACAAAGATAACCCCAACCCATTACCCCATCAGTCCCCATCCACCCGCCCGCATCCTCCCTCCCCCCAAGAAACCATGTTTCCCAATCTGCCTACCCCCCCCCCCCCCCCCCCCCCGACCCGAAGAAAGCATGGAGCTACTAGATTGCTAGCTACATGATCCTGTTGTGTGTCTGTCTCCATCCCTCCCTCCCCTCCTCTTCTTGGTCTCACAGATACCCAGCAGTCCTGGACCTCGCTTTCCTCCCTTACATTCAGCTCACCACTCCCAGGTAACAAAGCAGTGACCTGTTTTGTTTTCGCTACAGGAATAGATAAATGAGAAAGGCTTGCATGGATTTTTTGAAATTACAGTATAAGATCACAGGGAAATCTTCTGTCACTTTGGCTCTGCATATTCTGAGCGTGTGTGTGTGTGTGTGTGTGTGTGTGTGTGTGTGTGTGTGCCTGCCTGCGTGCGTGCGTGGGACTGTGTGTGTGTTGGCAGTGAAAAAGAGCCCTGGTTTGTTGGAGGTGCAGCCCCCTCGTCCCCTCCAGAGGAACAGCAGCTTGGACCTGGACCAGGAGGATCAGTGTGTTCTGACACCGGTCACCCACGTGTCACAGTGAGTCTGTTTCCCTTTCAGTCTGTGGTCTATCACCCACGGGTCACAGTGAGTCTGTTTCCCTTTCAGTCTGTGGTCTATCACCCACGTGTCACAGTGAGTCTGTTTCCCTTTCAGTCTGTGGTCTATCACCCACGTGTCACAGTGAGTCTGTTTCCCTTTCAGTCTGTGGTCTATCACCCACGTGTCACAGTGAGTCTGTTTCCCTTTCAGTCTGTGGGCTATCACCCACGTGTCACAGTGAGTCTGTTTCCCTTTCAGTCTGTGGTCTATCACCCACGTGTCACAGTGAGTCTGTTTCCTTTCAGTCTGTGGTCTATCACCCACGTGTCACAGTGAGTCTGGTTCCCTTCAGTCTGTGGTCTATCACCCACGTGTCACAGTGTGAGTCTGTTTCCCTTTCAGCTGTGGGCATCCCACCCACGTGCACAGTGAGTCTGTTTCCTTTTCAGTTGTGGTATATCACCCAGTTGTCACAGTGAGTCTGTTTCCTTTCAGTCGTGTCGATCACCCACAGTGTCACCAGTGAGTTGTTCCCTTTCAGTCTGTGGGTCTATCACCCCAAACGTGTCACAGTGAGTCTGTTTCTTTCAGTCTGTGGTTCTATCACCCACGTGTCCACAGGGAGGTCTGTTCTTTACAGTCTGTGGTTTATCAACCACGTGCACAGTGAGTCTATCCATTTCAGTCTGTGGTCTATAACCCACGGTCACAGTGAAGTCTGTTTCCCTTCAGTCTGTGGTCTATCACCAAGTGCACAGTGAGTCGTTTCCCTTTCAGTTGTGGGTATAACCCACGTTGTCACATGAGGTCTGTTTTCCTTGCAGTCTGTGGCTCTCAACCACGTGTCACAGTGAGTATGGTTTCCTTTCAGGTCTGTGGTCTATCACCCACGTGTCACAGTGAGTCTGTTTCCCTTTCAGTCTGTGGTCTATCACCCACGTGTCACAGTGAGTCTGTTTCCTTTCAGTCTGTGGGCTATCACCCACGTGTCACAGTGAGTCTGTTTCCTTTCAGTCTGTGGTCTATCACCCACGTGTCACAGTGAGTCTGTTTCCTTTCAGTCTGTGGTCTATCACCCACGTGTCACAGTGAGTCTGTTTCCCTTTCAGTCTGTGGTCTATCACCCACGTGTCACAGTGAGTCTGTTTCCCTTTCAGTCTGTGGTCTATCACCCACGTGTCACAGTGAGTCAATTACATAATGACATCATCATAAGCCTGCTCTCTGATTGGTCCCTTCATAATGACATTTCTGTAACCCTGCTCTGAGTGGTCTATTCATAATTACATCATCATAACCCTGCTGTCGGATTGGTCCATTCATTATGACATCATCATAACCCTGATCTCGGATTGGTCCATTCATTATGACATCATCATAACCCTGCTCTCTGATTAGTCCATTCATTATGACATTGTCATAACCCTGCTCTCTGATTGGTCCCTTCGTTATGACATCATCATAACCCTGCTCTCGGACTGGTCCCTTCATAATGACATCATCATAACCCTACTTTCTGATTGGTCCCATCATAATGACATCATCATAACCCTACTTTCTGATTAGTCCCATCATAATGACATCATCACAGTGAGTCTGTTTCCCTTTCAGTCTGTGCTCTATTTCTAGCCTGAGCCTCAGTTACTGTAACAGTGGTTGTACGGTGAACCGAGCTCTCTTGATGATGACTAACCTTGTCTGATACTGGAAGACTTAGCTCCCTGAGGACACACACAGACAGACACAAAGACGCATGCGCACACACACACACACACACGCACGCACGCACGCACGCACGCACGCACGCACGCACGCACGCACGCACGCAAGCACAGACACACACCACACGACACACACGTTATATGTGATCATCATCCTAAAGCCAACTTGACACAACCCAACAAAAGTTGTAAATGGGCTTAGTTCCTGTCCACTGAAGCTCCATCTTAACAAGGGGTATGGTCCTGCTATCTATCAGGGCATCAACTGGGTTTTGCACCCTGGCTGGCTAAACCCTTGAACCAGAAGGCCCCATTAAACAATGCTCCTTACTTAAACAAGCAGGGACCACTGTGTCCATGCCTATTCACTTTCTATGCATATTAGACTGATTTATCCTTCACCAGTAAGGTATATCATTGGTTGATTGGGGCCTGTGACTCCAACAATGGGTGGCTACTGGCTAGTCGCTATAGATGCAGGCTTATTATGGGTAGATTTTGCTCAGATGACACAGCAGTTATTTGAGATCTTCCTACTGGCCTTTTAATGTTTCTTGCATGTGTTGTATTTTCACCAACAAGATAAGGTTTCAATTTGTTCCTGTTTATCTTTATCCTGATTGCAGTGGTGGGCAGTCGAGAAGGTAGCTCCTTTCTTTCCCATCATGGGAGGGCACTGTAGAGGTCATGAATGGCAGGCAGCTACTGTACAGTTCCCTGGTAGATAACAGCCAAGATGACTCCACGATCTTTAGCACAATGCTAGCAGGGGAGGGCGGCCATTTTGTGATAGTGCTGCTGTTTGTAGTTTGAGTTAAGACTCCCCTCGGTCATTGGCAGCTACTAGTATGAAGATAGAGAAGCACCAACAGACATTCATAACGTGCCAAATCATCAAAGATGTTAACTCATCTTGGTTGTTTTCGGCCTAAAAAAGTAGGATGAGTCAACATTGCTTGCCAGAGATCCTCATCTAGCATTGTGATGGCCAGAGTCTCAGCTGCTCTGAGATCAGAGAGAGAGGGAGTGGCTGTTTAGACCAGGGTGTTGACACTAGTAATTACATGACCTTTTCCTGTCACTTTCAGCTCCTTTGATATGCCTTCCTTGTTGTTGTCCCCAACAAACAAACAAACAGAAAGACAGACAGACAGACACAGTCCAGACCCCCAGAACCACACTACCAAGGTCATTTCTCCTCTTATCACCCAAGTGTCACTTCGGTGAAAGAGGGGGAGAGACGGAGAGAGAGTTAGAGAGAGGGGGGGATTGTATCCATGGGTGTTTGTCTAGGCAAGGGGATAAAGTGAATGCATCGTCTTCTAGGTTTAGGCTTGGTGTGTCTGGTTGTCTAGGCCAGGGGATAAAGTGAATGCATCGTCTTCTAGGTTTAGGCTTGGTGTGTCTGGTTGTCTAGACCAGGGGATAAAGTTAATGCATCGTCTTCTAGGTTTAGGCTTGGTGTGTCTGGTTGTGTAGGGCTGGTAAGACTACTGCAAGAGTGCAGGGACGACACAATGAAATAGACTATTAGTTACCTACCCAGTCACTCTCTTTCCATCTGTCTCTCAATTCCTCTTTCTCTATGGTTCCCCTTCTCACTCCTCCCCAGATCAAAGTGGCATGCCGCTGGCTCCCTCACTGTTCTATCAGGGTGATGAGACCTGACATGCTACAGGTTCTATTAGGGTGATGAGGTCTGACAGACTACAGGTTATATCAGGGTGATGAGGTCTGACAGACACAGGTTATATCAGGGTGATGAGGTCTGACAGACACAGGTTCTATCAGGGTGATGAGGTCTGACAGACACAGGTTCTATCAGGGTGATGAGGCCTGACAGACACATGTTCTGTCAGGGTGATGAGGTCTGACAGACTACAGGTTATATCAGGGTGATGAGGCCTGACAGACTACAGGTTCTATCAGGGTGATGAGGCCTGACAGACTACAGGTTCTATCAGGGTGATGAGGCCTGACAGACTACAGGTTCTATCAGGGTGATGAGGCCTGACAGACTACAGGTTATATCATGGTGATGAGGCCTGACAGACACAGGTTCTATCAGGGTGATGAGGTCTGACAGACACAGGTTCTATCAGGGTGATGAGGTCTGACAGACACAGGTTCTATCAGGGTGATGAGGTCTGACAGACTACAGGTTCTATCAGGGTGATGAGGCCTGACAGACACAGGTTCTATCAGAGTGATGAGGTCTGACAGACACAGGTTCTATCAGGGTGATGAGGTCTGACAGACTACAGGTTCCCACTAATGGATGCTAAGTACCAGGACCAGCCACCACTTAGTTAAAGCACTACTCTGAGCATAGTTTTTACAATGACACTCAAAGACAGATTCACTTTATCAGAGGCAAATGACAGAGAAATTGAGCTTAAACATCAATGTTTCTGAGCCACATACATGTATATTCATCAATATATTCATTTTTATTTACAGTATGTTACTGACTGGTTGAATAAATGTTGTTTCCACGTAATTTCAACAACAAAAAATGTTATGTGATGACGTTGAATCAACGTGGAAAACTGATTGGATTTGCAAAAAGTCAACATAAGGGAATTTAGTATTTTTCACCCAAAAAGTTTACCTAAATCCAATGACAACTCAACCAAATGTAAATCAAAAAGTAGATGTTACACTTTTGTCTGTGCCCAGTGGGCAGTGATTGCTGATAAAGAAGCCTCAGGATAATCAGCCCTAAACTCTCTGCTGGAAGTGTAGTCTGTAGGGAATGGCCCCATCTCAATCTGCCTCAATCTGTTTATTCAGAAGAAATGAGGCCGGTGGTCAATTTAGGCAGCGTTTATGCAGACACACCCTGACACTCTTCAGCTGTAGAATGACCCTCATGCTGTAGGGCAGGGATTCTCAACTGGAGGTTTTGAGTGGGTCATTGGTGTCTGCAGTATTACTTTAGTGTGTTGTTGAAAACAGGATGAATATTTTTGTTCTGTACCGGCTTCCTTCTTTTCACGCTGTCATTTAGGTTAGTATTGTGGAGTAACTACAATGTTGTTGATCCATCCTCAGTTTTCTCCTATCTCAACCATTAAACTCGGTAACTGTCTTGTTTACATTTTTAAAATTCAGGCTGTAACACAACAAAATGTGGAAAAAAGTGAAAGGCTGTGAATACTTTCTGAATACTACGCTATAACTATCACTCATAGCCGTCTCTCTCATGCAGGCTACAGGGGACCCACAGAGCAGCTATCCAGGTGATCCTACGGATGCGTTACTTTGTCGCCAAGAAGAGATTCCAGGTGGGTACGTTTGTAGGAGTGTTTTTGACCAGCAGATCGATCCACTGCATTGACAGAAAGCACTACCTACATTCTGATATAGGCTACCACACCCGGGTTCAAATACTATTTCAGGTATTTCAAATACATTTCAAAACAAGTATTCAGATAACCTTTATTTGAAAAAGCAAGTAGTTGAATATTGGAATGTATTTGCAAATACACTTGGAAAGTATAAAACAAATACTCAAATACACTGACTCAAATGCATTTAACCCATGCTTTTGAAAAAGGTATTTGAAACAAGTATTTGAAAGTACTTTCAAATACATTTTGGTCGACAATTTGGTTCGTACAAATAACCATCCAAATCCTCAAATAAAAGTACTAGTTTTGGGCTGTTCATTAGAAAATACTCAAATACACAGAAAAAAAGTATTTAAATAACAAATACTCAAATACACAGAAAAAAGTAGTTAAATAACAAATACTCAAATACACATGTATTTGAACCCAGGTCTAAAGGCTGCTGCTATTTCAGCTCTTTCCTCCTTCCCTCTCTATCCTAACACCATTACAATCCACTCCATACATTCAGACGTTCCCCATTCTTCCCTCCTCTCTCACCCCCCCTATCCTGGTTCTGTCTGGTTGCCCTCAGCAGTCAGCACACAGCATATCCTGTTTAGCAGCAGGCTGTTAGCCGCAGACTAGCGCTAGGTAGCGCTTGGGACAATGATGTCACGCTGATGACTGTTTACCCTCCTCTTAACGGGTCTGCCTGTCCTGACGTCATCTTAACGGGTCTGCCTGTCCTCACGTTGGTGTAACTGTTTGCCTTCCAGACAGGCTGCCTTGATCAAGTCACACTGGGACTCCAGGACAAACAGGCAGCTTCACACGCCTATCTGAGCGGTGTTGCGGAGCTCAGCCGAAAACTAACAGAGTCAATCAATGAAGAGACTCTTCCCTCAGACAGAGTTGTGTGTTTGCCTTGGTGTCTGTGTGTGACTGAGTTCTCAGTCGTGTGTGTGTTTGGGGGGGGTGGGGGTGATGACTGTGTAGGGGGGGGCGGAGTGACTGTGTGTGTGTGTGTGGGGGGGGAAAGGGGGGGGGGGACTGTGTGTGTGTGGGGAGTGACTCTGTGTGTTGGGGGGGGGGGGGGGGGGGGGCTGACTGTGACTGTGTGTGTGTGTGTGTGTGTGTGTGTGTGTGTGTGTGTGTGTGTGTGTGTGTGTGTGTGTGTGTGCAGAATGTCTTTATGTTTGGTGTGAAGTAGAGGTGTTTGATCTGGTTACACATATATATATATTTGGAACACCATCTACTGTGATGCTGTGTTGAAGTACAGTAACGCCCTCATCTGAGTCCACGTCAGTCGAGGCCTGAGTTCAGCTGAGGTAGCTAGTCTACTCTACTGGCTACAGGCCCACTGCTGCGCTGCTCTACCCTGTTCTACCCTGCACGGCACGCACTCAACAGAGAAATTGACTCTACAGTCAAACACACCTAGTGGCTGGCTCATGAATGATAGATTGTCTGTTTATGACTGAGAAAAAACACTCAAAGTGGATTAACACCATGAGGGTTTTAAGTCATAGTTCTCAGATTAAAGTGGGTTAACAAAATGAGGGTTTTAAGTCAGTTCTCAGATTAAAGTGGGTTAACACCATGATGGTTTTAAGTCATAGTTCTCAGATTAAAGTGGGTTAACACCATGAGGGTTTTAAGTCATAGTTCTCAGATTAAAGTGGGTTAACACCATGAGGGTTTTAAGTCAGTTCTCAGATTAAAGTGGGTTAACACCATGATGGTTTTAAGTCATAGTTCTCAGATTAAAGTGGGTTAACACCATGAGGGTTTTAAGTCATAGTTCTCAGATTAAAGTGGGTTAACACCATGAGGGTTTTAAATCATAGTTCTCAGCTTAAAGTGGGTTAACACCATGAGGGTTTTAACTCAGTTCTCAGCTTAAAGTGGGTTAACAAAACAAGTGTTTTAAGTAATAGTTTTCAGATTTAAAGCTGGATATGTAACTTTTTGGGGCGTCTGTGTATTCTCTTGACTGCTTTCAATCATTTTGTGTGCGGGTGGTATGACTGTCTTTGATGTGCTTACATCGGAGAGAGATCTTTTCAGATATTCTCTCTAGTCTCCAACTCCAACTTCTTTTCACAAACTGTGCTAGAAAGTCTTATTTTACAAGATGGCAGCTTTTTGATCTGTTGAGTTCTTTTTGAGTTTTTAACACTGTGTGTTCTGCAGCAAGCGCGTAAGCCCTATGATGTGCGAGATGTGATCGAGCAGTATTCCCAAGGACACCTGAATCTCATGGTGCGCATCAAGGATCTACAGAGGAGGTGGGATGCATCTCAAACTCTCATGAGTCCCATTCATTTGAAATTGATATCAAGGCCTTTATGCGGGTTAGCTCATCCATTGCAATTAACTCACTGATAAAAGTGCATATGAGTTGCACACTACAGACCCACTGGGCACAGACGTCCGTTCAACGTCTAGTTTTGATTTACATTTAGTTGAGTTGTCAACTAATGTGACAAATCCATGCCATTGGATTTAGGTTAAAGGTTGGGTGAAAAAAAAGACGAATGTCCTTACGTTGGTGACTTTTTGCAAAACCAATTAGTTTTCTACGTTGATTCAACATCATCGCATTGATTTTTTGGGGGTTGAAATGACATGGAAACAACATTGATTCAACCAGTTTTTGCCCAGTGGCGATGCAGTCTTTTTTTTTGCCACACTCGTCTGTGTCAAAATCCACTGAGATTGATTTTTTACTGCAATAAATTGAAATATCACCAGGGAAATTACATTATTTGTGTCCGCCTTTCTCTCACAGAATTTGACCCAGGTGAGTGCGGCATGCTATATCTCTGATGTGACTGCACCTGTATATAACCCAATGCACTGCATTCAATGTTTTTAATTCTCCTCTAGACTGGACCAGTCTCTAGGGAAGCCGACCCTGTTCCAGACTAGCTCAGGTAAACAGTTCCAGTCGTTCATTTCATCGTAGAGGGGCTGGACACAGTGTGCTATATCTCTATAACTTACAGCATCTTAGAGGGGCTGGACACAGTGTGCTATATCTCTATAACTTACAGCATCTTAGAGGGGCTGGACACAGTGTGCTATATCTCTATAACTTACAGGATCTTAGGGGGGCTGGACACAGTGTGCTATATCTCTATAATTTACAGCATCTTAGAGGGGCTGGACACATTGTGCTATATCTCTACTGTAACTTACAGCATCTTAGAGGGGCTGGACACAGTGTGCTATATCTCTATAACTTACAGCATCTTAGAGGGGCTGGACACAGTGTGCTATATCTCTATAACTTACAGCATCTTAGAGGGGCTGGACACAGTGTGCTATATCTCTACTGTAACTTACAGCATCTAAGAGGGGCTGGACACAGTGTGCTATATCTCTACTGTAACTTACAGCATCTTAGAGGGGCTGGACACAGTGTGCTATATCTCTATAACTTACAACATCTTAGAGGGGCTGGACACAGTGTGCTATATCTCTACTGTAACTTACAGCATCTTAGAGGGGCTGGACACAGTGTGCTATATCTCTATAACTTACAGCATCTTAGAGGGGCTGGACACAGTGTGCTATATCTCTATAACTTACAGCATCTTAGGGGGGCTGGACACAGTGTGCTATATCTCTATAACTTACAGCATCTTAGAGGGGCTGGACACATTGTGCTATATCTCTACTGTAACTTACAGCATCTTAGAGGGGCTGGACACAGTGTGCTATATCTCTATAACTTACAGCATCTTAGAGGGGCTGGACACAGTGTGCTATATCTCTATAACTTACAGCATCTTAGAGGGGCTGGACACAGTGTGCTATATCTCTATAACTTACAGCATCTTAGAGGGGCTGGACACAGTGTGCTATATCTCTATAACTTACAGCATCTTAGAGGGGCTGGACACAGTGTGCTATATCTCTACTGTAACTTACAGCATCTTAGAGGGGCTGGACACAGTGTGCTATATCTCTATAACTTACAGCATCTTAGAGGGGCTGGACACAGTGTGCTATATCTCTACTGTAACTTACAGCATCTTAGAGGGGCTGGACACAGTGTGCTATATCTCTATAACGTACAGCATCTTAGAGGGGCTGGACACATTGTGCTATATCTCTATAACTTACAGCATCGTAGAGGTGCTGGACACATTGTGCTATATCTCTACTGTAACTTACAGCATCTTACATCTCATGTTGTTTCTTGTTACGTCTTCTTGTTTCGCTGCTCTATGACTTGGACCATGATGCTCCTGGGGCCAAAGACAAAGCCAAAGACAAAGGCACCAACACCATCGGCTCCAGACTCAACAGGATGGAGGACAAGGTAGGATGTTATACCATGTTACGCCCTCTGCTCGATGAACAGAGTATGGATACTCATCAACAGGTGTCACTATAGAGTCAGAAGACATGTCCATTCAATTTCTATTGTGCCTTTACCAGATTTCAAAGCCCTCCATTTTGTGCCACCTTACCCCACCGCCAATGTTAAGCACCCAACTCAGTGACACACGGCAGCCATTTTGTGCCAATTCACTCTACACCGACACAATCAGTCCCCTAATGATATCCCAAAATAGAAGGAGTTGACACCTTTCAAGTTTTCTATTGGTTTTGGCTTTCATTAAAACTATTTTGATCATTTAATGAGTGATGATAATGGCTTGGTTTGTTTTCCCAAGATGAAAAGGATTTGGTGATTTGCCTGAAGAAATACGGATAATGAGAACATTAGAATAAACATTTCCATTTTCCGCCAAAACAGACAATAAAATAGACAAAGTATCTATTAATTATATTATATTGGTCTGTACAGTATTGACTTTTCTGTTTGTCCATCTACTTACAGATACAACACATGGACCAGATGCTCAACCAAATCGCAGAGTCCCTTGCCCAGCTGTTGTCTGGGATGAGCCAGGGGCAGGGGCAGGGGGACATGGGGGGAGCACAAGGGCAAGGTAGGAGGAGGAGGTCACAGGGTGGGGCAGGTGTCCCCAGCCAGGATAGCCTACCCAGCTACGAGCAGCTCTCCACCGCGACCCTCCATCCGTCCCTCAACCCCAGCCTCAGCCAGGACAAGAGCTCCTGAATCGACCCTCCATCCGTCCCTCAACCCCAGCCTCAGCCAGGACAAGACCTCCTGAAGCGAGCCTCCATCCGTCCCTCAACCCCAGCCTCAGCCAGGACAAGAGCTCCTGAATCGACCCTCCATCCGTCCCTCAACCCCAGCCTCATTCAGGACAAGAGCTCCTTAAGCGACCCTCCATCCGTCCCTCAACCCCAGCCTCAGTCAGGGCAAGAGTTCTGACTGAGGAAAACGCCAACACCTCTTTCCTGCTTTCTCTCTTTCTCTTATTCTGAGATCAGTGTTCTTCATAATAATGAACCCAGCTGTGTAGTGCTAGGGCAAAAAAAACTGGGCTGGGCCCAGGACCGAGTTTGGGAAACCCTGCCCTAGACAATAACATTTAGCAACTCTCGGAGGACAATGGAATTAAATAACACATCTTCTTTATTGTTAAAAGTAGAACCAACACGTTTCAGCTTTTGGCCTTCTACTTTAAACAATAAAGAAGATTATTTAATTTAATTCCATTGTCCTCCAAGAGTTGCTGAATCTCCTCTCCACTTCAGTTTGCTCCTCAGTTCTTTCACCTTGGTTGGAAAGCGAGGTAGCGGTAGTGATCCCTTCCCTAGAAAAGAACAGTGCCTTAGCCTACAGGACAAGCCAGCTAGACACTCAGACAGGCCATGCACTAATTAACTATTTTTCTATATCCTGGATAGGATTATGTTTCTGAATTCTAATTTAGTGCAATTGGCAATGTTCCAGTGACCTTTTCTTGGAAATGTGAGCAAGTGCCATATTCAAACTCTTTCGCCTCAATCAAAAGGAAATATAAGATTCAAGTGTATATATAAGATTATTCCAGCTGTGTAAGAGTATTGGAATGTTACAATATCAAAAAGTAACGGTAGTATTCTGTTTGATTTAAGTGATATGTTTATTAGAATTGAAAGCACACACTTCAGTAGAAAGTGTTTTGATGGTGAATATGGATGTGGATGTGGAATGATGTCCATACTAAAAGCAATCACTTATAATAACACAATATATGTTTTCAAAAGTTCTCAGTGTATGTACCTTCAAAATATCACTTATAGTAACACAATATGTTTTCAAAAGTTCTCCATGTATGTACCGTCAAAACGTAAACTAAAGTGTTGGAGCCGGGGTGAGGGCTTCTATGTAAAGCTTCAATGCAATCAAACTGTGTAGCTATCCTGTTTTATAAAGACTTTTCATTGACAATAAATTAATGTGGCAAATATCCATAACTTTTTGGGGTGATGGTCAAACAATTCTGTTTAGCCATGGTTCTTGCATCATTAATTAATTATAGATTACTACATCAAAGTTAGGTCATATCAATGTCACTTTGGAAGCTGTATATGGAATGTGCCTTGAAGGGCTATAACATCTATGAAACCTTGTCCTATTCCTATAACCGTAACCTTTAAAAACCACAACATTAACCACACACCCCCACCGATCCCCAGAGGCAGACTTTCCATTCCATTAAGACCAAAGGGAGGGAAGAGTTAATTGCACCTAGATCCCCCTTCCCCACTCATGTCTTGGGCCTTGGGGGATGGTAGATGGAAGGACCAGTGGGCCCAGTGGCGTGGCTAATACCAGAGCTTTGGACAGATGACCTCAGCTGCAGCAGATGGTGACCTCATCCCGCTTGCCTTCCGGGGATCCTTCCATTCCTTCAGTAGTAGCCACACAGATAAAAGACCAGATGACCATCTGGGCCCTGCCTGCCTTCTGCCTGGGTGCTCATGACAATAGCACCCCCTCTCTAAGTGTGGTGTATAAGTGTGGGGGTCTTTGTGGCGGTCATTGTGGTGCTTTTGGAGGTGGGTGAGGGGAGAGGAGAGAGGGTGTTGCTATAGGGACACTGCTGGGTTCTATTGCTTTGGTTGACTGTTCCTACTGGTCATTGTGTGAGTGAGTCAGTGTGATAAGGCGGGCTTCGTGTTCTGGCAAAGAAAGAGGAAAAATGATGACTGATGATGGTGATAGCTACTATGTTTCAATGTTGGTCGATGTTAGATTCAGAATGGTCTTCATATTCTGGGTATAACGACAGATAAACCCCTATGCTACTACACTAGCTGGCATTGAATCAACGACATGTCAAGAAACATTTAAGTATCTTGTCTAGAGTAAGTCAGTGATGTAGAGGGAATGTGATGCTCTGCTATTAACCTATTGAACCTAGACAGAAAATGTTCCTGCATTAAGCTCTCCTGAGGTCGTGATAGAATTCCGTCAATGTTTGACTTCCTAGTAGGCCCTGTTCATTAAATCTCGCGACCATTCTGTCCTAGCTTAAAATGGGCCTGTACAGTATTAATACATATATGGGCTTTCATCCTTTTGATTTCCATTACAATGACAACTGTTACAGTGCAGACTAAACTATTGCCAATAAAAGCCTACGTATCCACGTGTGGTGTGTTATATACTTACCATCTCCCCTACAGGCAGATCAACTCTGTCACTGCATCATGCACTGGACAAAAGGAGAGAAACAAAAAAGGTTACATCATGAAGAGAATTCTATCAACAGTGGGTCTGCAATGGCGGACCCTTGGGACAGATTTAATGAATAATGTTGATGGTAAAATTGCCTTGGGGGGGGGGGAGGATGGTAAACCATCTGTTTCTGGAGAAAAGTACAAGGAAAGTGCACTACTCCTGGCAGAATTCATTCAATTCAAACTACTGCAGGTACAAACTATAACCTTGACAACGCCATTAAATATGGAACCAAAATGAACTAGGAAATTCTGTGAAAAAAAGTCAATAACCAATATCATATACCACTACTGTGTACTAGACTAGTTGATTCGTTTGTCATTAGAGTCTAAAGACTTATCTGAAATAAAGAAAGTGTATAAAGATACATATTGTATGAAGATAAATATATCTATATTTATAAAGACTAATAATTGTTTATGTCAGTGTAGCCTATATGTCTTAATAGGTTAAGCCTACAGATAGAATAAAGGGTTAATAGAGTTTGGAACTAAAAATAAACATTTGAATGGGTTTCGGCACGAGGAGTAAGGATTTTTTTATTTATTTTTTATTTAACCTTTATTTAACCAGGTAAGCCAGTTGAGAACAAGTTCTCATTTACAACTGCGACCTGGCCAAGATAAAGCAAAGCAGGGCGATAAAAACAACAACACAGAGTTACATATGGGGTAAAAAAAACATAAAGTCAAAAAATACAATATAAGGATAATACAACGCATTTGACTGAAAAAAAGAATGTAACTTTGTGAGGAAGAACCTGGGGGGTCTGGGAGCGTTCATTTAGCCACCAATCCGCATTTGCAGGTGAAAGAAATGGCACACTCTTTCTCCACATGTCCCTTCTTCCATGTCGCAAGCCCCGATACCAGATGGCCACTTAAATTCTTTAGGGTATTGTTATTTTCTTGCTGTATGGCCAATCCTTGAGACGTGCGAACCTTGAATTGTCACGCAAATCTCCCATCCTCCCACTGCATAATTTTTATGCGCGCATGGATCTATTCGGTCCTATTACACACTATTTTTGCACGATTGCTATTGCATTCCACTATTGACTTGTAAGTCTATGTATGTACATGACATTTCCATATAGTCACGCTTACTCGTTATTCTCACAATAAAACTATTATTAGGTTACATATAATTATCCGACCAAATTTGATCAATTTAATTGTGGTTTATGTATTTATGTCAGTCTATTTGATAGGGACCGTTAGGTCAACAAAGTTGACACATTAAATCATCTTTACGGTCAGACCTAGGTTAAGATTTTTTTAAATGTATTGCACTTCTAAACTTTTATTTATTTTTTTACCAGATGTATTTACTTTAGAAAAGGTAACTCATCAAATAGGTGCACCTGCCATATAATGGTTGGCCATCTTCATAGCCTGTTATTATTGAAAAGCGAAAGCACTTGGAGTTAATACTGAATTCGAAAAGAAACGACAATAATTTCTGTAAAAGTCCCTGTATATGCCTAGGCCTAGTCAGTCGGAAAACCCCCACATTGGTCTCAAATCGGAAATATGCTTATATGCTGTTGAATGGATGAGTTGATTTTGCATATCGACAACGAGGGGTAATAGCATCTCCGATGGTAATTAGGATAGTGTGTCTGCGGGACTTTATGTGCGCAACACGGTGACTCCATGCGGAATTACGCGCAGCAAGTGAAAACTCACGTGATTGGTATATCTACCAAAAATATCAAAAAGGCATAATGCAGGCTGATTTTTTTTCTTCTTGAACAATGCCCACGGACATAACATAGTCATATAGGCATTCAGTGTAGGGCTAGTCTATAGGCCTACTGCTGCTACAATTTGTAGAGGCACTCTTCAATTGATGTGCTGTCAAATGGAATGACTGCTGCTCCTATTGTTTCTCTAGTGTGTGAGGGGTGTGCAATGGGCAGGTGGTGTCCCCCGTTCACCTCGTCAACCCATTGATAGACGTTTGAGGGGCTCACTAATGCAATAATAAAAACGAGCAGAATGCCAACAAAATGTAAACTAAATCGTTTTAATAGTATTTTTTCGCGGATACAATTCAACAGACATTAACAATATCTCAGAAAACTTATTTGAATTAAACAAAAAATAAATACAGTTGAAACATAAATAAAATAAATAAAACAATATTTTAAATAAAAGAAGACAGAAAATAAAGTCTGTTACTTTGGCATAAACATAGGCCAACATATTTTGGACGGTTACTCCATCTTCTTTTGTCCAAGACAGACAATAATAATAGCAAAAAATGCAGATAGCCTAATTTGTCACATAGGTTATGGTATTATTTGTCCGCGTGGTTTATCGAATTATTTGAGCTTTGCGTGGCGTTTGTTCAAGTGGAATTGAGAGGGAAGAATTGTGCTGGGTGCTCTTCATCTCAGACGTTGATCTTCTCCTCCTCTTTGGGAAAAAATCTGCGGGGAAGAAGCGTAGAATGGTTAGCCTTCAGTTCATATTAGAGTCAATCATACGAGAACATCAACATTATGTAGTCGGCAAGCCTTTAAAACGAGTTGCTTATTACGGAGTTATATATCGTTACCAAGAAAATGTATAGACCTACCTGTAATTTGAGTGACGTTGACTGCACGTTCATAAGATGTTGTCATCGACCTCTTACGCCGAATAAACGGTGTTGGTTTGGAGTTACATTTCCTCGTATTGGGGGAATTGGACCAATTCTCTTGGTTAACTTCGTTGGAACAAAGTGCAGTCGGTTCCCAGTCTGATAGAGGGGTTTGGTTGAGGCAACAACCACACACATTATCAGTGACAACCTCTGAGGGAAAGTCTGTGTTTGATGTCACAACCTGAACCCTCATGCCTCCAACTTTCCTCGACTCCTGGTAGAAGGCAGGCGTTGAGTCCGCTGACATCCCTTCCCATTCGTAACTCCCGGGAATTGGTGTGTCTGTCTCGAAGTGGAAGTTCCATCGACGCTGGTCTCGTTCAGAGATTTCCCTCAGCTTCGCCTTCAACTCGCGGCTCAGCTCGTCATGGTCGATGGGTCCAAATAAGTTCCGACAAACGCTTGTATGGCGATTGAGAAGAGTCGCTCTCTGTGCCACCGGGCTCTCCAAACCAGTTGGTGTCTGAAAGTTTGTCATGACGTCCAGTAATATGTCCAGTCTTGAAGAAATACGAAATGGATGCACACTGGCTGTTTGTCCTAACTCCAATGTAACTTCAACTGCGACTACTGCCATTCTGTGGAGGTAGGTAGGCTATTTAATGGCCCGAAGAGACCGCCTATATTATGGACGGGCTTGCTTATTGGTTGTCCCTTGGTTTATTCACGCCCCCTGTCTTATTACGCTGCTTGCTGGGGGGTATTTGGAATGGCGCCAAATGAGGTTGACTTTTTGCCTCCTTGCAAGTGGGTTTAATTATGTAACCTTTCTGCACAGCAGGAGGGATGGCAGCCTACATATTTCTGCTGTTTAGGGCTGGATTCAATCCGTATTGTCGAAATCGCAGAAGATCCGCGTTATAGCTGGATTGGAATTTAAAGGCAATGAGCGGAGACTGAATTCATGGTAAACCCTGCACATGTCGGCTCAATTGGAAGTTACCTTTACATTTCAATGCAGATCTTCTGCGATATTTCCGCGATACGGATTGGATCCAGCCGTTAATAAATTGGGCTATTTTATAAGGTTTCAAACCGTGTAGGCGGATACCTTTTAACAAAATAAGACAACTTTGCTTCGAAAATGTGACATATCGTCAGTGGAACAGGTAGACAACCAATAGGTTTCAGAACATTATATGAGGTTATTTGAAGCCTGTTCAAATGATATAGGCGAGGATATGCTTATCAATATACTGGTTATTACCAGTATTTATTACACTCTGATTATTAATAACTGTAGGCGTTTCAGCCTATCCAAGCTGAAGGACAGTTTGGAGAAAGAAATATCAATTGAAAACTTGGATGGATTCCAGCTGAAAATTGAGTGGTGTCGTGGCCAAAAGGGGACCATCGGGCTCTCCCAGAAGTTTGGTTGGTGCATAAAACCCGTAAATTCAGATGAGCAAAAATGTGTGATGGGTCCGCAAACAAAAATATGTCACATAAAGCTTACTTCATTTTTATTTATTTTTAAAACTATTTTCACCGCATCATGGATAGCGTACATAGACGTTTGAATCTTTGCAGCCTTCTTAAGTGTGTAGGTAGAAACCTTTTTCATTCAAAACAGCATTTATAGGGAACACAGGTGAGCAACCGATGAGCAGCAGGTGCTTCTAATCAGGGTTGCCACTCATCTGCCAATCAAAAGGGATGTGGCTTCTCTGGTCTACCTGTATACAAGTTACAATCAAGAGGTGTGGCAGCCTGGCCTACCTTTTGTGTGGTTTATTAATTTTCAATATAAATAAAATGTTCTGGGCGGCAGGTAGCTTAGTGGTTAAGACCGTTGTGCCAGAAAACCGAAAGGTGGCTGGTTCTAATCCCCGAGCCGACTAGGTGAAAAATCTGTCGATGTGCCTTTGCCCAAGTCACTTAACCCTAATTGCTCCTGTAAGTCGCTCTGGATAAGAGCGTCTGCTAAAATGTAAATGTTCTTCAATATACTTGTGGGTTTAGCCCAAGCTAAATATAGAAAACCAACCTGAGACCACGTTAGACCACCCTTGAGCTGTTTATCTGTAACTTTATGGTGATATACTGACTCCCAGTGGCAAGTATTATAGCATCTACAACCTGACCTATGGTCCCTATTTGGGAGGCACAGGGGCTTATTCAGCTGAGTGCAATTTTACAATAATATTGAAATACATTGTGAAGAACAGATATGATTCCCATGTGGACCAGGGAATCTCTTCAGCTTTATATGACATATCAGTTATTGTATTATATCAGTTATCAGTTATTGTATTATATCAGTTATTGTATTATATCAGTTATCAGTTATTGTATTATATCAGTTATTGTATTATATCAGTTATCGGTTATTGTATTATATCAGTTTTCAGTTATTGTATTATATCAGTTATTGTATTATATCAGTTATCAGTTATTGTATTATATCAGTTATCAGTTATTGTTTTATATCAGTTATTGTATTATATCAGTTTTCAGTTATTGTATTATATCAGTTATTGTATTATATCAGTTATCAGTTATTGTATTATATCAGTTATTGTATTATATCAGTTATCAGTTATTGTATTATATCAGTTATCAGTTATTGTATTATATCAGTTATTGTATTATATCAGTTTTCAGTTATTGTATTATATCAGTTATTGTATTATATCAGTTATCAGTTATTGTATTATATCAGTTATCAGTTGTTGTCACGATCGTCATAAGAGGCAGACCAAGGCGCAGCGTGATAGGCGTACATCTTTTAATGAGTACTTAGCAACAACAACAAAACGATACGTGAAGTCAACAGGTTCACCAACACAAACCTATACAGAACAAGATCCCACAATAAACTAGTGCCAACCGGCTGCCTAAGTATGGTTCCCAATCAGAGACAACGAGAATCAGCTGCCTCTGATTGGGAACCACCCTGGCCAACATAGAAAACACGAACTAGAACGAAACATAGAAAATACAACATAGACACTACACACCCTGGCTCAACATTAAAGAGTCCCCAGAGCCAGGGCGTGACAGTTGTTATATTATATCAGTTGTTGTATTATATCAGTTATCAGTTGTTGTATGCTCGTCCATTGAATAAGCCCCTGGAGTGTAGCCCTGTGTATCACATTGTTCTGATGTGACTCCTGAACAGGTGCACTGGTGGTGCAGACAATGATGCAAAGATAATGGAGCTCAGTGCAGACTGTGATTGGTCAGAGGAAGGCCAGGGCGTGGCTTACCTGCCTGCCGCTTCCTGGAGGCTCCAAGGGCTCACCTGGTGTCACTTGCCCCAAGGCAGAGATCGGGGACTGGAGGGAAGCTGACTGCACATTAGACCACAGCCATGCCAGAGCGACAAGACACGCCTCTGGTAAGTCATTATGTTAGCGACTGTAAGCGCCTCACATCTTATGAGAACAGGTTGGTCAAACTCTCCAACACATACACGTGTCTATGTTGATTTGTTGTCATTTTATTTTCATTTGAGTGTGCAGGCACTAATCTATGTTTATGTCTGTGGTAAAGTGCTCCGCTTTTAAGAATCACTTATTCTCTGACATCAATTTGTTTCTTGGAAATATTATTTCACAACTTATTACAGAGATGGCAAATTGTATATTTTTACAGTTATTGTTTACAGGTGCAGTTTGGATGCATTACGGCATTCTTCTTTGTGACTTGTAGACATGTTGTAATCATATGATTCATGGTGTAATGTTGCTCTAGTCTAGCGGAATGTCTCTACAGATAATATGATAATATCCGTAGTGACATTCCACTAGAGTGTATAATCATAGAATATAATCAAGTGCTATATTCACTTTTGAAAATGTCTTGAAATGCCACTTGGAATATTGTTCCTGTGTGTACGTTGGTGGACCCACTCTTTGATGGTAAACACGGAGTGTGGCTTTCATTCCTGTTGGGGGTTTAAACTGTGGAAATACTCAGTGATACTCAAATAGCTGTGGGACAAATTCGGTTTAATTTAACATTTCCTGTGGGCCTTAACATAAATTACTAGTTTTAACAAAAGAAAAGTCAACAATACTCTACCTTACATTCAAAATATTTTTAATTATTAAAGTGGTAGAACGCTTATGTGAGCTCATAGAAATCTGCATTAATTTGGGAACAAATTATGACGTAGTGTGCATCATACTTACGGAGACTGTAGAGTTCGTCGAAGTTGCCTCGTCAAACTCATAACCTCATTAATTGAGTGATAATGGCCCACTAATCTAGTTGAAATTACCCAGAACTCAAAATGGTGCCGTATACAGGAAGCAGACTCAAGCCTGCATGCCTCTATGCTGAGGAGCATACCGTACACATATACAAACAGGCACCCACGTATTCCCTCTCCATTCTCCACTTTCACCCTCTCACACACACACACACACACACACACACACACACACACACACACACACACACACACACACACACACACACACACACACACACACACACACACACACACACACACACACACACACACACACACACACACACACACACACACACACACACATCCGCCCACACACACACACACACACACTCACAGTCTTGTACAGCTAACCTTGTGGGGACATACAATTCAGTCCCATTCAAAATCCTATTTTCCATAACCCTAACCCTAAACCTAACCCTAACCCTAACCCTAACCTTAACCTTAACCCTAAACCTAAAACTAACCCTATCTCCTAACCCTAATCCTAAACCTAATTCTAACCCTAACACTAATTTTAACCTTAACCCTAAACCCCCTAGAAATAGCTTTTGATCTTGTGGGGACCAACAAAATGTTCCCAGTTTGTCACATTTTTCTTGGTTTACTATTCTTGTGGGGACTTCTGGTCCCCACAAGTATAGTTAAACACGTCCACACACACACACACACACACACACACACACACACACACACACACACACACACACACACACACACACACACACACACACACACACACACACACACACACACACACACACACACACACACACACACACACACACACACACACACACACACACACACACACACACACACACACACACACACACACACACACACACACACACACACCCTCTTCACTTGATGTCACAACTCTTCCTGTGACCTTGCATGCAAATGTTATGTTTGCATGGACAATGGTCCTTTCCCCTGACACAGTCCCTCCTGCCCCTCATTCAAATAAGACTCTTCCCGAGACCAGACTCACTTTTACATCAAAAAGCGATCATGACAAAATGCACGCCCATCAGCATGTCTTAACCCTCTACTGCAAATCGTTGCCCTAGGCAACACCTTCCTGTAGGTTTCTTTGTGTTGCCTCAGGGCAACGATGTCATTTTGGCTACTTTTCAGGGCAATATCATGTTCAATGAAAGACATGTAATTTGATGTAAAATGATGGCCTTGGTCAATATTTTTGCCACTGACATTCACAGAAAATGGACACAGGGACATGGGCGAAAGGAGCCTCATCGAGCAGTTAGGATCATACCCTCTGATAGTGAGGACAGTGAGCTTCAGGACAGTGAGCTTCAGGACAGTGAGCTTCAGGACAGTGAGCTTCAGGACAGTGAGCTTCAGGACAGTGACAGAGAGGAAGAATGGACCTAGGTTTAGAGGCAGTGAAATACTATTTTATGACCAACTTGTATTTTCTTATGAAAATAGTTCATTTTTCTACTATGTTCCCCTTAATCAATGTACCCTTATGGCAATGCGCTGCCCTGAGGCAACACAAACATTTCTGGGGCCTAAATCTTCACCCAAAAAAAAAAGGATGAAATATTTTTTGGGGTGAAAAACCAAAGTGTGTGCAGTAGAGGATTAAATTAGTTGGGGGGTTGGATCTTTGCCCATAACCTGTCCAAACTATTGGCCATGATCCAAATACATTTGACTGAGTTGCCAGTGAGGCCAAATGCGGTAATAAACTGAAGCTGCTTGTTGTTTGCAAGGCCAATTGTTTTTGCTGTGCAGGTATCTCTTCCCATTTCTTATGATCGTCTTTTACCAGACATCCCAGGCAAATGAGCACTGTTGAGCAATGTTGACTCAGATGCAAATTCTTAATCGCTGCCAATAGGAGACAAATATTTTATGGTTCTTCTTTTGCAGCAGTCTAATCTCACCTGACAGCCAACATTTAGCCCAGTAAGGGAAAGAATATAAATTAAATCCAGCAGTCTAATCTCATCTGACAGCCAACCCTCAGCTCTGAGGTGAGTGGCATTCATCAATTGATAAGAAAAATAAATGTCAACCACTCCTTTCAGTAACATGATGGAGCAACTTTTCTGGTATTCAACATACATCGCAGACAATGCTGGTCACCTCTCCTCCTCTCCCTGTCCATCTAACGCCCTCTGATAACATCCTCTCATTTCATTCACATCCTTATAATAGCTGCCCTATTAAGGTGCATAGTGCAGCAGTTACATTTGCCTTTGAATATAGTTGGTTGGAACGTGCACGGATAAAGGGTTACTGACACTGGGTTTATTCAGGTCTCAGTATACATAAGCAGGGAAGATCATGATATGAAAAAAATCACCTCCAAGGAAACATGTTTGACATTGCTTCTTGGGGAACGTAGTATCCATATTTCCACTGACTGACTAATGCATGGGCCTACATAGTTCAATATCTTGCTGAATATGTTTTTATATGACTTGCAAAACAGTCATGTGTAGCTTGCTAGCTAGCACACTCACTCATTTGTTTTTTAAACAAATGAACAAGCTAGCTAGCACATTGTCCGACTCTGCTCTTGGTTCATTTGTTGTGATTTGTTGCCCTATGTTTGTATATTTTTAAATTGTTAAACAAATTTAGGGTAGGAGGCAACTTGAGCTCAGAGGCCCCCCCCCCCCCGGCCTCGCGGGGCGTCCTACACCTCTGTGTCTAGCTTTCATTCTACAGAGTGCTTGTGGTTCGTTATGAGGACAGAACTCAGGAAGGAAGCCTTTTGCATGCAGAGGGAAAATGCTAACTGCTTTTGCATATAGGTCTAAGAAGATGCCTCACACCTGTCATCAGCAGCAGTGTGACTGGTGAATGATGCTGGATTACATTTACCTGTCTGTGGGGTAAAGGTCATGCTGTGCATTATGGGTGCTGTGTCTATAGGGGGAGCTACCGCTGCAGAGGCGATGCCCACGATGCGGGGATATACTGGAATGGTCACGGGAGCAAAGGTAGGCGTGGTTTCTGTTTGTTTGTTTGTCAAAGTGGATTGTGAATGACTGTACTGTAAATACTACTGTATATGATGGACAATGTGTCTGTGTATAATGTGTATTCTGTATGTATAATGTGTCTATATGTATAAAATATATTCTGTATGTATAATGTGTCTATGTGCTGTGGCAGTGCTCTGTTGGCCTGCCGTTGCTACTCCCAGCTGGATGAGGCCGTGGAGAGTGTGGCTGGAGGCCGAGGCCTGGGTGCTAGCAGGGGGGACACGGAGAGGGACCACTGGGCAGCAGGACGAGTGGGGGACATAGACTTCACTGGCACCAGTAGGACAAGGGGAAAGGTAACACTGCTACAATTACAAGGTAACACTGCTACAACCACAAGGTAACACTGTTACAACCACAAGGTAACGCTGTTACAACCACAAGGTAACACTGTTACAACCACAAGGTAACACTGTTACAACCACAAGGTAACACTGCTACAACCACAAGGTAACACTGTTACAACCACAAGGTAACGCTGTTACAACCACAAGGTAACGCTGTTACAACCACAAGGTAACACTGTTACAACCACAAGGTAACGCTGTTACAACCACAAGGTAACACTGTTACAACCACAAGGTAACGCTGTTACAACCACAAGGTAACACTGCTACAATTACAAGGTAACACTGTTACAACCACAAGGTAACACTGTTACAACCACAAGGTAACACTGTTACAACCACAAGGTAACGCTGTTACAACCACAAGGTAACACTGTTACAACCACAAGGTAACACTGTTACAACCACAAGGTAACGCTGTTACAACCACAAGGTAACACTGCTACAATTACAAGGTAACACTGTTACAACCACAAGGTAACACATTTTTTAAATTAATTTTTTTGGGGGGGTAGATCAGCTTCATATTGCAGATAGATTGTAACTTCTATCAATGTAATTGTCTGCATCACTTCCAATCCCCCATGTTTTTTATATATATACTCCCCTTTATTACTTTTCAACCCCGCCATCCTTTCCCTACTTGGAGTAAATTAGTGAACAACAATGCCCAGGCCTCTACTTCCGGCCTATACTTACTATCATCATTTTATGGACACAGTCAATTTTACAATAATTATATTTTATTTGTTTTTGCTCCTGAACTTCTTCTACTCTCAACCTCTCCGATCATGTTCATGATGTCCATCCGGTTTGCTTCTATATGCCATATCTTTCTAACTGTGCTCTTTCCCAAAAGCTCCCAACATACAACCTATATACTTATTATGGGTAACACTGCTACAACCACAAGGTAACACTGTTGGTCCTCTCTAAGAGACAGTTCAGTGATCACAAACTGTGGTCCTGGAGAGATACGTTTCAGTATGTGCAGGACTGTATTCTATTTCAGCACTAACAGGCCTGAATTAGCAAAAACAATGCAGATTCATAATTAATGCATATTCTCACTCAGTCATTTCAGCTAAAGTTATCCAAATTTACCATCATAAAAAAAAAAAAAAAAAAATCAGGTCAAGAAAGAGATTAAAAAATATATATGAAATAGGACCTATTCCTTGACCATGTACGTCTCTCAGTAAATGGCCCGCTGTGCTTCTCTGTCCAGTTTGTGAGGGTCCACAGCTCCACAGATCCAGTGTTGATCTACCAGATGCTGACAGAGCAGTGGGGCCTGGCCCCTCCACACCTGGTGGTGGCTCTGGTGGGAGGAGACGAGCTGTCTCAGATGAAACCCTGGCTCAGGGACACCGTGAGGAAAGGACTGGTCAAGGCTGCCCAGAGCACAGGTGGGACTCACGCCCGCGCCCACACACATACACCTTTACGTTTTTTACTAAGATCACCGCGGGCCGCATTAAATCAGTGTCTGAGAACCCTGCTCTATAGCGAGCATGAGAAATGTATGCCCTCACTAACTGTAAGTCGCTCTGGATAAGAGCGTCTGCTAAATGACTAAAAAATGTAAAAATGTAAAGTGAGACGATGTCTCTGCCTCACAGGCGCCTGGATCCTGACCAACGGTCTTCGCTTTGGCATCACCAAGCACCTGGGCCAGGCTGTCCGTGACCACTCTCTGGCCAGCACCAACTCTAAGGTCAAGGTGGTGGCCATCGGCATCGCTCCCTGGAACATGATCCACAACAGAGACGCGCTGCTGGCTGCTAAGGTCTCAATATACATCCATGCAGAATATCATATACTATGAGTTCAGGGTAGATGTTGATTACGTTTTAACATGTGGGTAGACTAGACAACAAGGTCACAGTGGAACGTCTAAATGTGTGTCTGTGTTGTGAGCTGCTGAGGTATTTTTGATTTGCTCCTCTGAAACGTGTTCTCTGACCGATGTGTGTCCTCCTGCAGCTGGACCAGCCTGCCATGGTGGAGCCCAGGGACCTGCCCCATGGGGCAGTATACTCTCTGGACTGCAACCACTCCCACTTTGTCCTGGTGGACGAGGATCCTCAGCGCCCCGGGGCCACCAGCGAAATGAGGGTCCAGCTGCTCAAGCATATCTCCCTGCAGCGCACCGGCTATGGAGGTGAACCTACTTAAACTTAAACCTAAGCTTAAACCTACTTACTTAAACTTAGTTGAATGGTGTTAATGTTTTTCCTGGGCGTCATATTTGACACAGCACACTTGTATTTCTTCAGGAAGAATGGTGCTTTTTGACTTGATGAGTGGTTTTAAGGAATAACCAGGGCCCTTGTTGATACTCTGCATCACTACAGGTGCAGGCAGTTTTGAGATCCCAGTGCTGTGTCTCCTGGTGCATGGAGAACCCCGGATCCTACAGGTCTGTCACATTTAGGGAAATATTCCTTTCCCATTACTTCTACTTTTCAGTATAATGTGTTGTTGCTTGTCATAAGCATGTATGAATATTTATCATTTCATATTAGATGGCCTATTATATATTATGTTGCCATAGCAACTTTTCAATTGATTCAAAGTGACTATTTAGTTAGAATCAAATGGAGATATTAATAAAAACATTACATTCGTTCATAAATGCTTATGACAAGTCTTACAGTGAATTACCAGCACATCATAATGCATTATAACTGTGTTAGCATAGTTTCTATATTGCTAGGTGTGCGGTTTGGGTAAGCAGTCTTCCTCTGTCTCTGTGTACAGAGGATGTATAGGTGTATAGGAAACGCCATGCCCTGGCTGATCCTGGCGGGGTCGGGGGGGGTGGCCGCCATCCTGGTCACGCTGATGAACCGGGGCTGCTGGGACATGGACAGCGTGCAGGAGCTCCTGCTAGACACCTTTCCCAGCGTGCACCACAGCACTGACATCACCAACTGGGCCAAGCTGGTAAGGAGCTGAGAGAGAGAGCGAGAGAGAGGAGAGAGAGAGAGAGGAGAGAGAGAGAGAGAGAGAGAGAGCAGAGAGAGAGGAGAGAGGAGAGAGTAGGAGAGAGAGAGAGAGAGAGAGAGACGAGAGAGAGAGACGAGAGCGAGAGAGAGAGAGAGAGAGAGAGAGAGAGAGAGAGAGCAGATGAGCCAACTGAAAGACAGATTGATTAATTGGTTGATTGACTGACTGATTGACTGACTTCCTCCTGCACTTTAGATCCAGAAGATACTGGACAACGGCCACCTCCTGACGGTTCATGACCCCGAGCAGGAGAGCTCTGAGCTGGACACGGTCATCCTCAAAGCCTTGGTCAAAGGTACTGGATGGAATGCTTCTACCTGCGGTTGACAGCGCTTATTAAAAAAGCCAGGCCGTTACATCAATCCTAAAAAGGAATTGTACAGAGGCAGATGAAATATATTTGTCAAAAGTTAAATACATTTCCAATTATGCTCCATATTAAAAAGTTTGAGGAGTTACTGAAAGCCATCCGTCAGCATATGACCCCCCCATAGAAAAGTTTTTGATGGATATTAACATTCAATCTGAATGGTGGTTAACCCATAACCTCTAACATCTAACCTTTGACCCTAACATCTAACCTTTGACCCTAACATCTAACCTTTGACCTCTAACATCTAACCTTTCACCCTAACATCTAACCTTTGACCCCTAACATCTAACCTTTGCCCTGTGTGTTGCGTGCAGCCTGTAAGAGCCAGAGCCAGGAGGCTCAGGACTTCCTGGATGAGCTGAAGCTGGCGGTGGCCTGGAACAGGGTGGACATCGCTAAGAGCCACATCTTCAACGGGGACGTGGAGTGGACGGTGAGAATGAAAGACAGCATGAGATGCCCATCCTTCATTCCTTCACTCTCTCCTGTTGGTTCTCAACTTTTCACTGCTAGCGCTGGTCATTTTTAATGTAATATATTTGCTGCCACATTGAGGATCATAAAAAAATAAGTATCTTACCTTAGTATAATAACGTAATGTAAAAAGATTATATGCAGCATAAATATTGCTTAGTAAAATAGAATATTAGAGTTGTATTGGTAGTTTACTACTTGGTAATATATAGCACTATCTACTGACCCTCGCAGGCGGGTGACCTGGAGGAGGTGATGATGGACGCGCTGGTCAATGACAAGCCCGACTTTGTGCGTCTATTTGTGGACAACGGCGTGTGTCTGGGCAAGTTCCTGACCTACGGCCGCCTGCAGGAGCTCTACTGCTCCGTGTCAGAGAAGAGCCTCCTTCACCTCCTTCTCCTCAAGAAGCACCAGGAGAAACAGCTCCTCCTGAAGGCGGCACGGACCCCCGGACCCCCTCACGACCACCACAAGGCCGAGCCCGGGGACCGGAAGGCCCGCTTCACCCTGCACGAGGTGTCAAAAGTGCTGAAAGACTTCCTGCATGACTCGTGTAAAGGCTTCTATCAGAAGCTGCCCACGGTGGGTACTGGATAGGCTGTTCCTGAGGTAACTCAGAGTGAGTTTCCCAAATCATGAATCACAGATATTTCCTCATGGATCACAGCTGAAGACTGAGTCGTGGCTGGAGAAAATAAAACCTCACAGACTACAAGGCTTTTCTAAAGAACAGATTAAAACCATGTCAAGATTTCCAGCAAGAGCCACGTTTTTCTCTACATTTCTATGTGTCTGTCAGAGTTCCCTCTTCTTCATCCTCACGTGTGTGTGTGTGTGGGTGTGTGTGTGTGTCTCTGTGTGTGTGTCTGTGTGTGTGTGTGTGTCTCTGTGTGGGTGTGTGTGTGTGTGTCTCTGTGCGTGTGTGTGTGTCTCTGTGTGTGTGTGTGTGTGTGTCTCTCTGTGTGTGTGTGTCTCTGTGTGTGTGTGTGTGTCTCTGTGTGTGTGTGTCTGTGTCTGTGTGTGTGTGTGTCTCTGTGTGGGTGTGTGTGTGTGTCTCTGTGGGTGTGTGTGTGTCTCTCTGTGTGTGTGTGTGTGTGTCTCTGTGCGTGTGTGTGTGTGTGTCTCTGTGTGTGTGTGTGTCTCTGTGGGTGTGTGTGTGTGTGTGTGTGTGTCTGTGCGTGTGTGTGTGTCTCTGTGTGTGTGTGTGTGTGTGTGTCTCTGTGTGTGTGTGTCTCTCTGTGTGTGTATGTGTCTCTGTGTGTGTCTCTGTGTGTGTGTGTGTGTGTGTGTCTGTGTGTGTGTGTGTGTGTGTGTGTCTCTGTGTGTGTGTGTGTCTCTGTGTGTGTGTGTGTCTCTGTGTGTGTCTCTGTGTGTGTTGTGTCCAGGAGAAGACAGGCCAGAAGGCAGGTCGTCTCTTTAACAACCAGAAGAGCCTGGCTGAGCTGGAGGAGCAGTGTGAACACCCCTGGAGGGATCTGTTCCTCTGGGCTGTTCTCCAGAACCGGCAGCAGATGGCTAACTACTTCTGGGCAATGGTCAGTCCCCTCACTCCCAGAGAGTTAGTCCTGAAACCTATCTGATTATTCAAATGAAGGTCAAGCACTGTAGTTAGTGTAGGTTTTATTGCTGGCCAGTGTCAATACTGGCAGTTGAAAAGCAAACCTACAGGTAGATATAATCAGTATTGGGTTGAGCAGGGTGGTGGTGAGAGTGAGTTTAGTGCAAAACATACACACTTACATACACACTTACTGCACATGAAGAAACCCCCCAAATGTACAGTCAGACACACACACACACATACATACACTGACTCTCTTCTCTCTGTCTCTCTCTATAGCGGCTCTCTAAGAGAGAACTCGAGATAGATAGATAGAGAGCAAGGATGAGAGATTCTATTCAGAAGAGATAGAGAGAAGAGAGAGAGAGATGTTAGAGAGATGATAGAGAGCAGAGAGACGATAGATCGAGAAGAGAGAGAAAGATAAGAGAGAGAGAGAGCGAGAGAGATGAGAGAGAGTAGAGAGAGAGAGAGGCTATGGGGCTTGAGAGCAGAGAGCGCTCGGAGAGCGAGCTCTCAGCGATATAATAGGAGACGTAGAGAGCGAGACTAGCTAAGAGGAGAGATCGCGCTAGAGAGGATATTCTATGAGAGCTTCTCTCCTCTCTCTCTACATATCTCGAGAGATTCCTTAGAGAGAGATCTCGCTCGAGGAGAGAGCGCTCTATCTCTCTCTCAGAAAGATATCCGCTCTATCCTACATTCTCGCTCTCTATCTCTCTCTCTCTCTCTCTCTCTCTCTCTCTCTCTCCCTCTCTCTCTCTCTCTCGCTCTGTCTATCCTCTCTTCTCTATTCTCTCTGTCTCTCTCTCCTGTCTTCTCTTGTCTCTCTCTCTCTCTCTCTCTCTCTGTCTCTCTCCTCTCTGTCTCTCGATCTCTCTCTCTCTCTCTCTCTGTCTCTCTCTCTGTCCTCTCTCTATTTCAATTCAAAGGGCTTTATTGGCATAGGTAAACATATGTTTACCATTGCCAAAGCAAATGGAATAGACAATAAACAAAAGGGAACTGAACAAGGGAAACATTAGTGAACATTACACTCACAAAAGGATTGGTCAAATCCCTCTCTCTGTCTCTAATGTCTCTGTCTCTCTGTCTCTCTCTCTCATCTCTCCTCTCTCTTCTCTCTCTACTCTCTCTCTCTCTATTCTCTCTCTGTACCCCCCCTTCTCTCTCTATTCTCTCTCATCTCTCTGAGTAATCCCCTCCTTGCTATCTCTCTGTATCTCTCTCTCTGCCTCTCTCGATCTATCTCTCTCTGTATCTCTCTCTGTACCCCCCCCTCCTCTCTCTTAGTTCTCTCTCTGTATCCCCCCCTCTTCTCTCTCTCTCTATTCTCTCTCTGTATTCCCCCCCCCCCCCCCCCCTCTCTCAATTCAATTCAATTCAAAGGGCTTTATTGGCATGGAAAATATGTCAAAGCAAATGGAATAGACAATAAACAAAAGGGAACTAAACAAGGGAAACATTAGTGAACATTACACTCACAAAGGGATGGTCAGTTTCTCTCTCTGTCTCTCTGTCTCTCTGTCTCTCTGTCTCTCTGTCTCTCTGTCTCTCTGTCTCTCTGTCTCTATCTCTCTCTCTCTCTCTCTCTCTCTCTCTCTCGCTCTCAATTTCAATTCAAATCAAAGAGCTTTATTGGGATGAGAAATATATGTTTACATTGCCAAAGCAAGTGAAATAGATAATAAACTAAAGTGAAACAAACAATAAAAAATTAACAGTAAACATTACACTCAGAAGTTCCAAAAGAATAAAGACATTTCAAATGTAATATTATGTACAGTCGTGGTCAAAAGTTTTGAGAATGACACAAGTATTGGTCTTCACAAAGTCTGCTGCTTCAGTGTTATGAGATATTTTTGTCAGATGTTACTATGGTATACTGAAGTATAATTACAAGCATTCCTTAAGTGTCAAAGGCTTTTATTGACAATTACATTAAGTTTATGCAAAGAGTCAATATTTGCAGTGTTGACCCTTCTTTTTCAAGACCTCTGCAATCCGCCCTGGCATGCTGTCAATTAACTTCTGGGCCACATCCTGACTGATGGCAGCCCATTCTTGCATAAACAATGCTTGGAGTTTGTCAGAATTTGTGGGTTTTTGTTTGTCCACCCGCCTCTTGAGGATCGACCACAAGTTCTCAATGGGATTATGGTCTGGGGAGTTTCCTGGCCATGGACCCAAAATGTCTATGTTTTGTTCCCCGAGCCACTTAGTTATCACTTTTGCCTTATGGCAAGGTGCTCCATCATGCTGGAAAAGGCATTGGTTGTCACCAAACTGTTCTTGGATGGTTGGGAGAAGTTGCTCTCGGAGGATGTGTTGGTACCATTCTTTATTCATGGCTGTGTTCTTAGGCAAAATGGTAAGTGAGCCCACTCCCTTGGCTGAGAAGCAACCCCACACATGAATGGTCTCAGGATGCTTTACTGTTGGCATGACACAGGACTGATGGTAGCGCTCACCTCGTCTTCTCCGGACAAGGTGTTTTCCGGATGCCCCAAACAATCGGAAAGGGGATTCATCAGAGAAAATGACTTTACCCCAGTCCTCAGCAGTCCAATCCCTGTACCTTTTGCAGAATATCAGTCTGTCCATGATGTTTTTCCTGGAGAGAAGTGGCTTCTTTGCTGCCCTTCTTGACACCAGGCCATCCTCCAAAAGTCTTTGCCTCACTGTGCGTGCAGATGCACTCCCACCTGCCTGATGCCATTCCTGAGCAAGCTCTGTACTGGCGGTGCCCCGATCCCGCAGCTGAATCAACTTTAGGAGACGGTCCTGGCGCTTGCTGGACTTTCTTGCGCGCCCTGATGCCTTCTTCACAACAATTGAACCTCTCTCCTTGAAGTTCTTGATGATCCGATAAATGGTTGATTTAGGTGCAATCTTACTAGCAGCAATATCCTTGCCTGTGAAGCCCTTTTTGTGCAAAGCAATGATGACGGCACGTGTTTCCTTGCAGGTAACCATGGTTAACAGAGGAAGAACAGTGATGTCAAGCACCACCCTCCTTTTAAAGCTTCTAGTCTGTTATTCTAACTCAATCAGCATGACAGAGTGATCTCCAGCCTTGTCCTCATCAACACTCTCACCTGTGTTAATGAGAGAATCACTGACATGATGGCAGCTGGTCCTTTTGTGGCAGGGCTGAAATGCAGTGGAAATGTTTTTGGGGGATTAAGTTCATTTTCATGGCAAAGAGGGACTTTGCAATCAATTGCAATTCATCTGATCACTCTTCATGACATTCTGGAGTATATGCAAATTGCCATCATCAAAACTGAGGCAGCAGACTTTGTGAAAATTAGTATTTGTGTCATTCTCAAAACGTTTGACCATGACTGTATATATACAGTGTTATAATGATGTGCAAATAGTTAAAGTACATAAGGGAAAATAAATAAATATAAATATGGTTGTATTTACAATGGTGTTTGTTCTTCACTGGTTGCCCTTTTCTTGTGGTAACAGGTCACAAATCTTGCTGCTGTGATGGCACACTATGGTATTTCACCCATTAGAAATGGGAGTTTATAAAAATTGGATTTGTGGATCTGTGTAATCTGAGGGGAAAATGTGTCTATAATATGGTCATACATTTGGCAGGAGGTTAGGAAGTGCAGCTCAGTTTCCACCTCATTTTGTGGGCAGTGTGCACATAGCCTGACATCTCTTGAAAGCCAGGTCTGCCTACGGCGGCCTCTCTCAATAGCAAGACTATGCTCACTGAGTCTTTACATAGTCAAAACTTTCCTTAATTTTGAATCAGTCACAGTGGTCAGGTATTCTGCCACTGTGTACTATCTGTTTAGGGCCAAATAGCATTCTAGTTTTCTCCCTGTTTTTGTTAATTCTTTCCAATCTTTTTGTTTTCTCATTATTTGGTTGGGTCTAATTGTGTTGCTGTCCTGGAGCTCTGTGGGGTCTGTTTGTGTTTGTGAACAGAGCCCCAGTGTCAGGGTGTCAGTGTGATGCGGTAGGACGAAGTCAGGAGCAGGACACAGAGCTAATCGAAAACGTACTAGACCCATGGGGCGGCGCACAATTGGCCCAGCGTCGTCCAGGGTAGGGGAGGGAATGGCCGGCAGGGATGTAGCTCAGTTGGTAGAGCATGGCGTTTGCAACGCCAGGGTTGTGGGTTCGATTCCCACGGGGGGCCAGTATGAAAAATAAAAATGTATGCACTCACTAACTGTAAGTCGCTCTGGATAAGAGCGTCTGCTAAATGACTAAAATGTAAATGTTAACTCGCAGGTATCGTAAATAACATAACCTCCACGCAGGGAGGAAACAAACCCGCTCACCAGACGACAACCAAACATCAACAAACACGCACAACATACAGTGGGAGCCAGAGGGTTAAATAGGGAAGTAATCAATACCTAATGGGAACCAGGTGTGAACAATAAAGACAAGACAAGTAGAACACAGAAACATAGATCGGTACTAGCTACTAGTACTCCGGTGATGACGAACTCCGTAGCCTGCCCGAGCAAGGAGGAGGAGCAGCCTCGGCTGAATCCGTGACACCCAGGACCAGCTTGCTTAGGGGACTCTTCTCCAGGTTCATGTCTCTGTAGGTGATGGCTTTGTTATGGAAGGTTTGAGAATCGCTTCCTTTTAGGTGGTTGTAGAATTTAACGGCTCTTTTCTGGATTTTGATCATTAGCGGGTATCAGCCTAATTCTGCTCTGCATGCATGGTGTTTTACATTGTACACAGAGGATATTTGTGCAGAATTCTGCATGCAGAGTCTCAATTTGGTTTTTGTCCCATTTCGTGAATTCTTGGTTGGTGAGCGGACCCCAGACCTCACAACCATAAAGGGCAATGGGTTCTACAACTGATTCAAGTATTTTTAGCCAGATCCTAATTGGTATGTCGAATTTTGTGTTCCTTTTGATGCCGTAGAAGGCCCTTCTTGCCTTGTCTCTCAGATCGTTCACAGCTTTGTGGAAGTTACCAATGGCGCTGATGTTTAGGCCGAGGTATGTATAGTTTTTTGTGTGCTCTAGGGCAACGGTGTCTAGATGGAATTTATATTTGTGGTCCTGGCAACTGGACCTTTTTTGGAACACCCTTATTTTTGTCTTACTGAGATTTACTGTCAGGGCCCAGGTCTGACAGAATCTGTGCAGAAGATCTAGGTGCTGCTGTAGGCCCTCCTTGGTTGGGGACAGAAGCACCAGATCATCAGAAAATAGTAGACACTTGACTTCAGATTCTAGTAGGGTGAGGCCGGTTGCTGCAGACTGTTCTAGTGCCCTCGCCAATTCGTTGATATATATGTTGAAGAGGGTGGGGCTTAAGCTGCATCTCTGTCTCACCCCATGGCCCTGTGCAAATCCCACGGTAGTTATTGGGGTCAAATTAGTCTCCACTTTTGTGGATTGGTCCTCGGTTCCAAATATCGGGGAAGATGCCAGAGCTAAGGATGATGTTAAAGAGTTTAAGTATAGCCAATTGGAATTTGTGGTCTGGCATATTTTATAATTTAATTTAGGATACCATCAACACCACAAGCCTTTTTGGGTTGGAGGGTTTGTATTTTGTCCTGTAGTTCATTCAATGTAATTGGAGAATCCAGTGGGTTCTGGTAGTCTTTAATAGTTGAGTCTAAGATTTGTATTTGATCATGTATATGTTTTTACTGTTTGTTCTTTGTTATAGAGCCAAAAGATTAGAGAAGTGGTTTATCCACCCATCTCCATTTTGGATAGATAACTCTTCGTGTTGTTGTTTGTTTAGTGTTTTCCAATTTTCCCAGAAGTGGTTAGATTCTATGGATTCTTCAATTACATTGAGCTGATTTCTGACATGTTGTTCCTTCTTTTTCCGTAGTGTATTTCTGTATTGTTTTAGTGATACACCATAGTGAAGGCATAGACTCAGGTTTTCTGGGTCTCTATGTTTTTGGTTGGATAGGATTCTCGATTTCTTTCTTAGGTTTTTGCATTCTTCATCAAACCATTTGTCACTGTTGTTAATTTTCTTATGTTGTCTGCTTAAATTTTTTTGATTTGATAGGGAAGCGGAGGTCAAATATACTGTTTAGGTTTTCTACTGCCAAGTTTACACCTTCACTATTACAGTGAAACATTTTGTCCAGGAAGTTGTCTAAAAGGGATTGAATTTGATGTTCCCTAATTGTTTTTTGGTAGGTTTCAACACTACTTTCCTTCCATCTATAGCATGTCTTAATATTATTCAATTCATTTGGCTTTGATGCCTCATGACTGAGTATCGCTCTGTTCAAGTATTGCTCTGTGTCTCTCCTTCCTCTCTCGAGCGAGGAGAGAGAGAGAGAGCGATCGAGAGCGAGAAGCGAGAGAGAGAGCGAAGGCGAGAGAGATAGAGCAGTACGAGTAGCTCTATCTCTCTCTCTCTATCTCTTATCGTTCGCTTATCTTCTCTCTCTCTCTCTCTCTCTCTCTCTCTCTCTCTCTCTCTCTCTCTCTCTCTCCTCTCTCTCTCTCTCTCTCTCTCTCTCTCTCTCTCTCTCTCTCGTCCAGGGTCCTGAGGCTGTGGCTGCTGCTCTGGCTGGTTGTAAGATCCTGAAAGAGATGTCTGGCCTGGAGTCAGAGGCAGAATCAGCACGCAGCATGAAGGAGGCCAAGTATGAACAGTTTGCCCTAGGTGAGAGACACAAGGAGTGTGTGAGCACATACACACACACACTGGATAAAACATGCAGTATCACACTCTGAGATGGCATAATGCTCTCGGCTCACAAACCATCCCTTAGTTGAAATACACCATTAAGACAAAGATGTTCCCTGAAAGTATCTGTTTTCCTAGGGAACTCTCACAGGGTTATGATTCACAGTAAGATCATCACAAGATAAGAATCTAGATACAACCAATGCCTATAGACTAAAGAACGGTGTGAAGTCTTGGTAAGTGTGTTGAGTCTGGTGTGTGTGGGTTGCCAGATCTGTTTGGGGAGTGCTACTCTAACAGTGAGGACAGGGCCTATGCTCTTCTGGTGAGAAGGACCCGCTGCTGGAATCAATCCACCGTCCTCAACCTGGCAACCGAGGCTGACGCTAAGTGCTTCTTCGCCCACGATGGAGTCCAGGTAGGCTACAGTAACATGTACAGACACAGACACACTCAGACAGACATGTGGCCTCCTTACTTTCAAATCTTGATGTTACGAAACAAATTATTACATTAGATAGATTTGACTGTGTACACGGACAATATTCATGGAGTTCTCTTGGTGTGAGACCGTGTGTCGATAGGTGTGTTTTATGGGGTGAAGTGCCCTCTGCTGGTTTCAGTGTTGATCGGTGTGTTTTATGGGGTGATGAGCCCTCTGCTGGTTTCAGTGTCGATAGGGGTGTTTTATGGGGTGATGAGCCCTCTGCTGGTTTCAGTGTCGATATGTGTGTTTTATGGGGTGATGAGCCCTCTGCTGGTTTCTGTGTCGATAGGGGTGTTTTATGGGGTGAAGTGCCCTCTGCTGGTTTCAGTGTTGATCGGTGTGTTTTATGGGGTGATGAGCCCTCTGCTGGTTTCAGTGTCGATAGGGGTGTTTTATGGGGTGATGAGCCCTCTGCTGGTTTCAGTGTTGATATGTGTGTTTTATGGGGTGATGAGCCCTCTGCTGGTTTCAGTGTTGATCGGTGTGTTTTATGGGGTGATGTGCCCTCTGCTGGTTTCAGTGTTGATCGGTGTGTTTTATGGGGTGATGAGCCCTCTGCTGGTTTCAGTGTCGATATGTGTGTTTTATGGGGTGATGAGCCCTCTGCTGGTTTCAGTGTTGATCGGTGTGTTTTATGGGGTGATGAGCCCTCTGCTGGTTTCAGTGTCGATAGGGGTGTTTTATGGGGTGATGAGCCCTCTGCTGGTTTCAGTGTCGATATGTGTGTTTTATGGGGTGATGAGCCCTCTGCTGGTTTCAGTGTTGATCGGTGTGTTTTATGGGGTGATGTGCCCTCTGCTGGTTTCAGTGTTGATCAGTGTGTTTTATGGGGGTGATGAGCCCTATGCTGGTTTCAGTGTCGATATGTGTGTTTTATGGGGTGATGAGCCCTCTGCTGGTTTCAGTGTTGATCGGTGTGTTTTATGGGGTGATGAGCCCTCTGCTGGTTTCAGTGTCGATAGGTGTGTTTTATGGGGTGATGAGCCCTCTGCTGGTTTCAGTGTCAATAGGGGTGTTTTATGGGGGTGATGAGCCCTCTGCTGGTTTCAGTGTCAATAGGGGTGTTTTATGGGGTGAAGTGCCCTCTGCTGGTTTCAGTGTTGATCGGTGTGTTTTATGGGGTGATGAGCCCTCTGCTGGTTTCAGTGTCGATAGGTGTGTTTTATGGGGTGATGAGCCCTCTGCTGGTTTCAGTGTCAATAGGGGTGTTTTATGGGGTGAAGTGCCCTCTGCTGGTTTCAGTGTCGATAGGGGTGTTTTATGGGGTGATGAGCCCTCTGCTGGTTTCAGTGTCAATAGGGGTGTTTTATGGGGTGAAGTGCCCTCTGCTGGTTTCAGTGTCGATAGGTGTGTTTTATGGGGTGAAGTGCCCTCTGCTGGTTTCAGTGTCAATAGACAGTGGTGTAAAGTACTTAAGTAAAAATACTTGAAAGTACTATTTAAGTAGTTTTTTTGGGTATCTGTACTTTACTATTTATATTTTGGACAACTTTTACTTTTACTTCACTACATTCCGAAAAAATAATGTACTTTTTACTACTTACATTTTCCCTGACACCCAAAGGTACTCGTTACATTTTGAGTGCTTAGCAGGGCAATAAAATGGTCCAATTCACACACTTATCAAGAGAACATCCCTGGTCATCCCTACAGACTCATATCTGGTGGACTCTTTTGTAAATTATGTCTGTGTGTTGAAGCATGCCCCTGGTAATCCGTAAATAAATAAAAAAAACAAGAAAATGATGCCGTCTGGTTTGCTTAAAAATAAGGATTTTGAAATGATTTATACTTTTACTTTTACTTTTGATACTTAAGTATATTTGATCAATTACATTTATTTTTAATACTTAAATATTTAAAACCAAATACTTTTAGACTTTTATTCAAGTAGTATTTTACTGGGTGACTTTCACTTTTACTTGAGTGATTTTATATTAAGGTATCTTTACTTTTAAGTATGACAATTGGGTACTTTTTCCACCACTGTCGATAGGTGTGTTTTATGGGGTGATGTGCCCTCTGCTGGTTTCAGTGTTGATCGGTGTGTTTTATGGGGTGATGAGCCCTCTGCTGGTTTCAGTGTCGATAGGGGTGTTTTATGGGGTGATGAGCCCTCTGCTGGTTTCAGTGTCGATATGTGTGTTTTATGGGGTGATGAGCCCTCTGCTGGTTTCTGTGTCGATAGGGGTGTTTTATGGGGTGAAGTGCCCTCTGCTGGTTTCAGTGTTGATCGGTGTGTTTTATGGGGTGATGAGCCCTCTGCTGGTTTCAGTGTCGATAGGGGTGTTTTATGGGGGTGATGAGCCCTCTGCTGGTTTCAGTGTCGATATGTGTGTTTTATGGGGTGATGAGCCCTCTGCTGGTTTCAGTGTTGATCGGTGTGTTTTATGGGGTGATGTGCCCTCTGCTGGTTTCAGTGTTGATCGGTGTGTTTTATGGGGTGATGAGCCCTCTGCTGGTTTCAGTGTCGATATGTGTGTTTTATGGGGTGATGAGCCCTCTGCTGGTTTCAGTGTTGATCGGTGTGTTTTATGGGGTGATGAGCCCTCTGCTGGTTTCAGTGTCGATAGGGGTGTTTTATGGGGTGATGAGCCCTCTGCTGGTTTCAGTGTCGATATGTGTGTTTTATGGGGTGATGAGCCCTCTGCTGGTTTCAGTGTTGATCGGTGTGTTTTATGGGGTGATGTGCCCTCTGCTGGTTTCAGTGTTGATCAGTGTGTTTTATGGGGTGATGAGCCCTATGCTGGTTTCAGTGTCGATATGTGTGTTTTATGGGGTGATGAGCCCTCTGCTGGTTTCAGTGTTGATCGGTGTGTTTTATGGGGTGATGAGCCCTCTGCTGGTTTCAGTGTCGATAGGTGTGTTTTATGGGGTGATGAGCCCTCTGCTGGTTTCAGTGTCAATAGGGGTGTTTTATGGGGTGATGAGCCCTCTGCTGGTTTCAGTGTCAATAGGGGTGTTTTATGGGGTGAAGTGCCCTCTGCTGGTTTCAGTGTTGATCGGTGTGTTTTATGGGGTGATGAGCCCTCTGCTGGTTTCAGTGTCGATAGGTGTGTTTTATGGGGTGATGAGCCCTCTGCTGGTTTCAGTGTCAATAGGGGTGTTTTATGGGGTGAAGTGCCCTCTGCTGGTTTCAGTGTCGATAGGGGTGTTTTATGGGGTGATGAGCCCTCTGCTGGTTTCAGTGTCAATAGGGGTGTTTTATGGGGTGAAGTGCCCTCTGCTGGTTTCAGTGTCGATAGGTGTGTTTTATGGGGTGAAGTGCCCTCTGCTGGTTTCAGTGTCAATAGACAGTGGTTGTAAAGTACTTAAGTAAAAATACTTGAAAGTACTATTTAAGTAGTTTTTTTGGGTATCTGTACTTTACTATTTATATTTTGGACAACTTTTACTTTTACTTCACTACATTCCGAAAAAATAATGTACTTTTTACTACTTACATTTTCCCTGACACCCAAAGGTACTCGTTACATTTTGAGTGCTTAGCAGGGCAATAAAATGGTCCAATTCACACACTTATCAAGAGAACATCCCTGGTCATCCCTACAGACTCATATCTGGTGGACTCTTTTGTAAATTATGTCTGTGTGTTGAAGCATGCCCCTGGTAATCCGTAAATAAATAAAAAAAACAAGAAAATGATGCCGTCTGGTTTGCTTAAAAATAAGGATTTTGAAATGATTTATACTTTTACTTTTACTTTTGATACGTAAGTATATTTGATCAATTACATTTATTTTTAATACTTAAATATTTAAAACCAAATACTTTTAGACTTTTATTCAAGTAGTATTTTACTGGGTGACTTTCACTTTTACTTGAGTGATTTTATATTAAGGTATCTTTACTTTTAAGTATGACAATTGGGTACTTTTTCCACCACTGTCGATAGGTGTGTTTTATGGGGTGATGTGCCCTCTGCTGGTTTCAGTGTCGATAGGTGTGTTTTATGGGGTGATGAGCCCTCTGCTGGTTTCAGTGTCGATAGGTGTGTTTTATGGGGTGATGAGCCCTCTGCTGGTTTCAGTGTCGATAGGTGTGTTTTATGGGGTGATGAGCCCTCTGCTGGTTTCAGTGTCGATAGGTTTGTTTTATGGGGTGATGTGCCCTCTGCTGGTTTCAGTGTCGATAGGTGTGTTTTATGGGGTGATGAGCCCTCTGCTGGTTTCAGTGTCGATAGGTGTGTTTTATGGGGTGATGAGCCCTCTGCTGGTTTCAGTGTCGATAGGTGTGTTTTATGGGGTGATGAGCCCTCTGCTGGTTTCAGTGTCGATAGGTGTGTTTTATGGGGTGATGAGCCCTCTGCTGGTTTCAGTGTCGATAGGTTTGTTTTATGGGGTGATGTGCCCTCTGCTGGTTTCAATGTCGATAGGTGTGTTTTATGGGGTGACGTGCCCTCTGCTGGTTTCAATGTCGATAGGTGTGTTTTATGGGGTGACGTGCCCTCTGCTGGTTTCAGTGTCGATAGGTGTGTTTTATGGGGTGATGTGCCCTCTGCTGGTTTCAGTGTAGATCGGTGTGTTTTATGGGGTGACGTAACTTCCTCTCGGATTACATCTGATCTACCTCTTTCTAAAATGTGCTCGCCTCTCTTTAAAAAAAAAAAAAATAGAAATCTGTTAAACATTAGTATGACCTAAGATAAGGTTGTGTGATAACAGTGATCATGGTTTGTCCCAGGGGTTCCTCACTAAGATCTGGTGGGGGGCGATGACCACAGACACAGCCATCTCCAGACTGGTGCTGTCTTTCTTCTGTCCCCCTCTCATCTGGACCAACCTCATCAAGTTCAGGTCGCCACGGCAATCTAGCTTAATACTGTCAATGTTGTCAGAGAGTCATTTCCACGGTATGGTAGGAACCGTAGAATGCATGTCTGTTGTCGAAACACAACGTTGTGGGCACTCATTTGAGTGTTTGCGTCCATATGTAAGTGTGCTTGGGTCAATATGTTCGTGTGTGTGTGTGTGTGTGTTTATGTGCCCTTTGTGTGTGTATGTGTGTGTGTGTATGCGCCCGTGTGTGTGTGTGTGTGTATGCGCCCGTGTGTGTGTGTGTGTGTGTGTGTGTGTGTGTGTGTGTGTGTGTGTGTGTGTGTGTGTGTGTGTGTGTGTGTGTGTGTGTGTGTGTGTGTGTGTGTGTGTGGTGTGTGTGTATGTGTTTGTGTGTGTGTGTGTGTGTGTGTGTGTGTGTGTGTGTGTGTGTAGTCATGTTGTCTCTATGTGTGTAATGATGCAGTGATGAGGAGTTAGACAGTCGTGGTGGAGGAGAGGAACAGTATGTGGAGCTGGACAGTCTGGACACAGAAAAGGGCCTGCTACTAACAGACCATGGCCCTTTGTGAGTTCTAAAACGATTTAGTATACTATACCTGCTGTTTATAAAGGGACATAAAGTGTAATAAACTTTGTTCTAAGGGCAGAAAGAATCTGATTGGTTTAGGGAAGAACAAATCCGATTGGTTTCTAGAAGGTCAATGGGCGCAGTTTAACAGTTGCACAATTTTTGAAAACATGGCGGAGGTTTGAACTGAGTATCTTGTAAATAAAATGTACTACAAGTTGTAACGTTTTGAAATCATGATTTTGTTACAGTAGTCAGACAAATGTGACAATATCTCTAAGATACAACTGATCGGACGACTTGAAGCAAAGCGCCAAATGTAAAAAGCTAGCAGCAACATGCTAAACGAATCAGAGCAAGGTAGCTAGCTAAGCATTTACCTCTTAGCCACTCATGTTTCATTAATAAATAGCTAGCTAGCTAGGAGTCAGAAATATACAAGTAAGTCAATTAGCATTTGCTTTAGTGAAATGTTAAGTTGAATAAAGCTATATGAACTTTTAAAAAATGGGGATGGACTGTTACACAGCTGTGGTAACGTAAAATGATAAGCTTAACAGAGCTATTTGGCTAGCAGATAGCTATCTCTTACTAAAGTTGCGACAATAGAATAGAGCTAGCTAGCTAGGTCTCAAATATACCAGTAAATCAGCTCCCACTTACTTTATCAAAATATTTAGTTGAATAAGCTATATGAACTTAAAAATTGGAATGGGACTGTTATGTTTACCTGGGAGCAGAAACGTAAAATGCTAAGCTATATGTAGCTTAGCTGAGCAGAGCGCTACCTCCTACTAAGATTGAATTATAAAATAGAAATAGCTAGCAAGCTAGGTCAAAAATCTGCCAGTAGGTCAGTTAACGTTTGATTTATTAAAAGTTTAGTTGAATAAGCTATATAAACAAAAGAAATTGGAACAGACTCTAATGCTGCCCTGGGGGCAGTAATGTTAGTTTGGGTCAAGATCACTTGAGGCCATAAGGGCAGACTTCAAGAGCAAAAGGTATTACAAAAGTATAAACTGCCCTTGGGGCAGCCATTTGAATGCACTGTTGAAATGCTTCCCCAGGGGAAGTAATGTTAGTTTGGATCACGATCACTTGGTGCCCTAAGGGCAGACTTCAAGCGCAAAAACTCCGCCCTTTTTAGAAAGCAATCGGATTTGTTCTGCCCTAAACCAATCAGATTCTTTCTGCTCTTAGAACAAAGTTGACTAAACTTTATGTCAACCTGCATTTTAGCAGCCTTGTGAGCCAGCCAGTCTGGTAATACGAGGCTAGCATTTTAGTGGACTTTTGAAGAATACTGTGTGGTGTCGAGACAACGATGCTGACATGCTGTGAAGACAAGAAATCCGCTGACACTGTCCTTGATTATAATGGTTTATTACATCAAAGATTACAGTATCAATTTACAGACTCCTGCAGAAGTCGGGAGAACAACTGACCCAATCTCTAATATGTTATTCTCTCAGTCCTTTGTTCAAACCCTGGTATTTATATCCTATGTAACATAATATGGCGTGATTTGAATAGACCAATCCCTAACCTCCACATCTCAAATGTCCTCTGTTTCAAGGGGCCTCTGTAGTAATGTTTTCCAGATGTTTCAGCAAAGCAGAGTAAAGTTAATTTAACCAACAATATGCAAACCTCAGCCAAAGTCATAGAATCTTCAGATACTACAACTGTATATGAAAAAAATGATTTTCAAGTAAAATTCCCAATTTTCAATTTGTTGTATGGTGTTCCAGAGACTCGCGGGGTCCACCTGATGGCGTGGAGGGCCAGAGCAGCGCTGCCGTGTGGTGGCGTTTCCTGCTGCGTCGCTGGCATCGCTTCTGGAGCGCCCCGGTCACTGTGTTCCTAGGCAACGTCATCATGTACTTTGCCTTCCTCATCCTTTTCACCTACGTGCTCCTGCTGGACTTCCGTCCTCCGCCCCCCGCGGGCCCTGGGGCCCCTGAGATCATGCTCTACTTCTGGGTCTTCACCCTGGTGCTGGAGGAGCTGAGACAGGTATGTTGACATCACGGCTGGGATCTGAAGCCGGGTCTCCCGCGGGAGAAAAAACAAACGTCTTAATCGTTAGACCAAGAGGAAATGCCCTTCTAGGGCTGAGGGTGACACTGGCAGAGCTACCCCAGGAGACCATGAGCCCATCCCATGTCTTCATCATTGACATCACTTCCCGCTGGGCACAGAAGTCATTTTAACGTCTAGTTTTGATTTACATTTGGTTGAGTTGTCAACTAAAGTCCTTGGATTTAGGTTAAAAGTTGGTGTGAGTGTTATTTGTTTTTTTTTAAATAGTTTGATTACTTTTTGCAAATCCAATCAGTTGATTCAACATCATCACATTGAATTATTTTGTTGAAATTACGTGGAAAAAAAACGTTGATTCAACCTGTTTTTGCCCAGTGGGCTAGCACAGTATGTGGGCTAGCACAGTATGTGTGTCTGAAATGGCACCCTATTCCCTATATAGTGCACTACGTTCGACAAGGGCCCTGTTCAAAACACTAAGTAGTGCACTAGGAATAGGGTTCCATTTCAGTGCTTCTCAACTCTGCTCCTCAGGTACTCTTATCTTTGCTCACACAGCTCTTCATAAACTGCATCAGGTGTGTGGCTAGACAAAATATGTGCAGCGTTGAGGATACTTCGAGGACTGTTGTTGAGGAACAATGACGTTTAGCCTGGGGAAATTTAACATAAATTACTCAAATGACCTCAAATGTTGTGATACTGCTAATAGAATGATACTGCTAATTGTGATTTTCTAACTGAGTGAACTAACGCTTTATTAACCTGGGCGATGCAGAGTTTCTTCACAGACGAAGACATGAGCATCCTAAAGAAATTCAAGCTGTACGTGGAGGACAACTGGAACAAGTGTGACATGGTGGCCATCTCGCTCTTCGTAATCGGAGTGTCCTGCAGGTGAGCAGGTGTAGGATCTTAATTTGACCAGTTTCGTCGCAACAGTAAAATAATCCTGCAGCAGGAGGAATATGTATACATTTTTTTAAATTGATAATTTCTAACAGGAAATTCGTTTTGATAGGCTACATTAGTTTAGGTGTGATATCTAGTGACCTGGTGTCCCAGGTCTTAATCAGTCCCTGATTAGAGGGGGGAGAATGAAAAAAATCAGTGGAACTGGAGTTCGAGGTCCAGATTTGAATTTGAGGGCCATAGTTTAATATAGGTCTAATGTAGGATGTAATTATTCCAGGATGGTGAAAGATACGTATGAGGCGGGACGCACGGTTCTGGCGCTGGACTTCATGGTGTTCACACTACGCCTCATCCACATCTTCGCCATCCACAAGCAACTGGGGCCCAAGATCATCATTGTGGAGAGGATGGTAAAGTATAGTACTGTTAAAAAGACAAAACGTGTATGACTACCCCCACAAAGCTTGATCCGTAAATACAACGTAGCCCCACTAAACCGAATTTTGAAAAATCAAATGTATTTGTGTATCAGGTTTGAGGTCAATCCATTTAAATTCCAGTCAATTCAGAAAGTAAACCAAATTCAAATTTGTAATTCTTGTCATTGAATTTTCTTTTTGAGAATTGGAATTGGAATTCCAGTGTACTCCCTGAATTGACTTGAATTTAAATGCAATTGACCCCAACCTACAAATGAAATTGTGGTTATAACCATACTTTATAAACTGGTACATTTGTACACTATATCTACAAAAGTATGTGGACATCCCTTCAAATTAGTGGATTTCAACCACACTCATTGCTGACAGGTTTGCATAAAATCGAGCACACAGCCATGCAATCTCCATAGACAAACATTGGCAGTAGAATGGCCTTTATGAAGAGCTCAGTGACATTCAACGTGGCACCGCCACTTTTCCAACCAGTCAGTTTGTCAAATTTCTGCCCTGCTAGAGCTGCCCCGGTTAACTGTAAGTGCTTTTATTGTGAAGTGGAAACATCTAGGAGCAACAACGGCTCAGCCGCGAAGTGGTAGGCCACACAAGCTCACAGAACGGGACCATCGAGCGCTGAAGCACGTAGCGCGTAAAAATCATCTGTCCTCGGTTGCAACACTCACTAGTTCCAAACTGCCTCTGGAAGTAATGTCAGCACAATAACTGTTCGTCGGGACCTTCATGAAATGGGTTTCCATGGCCGAGCAGCCGCACACAAGCCTAAGATCACCATGCGCAATGCCAAGCGTCGGTATTAGTGGTGTAAAGCTCGCCGCCATTGGACTCTGGAGCAGTGGAAACACGTTCTCTGGAGTGATGAATCACGCTTCACCATCTGGCAGACCAACGGACGAATTTGGGTTTGGTGGATGCCAGGAGAACACTACATACCCGAATGCATAGTGCCAACTGTAAAGTTTAGTGGAGGTAGAATAATGGTCTGGGACTGTTTTTCTTGGTTCAGGCTAGGCCCCTTAGTTCCAGTGAAGGGAAATCGTAATGCTACAGCATACAATGACATTCTAGACGATTATGTGCTTCCAACTTTGTGACAACAGTTTCCTGTTTTAGCATGACAATGCCCCCTTGCACAAAGTGAGGTCCATACAGAAATGGTTTATCAAGGTCCGTGTGGAAGAACTTGACTGGCCTGCACAGAGCTCTGACCTCCACCCCATCGAACACCTTTGGGATGAATTGTAACGGCGACTGCGAGCCAGGCCTAATCGCCCAACATCATTGCCCGACCTCACTAATGCTCTTGTGGCTGAATGGAAGCAAGTCCCCGCAGCAATGTTCCAACATCTAGTAGAAAGCCTTCCCAGAGGAGTTGAAGCTGTTATAGCAGCAAAGGGGGGGGGGGGGGGGGGGGGGGGGGGGGGGGGGGGCAACTCCATATTAATGCCCATGATTTTGGAATGAGATGTTCGACAAGCAGGTGTCCACATACTTTTGGTCATGTAGTATATGTCAGATGAGGATTACACGTAATGTTTGTGCTCTGTTCTTCCTGGCAGATGAAGGATGTGTTCTTCTTCCTCTTCTTCCTGAGTGTGTGGCTCATAGCGTACGGCGTGGCTACTCAGGCCCTTCTCCACCCCAACGACCCGCGCCTAGACTGGGTGTTCCGCAGGGTCCTGTACCGACCCTACCTGCACATCTTTGGCCAGATCCCATTGGAAGAGATTGATGGTGAGATAGAATGTTTTCTGTTTTCTAGCAATTTGTGTGCTCTGTTATAGTCATATACATGCAGTTTCCATGTAGTTCAGTTTACAAGTAGTTTACACGTAGTTCAGTTTACAAGTAGTTTACACGTAGTTCAGTTAACATGTAGTTTACATGTAGTTTGCATGTAGTTCAGTTTACATGTAGTTGACATATAGTTCCATTTACATGTACTTTACACGTATTTTACATGTAGTTCCATTTTCATGTAGTTTACATGTAGTTTCGTTTACATGTAGTATACTTGTAGTATACATGTAGTTCAGTTAACATGTAGTTTACATGTAGTTCCATTTACTTGTATTTTACATGTAGTTCCATTTACTTGTATTTTACATGTAGTTTACATGTAGTATACATGTAGTTACATGTAGTTCAGTTTACATGTAGTTTACATATAGTTATGTTTACATGTAGGATATACAGTACCAGTCAAAAGTTTGGACACACCTACTCATTCCAGGGTTTTTCTTTATTTGTACTATTTTCTACATTGTAGAATAGTAGTGAAGACATCAAAACTATGAAATAACAGATATGGAATCATGTAGTAACCAAAAAAGTGTTAAACAAATCAAAATATATTTTAGATTTGAGATTCTTCAAAGTAGCCACCCTTTGCCTTGATGACAGCTTTGCACACTCTTGTCATTCTCTCAACCAGCTTCATGAAGTAGTCACCAGGAATGCATTTCAATTAACAGGTGTGCCTTCTTAAAAGTTAATTTGTGGAATTTCTTCCTTCTTAATGTGTTTGAGCCAATCAGTTGTGTTGTGACAGGGTATGGGGGGGTATACAGAAGATAGCCCTATTTGGTAAAAGACCAAGTCCATATTATGGCAAGAACAGCTCAAATAAGCAAAGAGAAACGACAGTCTATCATTACTTTAAGACATAAAGGTCAGTCAATCAGGAAAATGTCAAGAACCTTGAACGTTTCTTCAAGTGCAGTCGCAAAAACCAACTCAGTTCATTAGAGGTAACTGCACCTCAGATTGCAGCCCAAATAAATGCTTCACAGAGTTCAAGTAACAGACACATGACTACATGATTCAAAATGTGTTATTTCATAGTTTCGATGTCTTCAGTATTATTCTACAATGTAGAAAATAGTAAAAATAAAGAAAAACCCTGGAGTAGGTGTGTCCAAACTTTTGACTGGTGCTGTTTGTAGTTCAGTTAACATGTAGTTTACATGTAGTTCAGTTTCGTTCGGTGCGACATCTTGTCATTCAATGTATCTCTTGAATTGTTAGTGACTATAAGGGCCCTTGGTGTAAAACAAAGTATTTCTCCATGCTTGACCACACTGCCGGGCACTGCTCAGCGGGCAACCTGCGTCTGTGTTAAGCAGTGCATTTTCTTGTTCGTAAAAAGCAAATATCTGTGAACGACAGATAATGAAGAACTATCTTAATCTAATCTTCCCAGAGGCACGGATGCCCGACACCAACTGCACCACGGAGATAGAGGAGATCATCATGGGAACTCTGCCCCCCTGCCCCAACATCTACGCCAACTGGCTGGTCATCCTGCTGCTGGTCATCTTCTTACTGGTTACCAACGTTCTGCTGCTCAACCTCCTCATCGCCATGTTCAGGTCTAAAACTCAACACACGCGGCACTCTGGTCACAGTCATCGCCCAGGAAAGAATAGTTCACTCTGATGAGGGAGCTTGACTTCAAAACATGTCCCAATTCAGGGCCAAATTCAATTCAAAATGTGCTCCAAGAAGAGAGGTTTGGATGTATTCATTGACATCCACAGTGTGAAACCAAAAGAAACTCTCAGGCACAATCATTCAAACATACTTTTGTTGGTTTTTCACTGACCCAGAACACCTGGTAAAACGTTTTGTTTGAGTAAAGCCCCTAGACCTACAGTGTTTTTAATGATTTAAAGGAAGTCTGGCCTGAACTTTGACATTTTTTTTTTTTCCAGTCATTTAGCAGACGCTCTTATCCAGAGCGACTTACAGGAGCAATTAGGGTTAAGTGCCTTGCTCAAGGGCACATTGACAGATTTTTCACCTAGTCAGCTCGGGGATTAGAACCAGCGACCTTTCGGTTACTGGCACAACGCTCTTAACCACTAACCATCTGACATGATTATTAATAATATTAATTATTAGGGTTGTGTATTTCATGGGCGTACACAATTCAACTGTCTCTCTGCCTTGGATTTTCCACAGAAAAAGATGAATACTTACTTAACAGTATCTCATGCACTGTATTCTCACTGTGATCTTTCGTCCACCTCCGTGCTTACAGCTACACGTTCCAGGTGGTGCAGGGCAACACGGACATCTTCTGGAAGTTCCAGAGGTACAACCTGATCGTGGAGTACCACAGCCGGCCAGCCTTAGCTCCGCCCTTCATCATAATCAGCCACTGCTCCCAGCTCCTCCTCAGCCTCGTCAAGAGGCCTGAGCCCAAACTGGAGCAACTGGGTAGGGCCATAGACATACGTATTGACATCGCATACATATAGTGGGGAGAACAAGTATTTGATACACTGCCGATTTTGCAGGTTTTCCTACTTACAAAGCATGTAGAGGTCTGTAATTTTTTATCATAGGTACACTTCAACTGTGAGAGACGGAATCTAAAACAAAAATCCAGAAAATCACATTGTATGATTTTTAAGTAATTAATTTGCATTTTATTGCATGACATAAGTATTTGATCACCTACCAACCAGTAAGAATTCCGGCTCTCACAGACCTGTTAGTTTTTCTTTAAGAAGCCCTCCTGTTCTCCACTCATTACCTGTATTAACTGCACCTGTTTGAACTCGTTACCTGTATAAAAGACACCTGTCCACACACTCAATCAAACAGACTCCAACCTCTCCACAATGGCCAAGACCAGAGAGCTGTGTAAGGACATCAGGGATAAAATTGTAGATCTGCACAAGGCTGGGATGGGCTACAGGACAATAGGCAAGCAGCTTGGTGAGAAGGCAACAACTGTTGGCGCAATTATTAGAAAATGGAAGAAGTTCAAGATGACGGTCAATCACCCTCGGTCTGGGGCTCCATGCAAGATCTCACCTCGTGGGGCATCAATGATCATGAGGAAGGTGAGGGATCAGCCCAGAACTACACGGCAGGACCTGGTCAATGACCTGAAGAGAGCTGGGACCACAGTCTCAAAGAAAACCATTAGTAACACACTACGCCGTAATGGATTAAAATCCTGCAGTGCACGCAAGGTCCCCCTGCTCAAGCCAGCGCATGTCCAGGCCCGTCTGAAGTTTGCCAATGACCATCTGGATGATCCAGAGGAGGAATGGGAGAAGGTCATGTGGTCTGATGAGACAAAAATTGAGCTTTTTGGTCTAAACTCCACTCGCCTTGTTTGGAGGAAGAAGAAGGATGAGTACAACCCCAAGAACACCATCCCAACCTTGAAGCATGGAGGTGGAAACATCATTCTTTGGGGATGCTTTTCTGCAAAGGGGACAGGATGACTGCACCGTATTGAGGGGAGGATGGATGGGGCCATGTATCGCGAGATCTTGGCCAACAACCTCCTTCCCTCAGTAAGAGCATTAAAGATGGATCGTGGCTGGGTCTTCCAGCATGACAACAACCCGAAACACACAGCCAGGGCAACTAAGGAGTGGCTCCGTAAGAAGCATCTCAAGGTCCTGGAGTGGCCTAGCCAGTCTCCAGACCTGAACCTAATAGAAAATCTTTGGAGGGAGCTGAAAGTCCGTATTGCCCAGTGACAGCCCCGAAACCTGAAGGATCTGGAGAAGGTCTGTATGGAGGAGTGGGCCAAAATCCCTGCTGCAGTGTGTGCAAACCTGGTCAAGACCTACAGGAAACGTATGATCTCTGTAATTGCAAACAAAGGTTTCTGTACAAATATTAAGTTCTGCTTTTCTGATGTATCAAATACTTATGTCATGCAATAAAATGCATATTCATTACTTAAAAATCATACAATATGATTTTCTGGATTTTTGTTTTAGATTCCGTCTCTCACAGTTGAAGTGTACCTATGATAAAAATTACAGACCTCTACATGCTTTGTAAGTAAGAAAACCTGCAAAATCGGCAGTGTATCAAATACTTGTTCTCCCCACTGTACATGTATACTTACGTACTGCAGGTAAATACTTACACACACGCATTCACACGTTCATATACAGTACATGTGTTTTTATATGTTGTCGGTTGCAAACAGCCCTACTGCACATCGTAGAGTGAACGTACACAATGTAATTAAGTTTAAAATGAAAAAGAACTCACATGGACAGTGTACAGGTCCTTAGACCGTGGTGTTGGTGCTAGTATGTAGAATCTTACAGAGTGATGTTGGTGCTAGTATATAGATCTTAATGGTGTTGGTGCTAGTATATAGAATCTTACGAGTGGTGTTGGTGCTAGGATATATACGAATCGTACAGAGTGAAGTGGTGTTGGTTGCTTAGTATATCGAATCTTACAGAGATGGTTGTTGGTGCTAGTAGTATATAGAATCTTACAGAGTGGTGTTGGTGCTTGCTAGTGATAGAATCTTACAGCGTTCGGGTGTTGGTGCTAGTAATAGAATCTTACAGAGTGGTTGTCTGGTGCTAGTATATAGAATCTTAGAGGGGGGATGTATATAGCATCTTTACAGGAGTGGGTGGTTGTTGCTGGTGTATATAGAATTCTTACAGAGTTGGTGTTGGTGGATTAGTATATAGCATCTGACAGAGTGGCGGTTGTGATAGTATATAGAATCTTACAGAGATGGGTTGGTGCTAGTAGATAGAATTAGAGTGGTGTTGTGTTGCTAATATTATATAGAATCTTACAGAGTGGTGTTGGTGCTAGTATATAGAATCTTACAGAGTGGTGTTGGTGCTAGTATATAGAATCTTACAGAGTGGTGTTGGTGCTAGTATATAGAATCTTACAGAGTGGTGTTGGTGCTAGTATATAGAATCTTACAGAGTGGTGTTGGTGCTAGTATATAGAATCTTACAGAGTGGTGTTGGTGCTAGTATATAGAATCTTACAGAGTGGTGTTGGTGCTAGTATATAGAATCTTACAGAGTGGTGTTGGTGCTAGTATATAGAATCTTACAGAGTGGTGTTGGTGCTAGTATATAGAATCTTACAGAGTGGTGTTGGTGCTAGTATATAGAATCTTACAGAGTGGTGTTGGTGCTAGTATATAGAATCTTACAGAGTGGTGTTGGTGCTAGTATATAGAATCTTACAGAGTGGTGTTGGTGCTAGTATATAGAATCTTAGAGTGGTGTTGGTGATAGTATATAGAATCTTACAGAGTGGTGTTGGTGCTAGTATATAGAATCTTACAGAGTGGTGTTGGTGATAGTATATAGAATCTTACAGAGTGGTGTTGGTGATAGTATATAGAATCTTACAGAGTGGTGTTGGTGCTAGTATATAGAATCTTAGAGTGGTGTTGGTGATAGTATATAGAATCTTACAGAGTGGTGTTGGTGCTAGTATATAGAATCTTACAGAGTGGTGTTGGTGATAGTATATAGAATCTTACAGAGTGGTGTTGGTGATAGTATATATAATCTTACAGAGTGGTGTTGGTGCTAGTATATAGAATCTTACAGAGTGGTGTTGGTGCTAGTATATAGAATCTTACAGAGTGGTGTTGGTGCTAGTATATAGAATCTTACAGAGTGGTGTTGGTGCTGTGTGTTCAGAGAGGGAGCTGCCTGCAGGTCTGGACCAGAGGTTGATCACCTGGGAGACTGTACAGAAGGAGAACTACCTGGCCAAACTGGAACACCAGCACCTGGAGAGCAGCGAGGAGAGACTGAAGAGCACCTCTTCCAAGTAACCCTTACACAGTGTTTTGTTTTGTAAATGGTATTGATCCATTCCCACCACGTTATGTGTGCTGTATATTTGTAATTCTTATGAACTACCTTTAAGTCAGTCTGTACCCTTCATTTGTGTCAGTGATATTCAATGTGTTTTTCAAATGTTTTTCTTTGTGACAAAAGGGTTCAGAGCTTATTGAAGATTGTTGGAGGATTCAAGGAGCAAGAGAAGCGGATGTCATCCATGGAAGCTCAGGTACAAAAATAGCTATTTATTTATCTTGCCCGGCATAATAGAACCAATAGAGTAGTCCCAAAAGTGCAAACTCGGCCAGACAACACCAGTGATGGTGCATGTGTGTGTATTATCAAAGGTGTGTCAATTTGTAAGTCGCTCTGGATAAGAGCGTCTGCTAAATGACGTAAATGTAATGTAAATGTGTGTAATAGGTATGCCTCTGTCTGTCCCAACCCCAGGTGAAGTACAGTGGGGAGGTGCTGTCCTGGATCGCTGAGTGCCTTTCCCTGAGTACACTCAAGTGTGAGAGAGAGGCCCCCAGAGTTCCATGTGAGTGATGATGCTAATGATGATCATGATGATACTAGTGATGATGCTAGTGATACTAGTGATGATGCTAGTGATAATACTAGTGATGATACTAGTGATGATGCTAGTGATGATGCTAGTGATGATGCTAGTGATGATACTAGTGATGGTACTAGTGATGATGCTAGTGATGATACTAGTGATGATGCTAGTGATGATGCTAGTGATGATACTAGTGATGGTACTAGTGATGATGCTAGTGATGATGCTAGTGATTATACTAGTGATGGTACTAGTGATACTAGTGATGATGCTAGTGATGATACTAGTGATGATGCTAGTGATGATGCTGGTGATGATACTAGTGATGCTAGTGATTATGCTAGTGATGGTACTAGTGATACTAGTGATGATACTAGTGATGATACTAGTGATGATACTAGTGATGATACTAGTGATTATACTAGTGATGATGCTAGTGATGATGCTAGTGATGATACTAGTGATGATGCTAGTGATGATACTGGTGATGATGCTAGTGATTATACTAGTGATTATACTAGTGATGATGCTTGTGATGATGCTAGTGATGATACTAGTGATTATACTAGTGATTATACTAGTGATGATGCTTGTGATGATGCTAGTGATGATGCTAGTGATGATGCTAGTGATGATGCTAGTGATGATACTAGTGATTATACTAGTGATTATACTAGTGATGATGCTAGTGATGATACTAGTGATGATGCTAGTGATGATACTGGTGATGATGCTAGTGATGATGCTAGTGATGATGCTAGTGAAGATACTAGTGATGATGCTAGTGATGATGCTAGTGATACTAGTGATGATACTAGTGATGATACTAGTGATGATACTAATGATGCTAGTGATGATGCTAGTGATGATGCTAGTGATGATGCTAGTGATGATACTAGTGATGATACTAGTGATGATACTGGTGATGATGCTAGTGATTATACTAGTGATGATGCTAGTGATGATGCTAGTGATGATACTGGTGATGATGCTAGTGATGGTACTGGTGATGATGCTAGTGATGATGCTAGTGATGATGCTAGTGATGATACTAGTGATGATGCTAGTGATGATGCTGGTGATGATACTAGTGATGCTAGTGATTATGCTAGTGATGGTACTAGTGATACTAGTGATGATACTAGTGATGATACTAGTGATGATACTAGTGATGATGCTAGTGATGATGCTAGTGATGATACTAGTGATGATGCTAGTGATGATACTGGTGATGATGCTAGTGATTATACTAGTGATTATACTAGTGATGATGCTTGTGATGATGCTAGTGATGATACTAGTGATTATACTAGTGATTATACTAGTGATGATGCTTGTGATGATGCTAGTGATGATGCTAGTGATGATGATAGTGATGATGCTAGTGATGATACTAGTGATTATACTAGTGATGATACTAGTGATGATGCTAGTGATGATACTGGTGATGATGCTAGTGATGATGCTAGTGATGATGCTAGTGAAGATACTAGTGATGATGCTAGTGATGATGCTAGTGATACTAGTGATGATACTAGTGATGATGCTAGTGATGATACTAGTGATGATACTAATGATGCTAGTGATGATGCTAGTGATGATGCTAATGATGATGCTAGTGATGATACTAGTGATGATACTAGTGATGATACTGGTGATGATGCTAGTGATTATACTAGTGATGATGCTAGTGATGATGCTAGTGATGATACTGGTGATGATGCTAGTGATGGTACTGGTGATGATGCTAGTGATGATACTGGTGATGATGCTAATGATGATACTGGTGATGATGCTAGTGATGATGCTAGTGATGATACTGGTGATTATGCTAGTGATGATACTGGTGATGATGCTAGTGATGATACTGGTGATGATGCTAGTGATGATGCTAGTGATGATACTAGTGATGGTACTAGTGATTATACTAGTGATGATGCTAGTGATGATGCTAGTGATGATACTGGTGATGATGCTAGTGTTGATACTGGTGATGATGCTAGTGATGTAGCTCAGTTGGTAGAGCATGGCGTTTGCAACGCCAGGGTTGTGGGTTCGATAAAATAATGTATGTGCTAACTGTAAGTCGCTCTGGATAAGAGCGTCTGCTAAATGACTAAAATGTAAATGTAATGATACTGGTGATTATACTAGTGATGATGCTAGTGATGATGCTAGTGATGATACTAGTGATGCTAGTGATGATGCTAGTGATGATGCTAGTGATGGTACTAGTGATGATGCTAGTGATGATACTAGTGATGATACTAGTGATGCTAGTGATGATGCTAGTGATGATGCTAGTGATGATGCTAGTGATGGTACTAGTGATACTAGTGATGATACTAGTGATTATACTGGTGATGATGCTAGTGATGATACTGGTGATGATGCTAGTGATTATACTAGTGATTATACTAGTGATGATGCTAGTGATGATGCTAGTGATGATACTGGTGATGATGCTAGTGATGATGCTAGTGATAATGCTAGTGATGATGCTAGTGATGATGCTAGTGATGATACTGGTGATGATGCTAGTGATGATACTGGTGATGATGCTAGTGATGATGCTAGTGATGATACTGGTGATGATGCTAGTGATTATACTAGTGATGATGCTAGTGATGATGCTAGTGATGATGCTAGTGATGATACTGGTGATGATGCTAGTAATGATACTAGTGATGATACTGGTGATGATACTGGTGATGGTACTAGTGATGATACTAGTGATGGTACTAGTGATGGTACTAGTGATGATGCTAGTGATGATGCTAATGATGATACTGGTGATGATGCTAATGATGATACTGGTGATGATGCTAGTGATGATGCTAGTGATGATACTGGTGATGATACTGGTGATGATGCTAGTGATGATACTGGTGATGATGCTAGTGATGATACTGGTGATGATGCTAGTGATGATACTGGTGATGATACTGGTGATGATACTAGTGATTATACTAGTGATGATGCTAGTGATGATGCTAGTGATGATGCTAGTGATGATACTGGTGATGATGCTAGTGATGATACTAGTGATGACACTAGTGATGGTACTAGTGATACTAGTGATGGTACTATTGATGGTACTAGTGATACTAGTGATGATACTAGTGATACTACTGATGATGCTAGTGATGATACTAGTGATGGTACTAGTGAAACTAGTGATGGTACTAGTGAAACTAGTGATGGTACTAGTGATGATACTAGTGATGATGCTAATGATGATCATGATTATACTAGTGATGATCATGATGATACTAGTGATGATGCTATCGATGGTACTAGTGGTGATGCTAGTGATGATACTAGTGATGATACTAGTGATGATGCTATCGATGGTACTAGTGGTGATGCTAGTGATGATACTAGTGATGATGCTAGTGATGATGATAATGATGCTAATAGTGATGATGATAGAGGTGATCATACTATAGTTTTTTATTTACAACAATATGCAGTAGATGCTAGTGGCTACAATAAAAAAGTTGTACCTAGTGGTTTTAACTCTGATTTGCAGGTATGAAGCATTGTTGACAAAGTGGGTTTGTGTCCTGGGTGGGTTGTACAGGGAGGAACTCTCTGTTACAACAGCATAGTCTAAATGTCAATATTTCTTATAGCTGTCAAGGCTACTGGTTTCACAGGTGCGAAGGCCAGCACTTCCAGAAATCCCCATCAGAATGTGTCAGACAAGGAGGTCAAGCCAGAGAGGAGAGAGGCTAAACCAGGCCCCTCGGGATACGGCGCAAACAAGAGGTTTCCTTACATCGACAAATAACATCCATATCAAAAGTAGTGTTTTTGTAATATGAATCCCAGCCTGGAAATCAAACCACTAATTTTCTGAATGTTTTTAGTGTAAAATTAGTTTGTGTGCTGGCTGAGACATGACTGAATCTGAATCCAAAGTGCCTTATTAAAATGAATAGCCTTGATCCGAATGTGTCTGACTGTGATTTGTGATGTACCATGTTTCTACTCAAGAGTGCCACCACCAATACATTCCGAAATATCTCAGTACCAAGAATAATTTACATGTGACAAATACAATTGTATTTTATTTGAATTTAATGTTAAGACCCTGTGCAACCACTTATTTAAAGGAGACAAGGAAAGGATATATTTTTCACCAATCAGATCTGAACAATATCTGATGTGAAAAGATCAGAATTGGGCTGGCTGTGTAAACGCAGCCTTAGATATTTATTAAGTGAAGCCAGTTCAGGCGGGAAACTCAGCCGGTGCTGCGTTCAATCTATCTGGTTAACAGCATCAACTGAGCTTGCACCAATCAGATTCAAACACTTCCGGCTTTGATCCCCCCCACTGGTGTTTTCCATGAGGGGGGCCCCAAGCAGTTCTCTCTTTGATATTACCATAAGAAAAAAGGGGTAAGTAATGGAAAGATATAGTTGAGACTTTAAATAAAGTTTGCATGCATTATGTAGTCATGTGTAGCTCAGTTGGTAGAGCATGGCGTTTGCAACGCCAGGGTTGTGGGTTCGTTTCCCACGGGGGACCAGTATGAAAAGGAAATGTATGCACTCTGGATAAGAGCGTCTGCTAAATGACTAAAAATGTAAAAATTATATATATATATTTTTGTCATTACTTGAAAATGAACAGAAACACAAAAGTATAATGTGAACTGCATGATGTAATTTGGGTGTGAGTACCTCTATCTGACCACTAGAGAGAAGCCTCTTATAAGATAAGGAACATTGATGACATCAGGGATCCTATTTACAAGTCATTGTAGGAAGAATACGAGCTCATATCAATCACTTTTGTCCTGTAAAGGGTTGATTATGGATGTCTGACCTGTAGTATCCTATTGTCTTCTCTCTTTCTAATTCATCTAGCTAATAATGTAGGCTAACAACTTTATAATGGCAAATGAAAAAAAATCGCATTCAACATAATTTCTCGACCTGACATTTTGTTGTCAGCTACTGCTTCCTCTGTAGTCATGGAGATGGAATATAGAGAGGTCACCTATCTTTGCTATGATGGATTCTGTGACAGTATGTGCAATGTCCATGTTACACTGAAATTCAAGCACTTTCACACCTTGAAATGGTCCCATTCAAAGCATAAAAGCATTTTCAAGGTTTTTAAGCACCTGTAAGAACCCTGCAAAAAGGTTTTGTAAAAGCAGATGCTTAATCAATGACAAACAACATTTATTTTCATAAGCTTTAGTGAACCAAAAAGCATTTCAAGATGAAGTGAACAAGAGCATCGGTACAGTTACGCAACAAACAACGGAAAGTATCAAACAAACAGCTCTCCAGTCCATGAGCAATGAAGTAGATCTGTCTGAAATGGTGGATTTATACACCGCTGTCAGAAAACACTAGGTTCAATGGAAGGTGGCGTGGTAATAAGCATGGTACATTATTAAAAAGTAGACCCTTCAAAAAGACCAGTAGTGATGACTCCCACATTCCATTCGTGAACTGACAATGAAATATATTAGTCAATTATTTAATAATTTAAAACGATCTTCGGCTAACCAAGAACAGTGTTCTGACAGCACGGTTTTCATAGATTTTGCAATTTTATAATTAACACAAATTGTTTTTGGCTTGTCATACACAAACAGCGATGTAGGTAATGAATATCTAATGCAGCATGAGCTGGTTTGTCACATGGTAATGGTCAGGCTACATAAACGGGTGGTCTCTCTGGGTAGTAGAACAACTACCCACACCTTCAGTAGGAAATGTGGTCATTGTGGATAAAACTACATCTTTAAATGTGATTTTCAATTTGAAGAGGCCAACTTCTGAGAAATGTGACTGCAAAGTGTTCTCTACACACACACGATTATATCACTCAGGTCATAAAGCTATTAAATCGTCCATCTTTTTTTTTTCATGTCCTCTGATCTCTACAGCTAGCAGGCATTTTGGATAAACAGTTGGAGGTAAACACTGGCAAACGTCTGCAAAATTGTTAGTCAACAGTGTTCTGAAAGGCAGCATATTGGAGGAAATAAGACGATTTTACAAGTAACGGACTGCATTGACCCTTTCTGTTTTACTCTCTTGCACTGACTCTATGCACACACACTGGTCTCTACCCACACACTCACACACATGCATACTGACGCCACACACTTTCACACTCACTACATACGCTGCTTCTACAGCTCAGTCTATTATCTATCCTGTTGCCTGGTCACTATACCCCTACCTAGTACCTATATGTACATAGCTACCTCATACGACTGCACATCGACTCGGTACTGGTAATCCCTGTATATAACCATGTTATTTTCTACTTCCTGTATATAGCCATGTTAGTTTCTACTTCCTGTATATAGCCATGTTCGTTTCTACTTCCTGTATATAGCCATGTTAGTTTCTACTTCCTGTACATAGCCCCTGTAGCTCAGTTGGTAGAGCATGGCACTTGCAATGCCAGGGTTGTGGGTTCGTTTCCCACGGGGGGCCAGTATGAAAATGTATGCACTCAATAACTGTAAGTCGCTCTGGATAAGAGCGTCTGCTAAATGACTAAACATTTTTTTTGTTTTTTATGTTAGTTTCTACTTCCTGTATATAGCCATGTTAGTTTCTACTTCCTGTATATAGCCATGTTAGTTTCTACTTCCTGTATATAGCCATGTTATTGTTTACTCATGATTTTTATTCGTTATTCACTGTGTATTTATTCCCTGTGTCACTATTTCTATTTAATATTGTTTAGTATCTTTCTCTTTAACTCTGCATTGTTGGAAAAGGACCCGTAAGTAAGCATTTCACTGCTAGTCTACACCTGTTGTTTACAAAGCATGTGACAAATACAATTTGATTTGGTTAGTGCATTGCAGCTCAGTACGAATCTCATTTGCTAGATGTTGGACAGTCATTCCTGCTCAGAGAAAGGCCCCCATAGATCCTGCTGCAGCCTAACATATTTCAAACAGGACAATACACAGTGCCTTCAGAAAGTATTCATACCCCTTGACTTTTTCCACATGTTGCTGTGTTACAGTCTGAATTTAAAATGGATCACAATGAGATTGTTTTGTCACTGGCCTACACACAATACCCCATAATGTCAAAGTGGGATTATGTTTTTCGAAATTTTTACAAATTCATTAAAAATGAAAAGATGAAATGTCTTGAGTATTCAACCCCTCTGTTATGGCAAACCTAAAGAAGTTCAGGAGTAAAAATGTGCTTAACAAGTCACATAAGTTGCATGGACTGTGTGCAATAATAGTGTTTTATCTTTGAATGACAACCTCATCTCTGTACCCCACACATACAATTATCTGTAAGGTCCTTCAAACACAGATTCAACCACAAAGACCAGGGTACAGAGGCCTCACATAGAAGGGCACCTATTGGTAGATGGGTAAAAAAAAAAAAAGCAGATTGAATATCCCTTTGAGCATGGTGAAGTTATTAATTACACTTTGGATGGTGTATAAATACACCCAGTCACTACAATGATACAGGCGTCCTTCCTAACTCAGTTGCCGGAGAGGAAGGAAACCCCTCTGGGATTTCACCAGGGGGCCAATGCTGACTTTAAAACAGTTACAGAGTTTAATGGCTGTGATAGGAGAAAACTGAGGATGGATCAACAACATTGTAGTTACTCCACAATACTAACCTAATTGACAGAGCGAAAAAAAAGGAAGCCTGTACAGAATAAAAATATTCCAAAACATACATCCTGTTTGCAACAAGGCACCAATGTAATACTGCAAATAATTGTGGCAAAGCAATTTTTCCTGAATACAAAGTGTTATGTTTTGGGCAAATCCAATACAACACATTACTGAGTACCAATCTCCATATTTTCAAGCACAGTGGTGGCTGCATCATGTTATGGGTATGCTTGTAATCGTTAAGGACTGGGGAGTTTTTCAGGATAAAGATAAATGGAATTGAAGTAAGCACAGGCAAAATCCTAGAGGAAAACCTGGTTCAGTTTGCTTTCCATCAGATACTGGGAGATGAATTCCTCTTTCATCAGGACAATAACCTAAAACACAAGGCAAAATCTACACTGGAGTTGCTTACCAAGAAGACATTGAATGTTCCTGAGTGGCCAAGTTACAGTTTTGACTTAAATCTACTTGAAAATCTATGGCAAGACCTGAAAATGTTTGTCTAGCAATGATCAATCAATTTGACAGAGCTTGAAGAATGTTGAAAATAATACATGGGCAAATGTTGCACAATCCAGGAGTGGAAAGATCTTAGAGACTTACCCAGAAAGACTCACAGCTGTAATCACTGCCAAAGGTGCTTCTATAAAGTATTGACTCAGGGGTGTGACTACTTACGTAAATGAGATATTTCTGTATTTAATTTGCAATACATTTGGAAAAAACTTTTTCATTATGTGGTATTGTGTGTGAGATAAAAAATCTACTTAATCCATTTTGAATTCAGGATGTAACAACAAAATGTGGAAGAAGTCAAGGGGTATGAATACTTTCTGAAGGCACTGTAGATGATAGATCTATGCAGACTGCAGAGACGGATTTGCAGCTTTTTTAATTGATTTCAAACAAAACAATACAGTAAGGCATATATGTCCACACAAATATATTCTACTTATTCCACAAGAAACAATCAAAAGTCCAGTGGGATTTAACATTTGAGAGTAAGTTTTCCATTCTGGTGAGTGAGGATGTCTCCATAGCCTCATCCGATTGTCAATTGTAGCTATGATGCGGTACAGTCAACAATCTTCATCCAGTGATGTAAGGCCACAAAATAAAGCCACAGACACAGGAAGAACATTTATCTCCACTGCTCTGCTAAGAACGCCACAGACACAGGAAGAACATTTCTTATCTCCACTGCTCTGCTAAGAACGCCACAGACACAGGAAGAACATTTCTTATCTCCACTGCTCTGCTAAGAACGCCACAGACACAGGAAGAACATTTCTTATCTCCACTGCTCTGCTAAGAACGCCACAGACACAGGAAGAACATTTCCTATCTCCACTGCTCTGCTAAGAACGCCACAGACACAGGAAGAACATTTCCTATCTCCACTGCTCTGCTAAGAACGCCACAGACACAGGAAGAACATTTCTTATCTCCACTGCTCTGCTAAGAACGCCACAGACACAGGAAGAACATTTCCTATCTCCACTGCTCTGCTAAGAACGCCACAGACACAGGAAGAACATTTCTTATTATGACTCTGCTAGACAGTCTTGAGTCTTGCTTGGCAACAGAAGGCATTGGTCTGATTCCAAACGGATAACTCCCTCCGTCCTCTCTCTGGGCACTGGTTGACTTCCATTTTTGGGTATGAATGGACTGGATGGATGTTAATTATTAGGAATGGAATCAGGCCACTTGTCCACTGGCTATAGGGTGAACGCACCAATTTGTGAGTCGCTCTGGCTAAGAGCGTCTGCTAAATGACGTTAATGTGCCCTTGAGCAAGGCACTTAACCCTAATTGCTCCTGTAAGTCGCTCTGGTTAAGAGCGTCTGCTAAATGACTAAAATGTAAATGTAAATGTTGACAAAAGTAACTTTTTTCCTGCTGAGCAATACACAAAGCAAAGCATAGTTATTCCTCGGTACCAGTGACTTTGGTTCCATTGGTTCAGTATCCTATGGAAAGAGTATGCTAAGTGGGGGATACACCGTAGGCCCCTTATGAATGACGTTGAAGAAATGTGTTATAAATGATACTGCAACATTCATGAAGGTGTCATGACTGGTTTCATAAATGTGTTATGAAGGCCTCATGTATACCCAGTGGTGGAAAAAGTACTCAATTGTCATACTTGAGTAAAAGTAAAGATAGCTTAATAGAAAATGACTCAAGTAAAAGTGGAAGTCAACAAGTACAATACAACTTGAGTTAAAGTCTAAAAGTATCTGGTTTTAAATGTACTTAAATACAGTGGTGGAAAAAGTACTCAATTGTGATACTTGAGTAAAAATAAAAAAGTAAATGCTATACATCAAATTTCTTATATTAAGCAAAGCAGACGGCACCATTTCCATGTTTGTTTTTTTTCATTTACAGACAGACGGGCACACTCCAACACTCAGACATAATTTACAAACAAAGTATTTGTGTTTAGTGAGTCCACCAGATCAGAGGCAGTAGGGATGACAACGCGTTACATTCAATTTCTACTCCTTCCTCGATTACTAATAGGGATAGACAAAATGGTGCAGTTCTATGCAATCTTACAGCCATACCAACTATATCAATACCAACCATCAGACAGGGCCTGCAACCGCCAATTGAATGTAGCTTATTTGAGTTTGAGTATCCGTGTGACTTAAAAAAAATCGCAAAGGACTTGGGTTGATGCATCTGAACGTTAGGAGCTTAGTTCCTAAACTGGATTACATCAAAGATCTGGGCTATGCAGGCGAATCCGGATATTCTAGTATTAACTGAAACTGATCATTGCCAGGGCCTCCCGAGTGGCGCAGCGGTCTGAGGCGCTGCATCACAGTGCTTGAGGCGTCACCACAGACCTGGGTTCGATCCCAGGTGACACAATCGGCCCAGTGTCGTCTGGGTTACAGCCAGGGGGGCTTTGTTTGGCTCATCGCGCTCTAGCGACTGCAAATACATTTAACGTATTGATTGGGGACTTACTTGTTGAGGAATGTAACAGTTTTTCTGGGTGATTTGTAATGTTTTATTAGTGCTTTACATGACTGTGTTTTGTATTTTAATATAATGTGTATATTTGTATTGTATTATACAGGGCACATTTGGAAAAGAGATCTAGGTCTCAATATTTTCCCTGTTAAAATAAAAGGTTTAAAAAAATGATAGGTGCATGATTGGACCATATTGCTGTCCTGCCTGAGCATTCCAAATGTAGGGAGTACGTTTGGGTGTCAGGGGAAAGGTATGGAGTAAAAAGTACATTATTTTCTTTAGGAATGTAGTGGAGTAAAAGTAAAAAGTTGTTAAAAATATAAATAGTCAAGTACAGATACTCCCCAAACACTACTTCAGTAGTACTTTCAAGTACTCTTACATACGTACTTTCCACCACTGTGTATAACAACTCATTCATATGTAACTGCTTATTGTATGTCCTAACTCACAGCCATTGTTCAGGAAAACTCTCCTTCAGAAGAGGTCTTAAGGGATGCCACATCATCCCACATCTTCCTAGACAAAAGAGCTGTGCATTAAGGCACATGTTGGGATGTTGCCCCATCTTCCTTGTATGATCCTCCAACCAGATGATCAGTGAAAAGCCAATGATCCAGACTCTCGTCATCCATACAACAATAAGTTGATGGGTAGTTCTGCTTCTGGTCATCTCCTGCTTACAGATGGTCCTGCCCCCAGTCCTCACTGTATTTTGTAAAAAGCGCTAAAGGGATTGATTGAGTATCTCTCTGTCATACATCTCTCTGTCCCCTTCCTAATCTCCCACAAAAGAGATACACTTCTGGTAACATCTTATTTGAATTGGCTTCTATAATGCCAACATAAAATTGTCATAAACATGACTTTGAGCTTGACATAACATGTTATTACAGTTTACTTTGCCGGTCTCCGCTACAAAGCATGATGCACTGAAACCATGTAGGCATCATAACCCATTTTGTAGGCGTCATAACCCATTATGTAGGCGTCATAAGCCATTTTGTAGGCATCATAACATATTTTGAAATCCTATCTATTTTGAGCAGTACAGTAGCCTGCGACGCATTGCTGGATAAGTAATGGAACACTGACAGCTTGGGACTAGAAGGTTCTTATCTGCAAATATATGATTGTGAGATCATTGGCTTTAAAGTTCTGAACCCTCATTGGTTTGAATGGTGTCAGACATTTTTATCTTGTATTCTTTTGAAGTCAACAACATGAATTGGGGGTATTTAGAGTACTATATAGGGAGAGAACATTGAACAGAACAAGGCTATGTCAATAACTACATTTTGACAGAAATGCAGATAGAACCTTATAGTCCCAAGCTCTCGACTTGTTGCACCAACATCCAGTCCATCACTCTCAAAAACTACAGCAAAGAAAAGCCTTTTGGAGTTGGAAATGAAACCCACAACAGAGCAGTACACTTTCCCATGATGTTCGTCATGACTGAACCCAATGCAATGAGTCTGTGCGATACAAGAACTCAGGAAAATGGCAAACTGATAATGTTGGTGGCGATTGACCTCGTCGCTTGAACGTTAAAAGGGTCCTCACAGCGAGGCCTCGGGCCCTCTGGGCTGCATGGCCGCCCCCTCGCGCCTTAGGGCGCTGTCGAAGCGCGGCGTCACCTCGCAGCGCACCAGCAGCGTGTCATCGTGCACAAACCCCCGCTGCTGCAGCTGGACCAAGTGCAGAAAAGTGACGTAGCCAAAGCCCTTGGGGTTCCTCTGGATGGTGGGCCTCTGGAAGGCCTGCAGGTCGGGCTTGGTCTCCATCACCTCCACATGGTGCTGGGCCTCAGGCCCCTGGTCCAGTACGGCCAGCCGGATGGTGCCTTGGAAGGGCCACGGCAGCTGCCCATCAAATTCACCCTGCATGGTGTGAACAAAAAGCGAGATGTAGTTGGAGCAGCGTTGGGCCGAGGGCGTTTGGAGGTGGAGGCGCAGGCACAGCTTGTAGCCCGGCCGGCCCGTGTAGAAGCCTGGGCTGTGCACCACAACGGGCTGTCCGGCAGCCTGGGTGCGCAGGTAGGCCGAGAAGCCCTCCAGGGGCCACACGTACACGCCTTGGCACTGCTTGGCCTCCAGCTCCTTTAGGTTCTCCTCCAGCGAGGTGACCTTACGACGCAGCTCCGCCACCAGGCCTGCCTGGGGGATAATGGCAATACAAAACAAATGGTCCTTTAGTTGTAGACGCATTTACCGAAACAAGTGAATTCAACGTCATCAATGAGAAATAATTAATTTGTATCTCTGTTCCACCTGAACGCTCAGCTCACGTAGCTGGTGGTCCTGCCGCACCAGTCGGCCCTCCAGCTGCTGGGTGGTCTCCCGCATGGTCTGCAGTTCCCCGCAGCACTGGCAGGGGGCGCCACCGCCGCTAGCGCCAACGCGTGCCCCCAGCTCCGCAGCGGCAGCCCCTCTGTCCTCAGAAGAAGGTGGCTGGGTGTACCCGGTAAGACTGTGGCTGTGCAGGTACTCAGCCATGCAGCGCATGTGCATCTGAGTGAACTCCTGCATGTGCTGGGCCAAGTCGTTGCGTTGCATCTGAAATAGCACATAAAATACTTTAAAGAGCCACTGTGTTGAACCAAAGTTGGAAATGGTAGCCTTGTCCGGTCTAAAAACCCTATTTTGTTAGATCTGAAAGAATCAGATGAATGGGAGTAGACAATGTCGTGGAAACTCTACCTAGTCCTGCCAGAGGCCACGAAAAGTGGATATTGGGTATCTCGGCCTTGGGTTGTGGGGTTTGTTTTGGACAAGGCAAAGTAGTCACAGAACATCGGAGGTAAATTACTCAGAAAGTGTTGAAGTTTACTCAACCTCAGTGACCTACCATCTCTCGACATCCAAAAGTGCTGAAGGTACAGGCGATCGGAGCCTTTGGACACTCTGTGTCATAGTGAGACTCCAACTGAAACAAAAGCAGGCCAAAGTTACTCCACCACTAAGTCAGATCCTACATCGCTTGCCCTGTGTAGAAGCTTGTTACAAAGAGATACTTTTTCAGAGGAAAGGTAGGCATTGCCGCCCAGCAAAGTTTTGCAGTCCACAACCATTCACAAACGATTGCGTTAAACATAGGTTTGTGTAGGCCGCAAGCGGTTGTGAATTAGACCAAAATTTGCCCATGAGCCACACGTTGTAGACTCTTGCTTTACACCACCATCATAGGTTTAGTAATCAGGACTAATGCTTTACACCACCATCATCATCATCTCATAGGTTTAGTAATCAGGACTCCTGCTCTACACCACCACCACCATCATAGATTTAGTAATCAGGACTCCTGCTCTACACCACCATCATCATAGGTTTAGTAATAAGGACTCCTGCTCTACACCACCACCATCATATCATAGATTTAGTAATCAGGACTCCTGCTTTACACCACCATCATATCATAGGTTTAGTCATCAGGACTCCTGCTTTACACCACCATCATATCATAGGTTTAGTAATCAGGACTCCTGCTCTACACCACCATCATATCATAGGTTTAGTAATCAGGACTCCTGCTTTACACCACCATCATATCATAGGTTTAGTCATCAGGACTCCTGCTTTACACCACCATCATATCATAGGTTTAGTAATCAGGAATCCTGCTTTACACCACCATTATAGGTTTAGTAATCAGGACTAATGCTTTACACCACCATCATATCATAGGTTTAGTAATCAGGACTCCTGCTTTACACCACCATTATAGGTTTAGTAATCAGGACTCCTGCTCTACACCACCATAATATGTTTAGTAATCAGGACTCCTGCTCTACACCACCATCATATCACAGGTTTGGTCATTAGCTAAATCTAAATGGCAGCCGTCAGGTCACCACACCCACCTGGTCTCTGATGAGCTCCATACCGCAGTACTGACAAACCACGTTGGCAAAGGGACACAGCGACTCATGAAGCTGAGGACACAACAAAAACAAACATGTTCAAAAGGCTGTCACATGACAGTCTTCAGTAATGACAGTCAGTCTATCTACTTGTTTCAGTGAACATTAAAGGGGAGCTCAAATGGAGAATGAATACAGTTTCTGACTGAGAACATGGACACTTTACACACATTTTCTTTGAAAGTGCTGCTAGCTAAGCTAACTGAGGCGGTGCAACCGGTATTCAAACCTGTAAAAACAGTTAAATCCCCATGGATTGATGAGGAATTGAAAAATGGTATGGTTGAGAGGGATGAGGCAAAAGAGATGGCAAATATGTCTGGCTGTTCAACCGATTGGCAAACGTACTGCAAATTGAGAAATCATGTGACTAAACTGAATAAAAAGAAGAAACTACACTATGAAACAAAGATAAATGACAAAAAATGATAGTAAAAAGCTTTGGAGCACCTTAAATGAAATGTTGGGCAAACAGGCAAACTCAGCTCCATCTTTCATTGAATCAGATGGCTCATTAATCACAAAACACACTGATATTTCCCACTACTTTAATGATGATTTAATTGGCAAGATTAGCAAACTTAGGCATGACATGTCAGCAACAAAACGCTGACACTACACAGCCAAGTATATCTGATCAAATTATGAAAGACAAACATTGTAATTTTGAATTACGTAAAGTAAGTGTGGAAGAGGTGAAAAAAGTATTATTGTCGTGCAACAATGACAAGCCACTGGGGTCTGACAACTTGGATGGAAAATTACTGAGGATAATAGCGGACGATATTGCCACTCCTATTTGCCATATATTCAATTTAAGCCTACTAGAAAGTGTGTGCCCTCAGGCCTGGAGGGAAGCAAAAGGTATTCTCTTACCTAAGAATAGTAAAGCCCCCTTAACTGGCTCAAATAGCCGACCAATAAAGCCTGTTACCCACCCTTAGTAAACCTTTGGGAAGAATTGTGTTTGACCAGATAAAATGCTATTTTACAGACTTTCAGCACGCTTACAGGGAAAGACATTCAACAAGCACAGCACTGACACAAATGACTGATGATTGGCTGAGATAAATGATGATAAAAAGATTGTGGGGGATGTTTTGTTAGACTTCAGTGCGGCTTTTGACATTATCGATCATAGTCTGTTGCTGGAAAAACGTATGTTTTATGGCTTTACACCCCCTGCTATATTGTGGATAAAGAGTTACCTGTCTAGCAGAACACAGAGGGTGTTCTTTAATGGAAGCCTCTCAAACACAATCCAGGTAGAATCAGGAATTCCCCAGGGTAGCTGTGTAGGCCCCTTACTTTTTTCAATCTTTACTAACGACATGCCACTGGCTTTGAGTAAAGCCAGAGTGTCTATGTATGCGGATGACTCAACACTATACATGTCAGCTACTACAGCGACTGAAATGACTGCAACACTTAACAAAGAGCTGCAGTTAGTTTCAGAATGGGTGGCAAGGAATAAGTTAGTCCTAAATATTTTTTAAAAATCTAAAAGCATTGTATTTGGGACAAATAATTTACTAAACCCTAAACCTCAACTAAATCTTGTAATGAATAATGTGGAAATTGAGCAAGTTGAGGAGACTAAATTGCTTGGAGTAACCCTGGATTGTAAACTGTCATGGTCAAAGCATATTGATACAACAGTACCTAGGATGGGGAGAAGTCTGTCCATAATAAAGCGCTGCTATGCATTCTTAACAGCACTATCAACAAGGCAGGTCCTACAGACCCTAGTTTTGTCGCACCTGGACTACTGTTCAGTCGTGTGGTCAGGTGCCACAAAGAGGGACTTAGGAAAATTGCAATTGGCTCAGAACAGGGCAGCACGGCTGGCCCTTGGATGTACACAGAGAGCTAACATTAATAATATGCATGTCAATCTTCCTGGCTCAAAGTGGAGGAGAGATTGACTTCATCACTACTTGTATTTATGAGAGGTATTGACATGTTGAATGCACCGAGCTGTCTGTTTGAACTACTGGCACACAGCTCGGACACCCATGCATACCCCACAAGACATGCCACTAGAGGTCTCTTCACAGTCCTCAAGTCAAGAACAGACTATGGGAGGCGCACAGTACTACATAGAGCCATGACTACATGGAACGCTATTCCACATCAAGTAACACATGCAAGCAGTAAAATTTGATTTAAAAAACAAATAAAAATACACCTTATGGAACAGTGGGGACTGTGAAGCAACACAAACATAGACACATGCATACAAACACACGCTAACATTTGCACTATACACACATGTACACATGGATTTTGTGTTATGGATATGTGGTAGTAGAGTAGCGTCCTGAGGGCACACACTTAATATGTTGTGAAATCTGTTAGGAATGTATTGTAATGTTTTTTAAATGCATAACTGCCTTAATGTTGCTGGACCCCAGGAAGAGTAGCTGCTGCCTTGGCAGGAACTAATGGGGATCCATAATAAATACAAATACAAATCCAATTAATCTTTACTTATTCAGGATAGTGCACTCAGCATGAATGAGTTAGTGATGCTTACCTTGCTGTCCTCGTAAACAAAGCTCTCCACACAGTCGGGACAGGACACAGGTCTCCGCTGGCAGTGTTGGCTTTGGTGCTCCTCCAGCTTGCTCTTCCACACCGCGTCCTGGCACAGCGGGCACGGCACGGTGGCAAACTCACACTTCGTAACATGGCCCTGGCAGGGTGAGATGGTAGAGTGAGTTAATCATTTGGTTTCAACATCGCAACACGGTTGAACTGATGTGAACTAAGGTGTCAGCCATTGTCTGTGGGGAATGATGCGTACATCCAGGCGGCGAAGCTCCATTTTGTCAGTGCAGCCTACGTTGGTGCAGCGGACCGTTAGGGAGAGTATCTCCCGCTTGGCAAAGTTATCTGGGAACAGCTGGTCTTCCCGTAGTACCTCGTTATCCACTGGACACCTCTGCCCTGTATCACTAGGGGGAAAAGAAAAGAAAAGAAAAAGAAAAAAGAGAAGAAAAAAAGAAAAAAGAAAAGAAAAGAAAAAAGAAAAAATAGAGAGATCAGTATGGTTCTTGGGACCAGGGTTGCGTTCATTAATCAACAGGTTAAACTATTTTAAAATGGAGGTAGGCCCTACTACCGTAACTTGTCCAATGAGAAGGCTCCTTTTTGAGATCACTTACTACCATTATTCTTCTTTGAGGACTATTCAGACTATTTGAAGAAACTGTACTCTGTACATGTAGTCATCATCATCATCTTGTCAAAAGGGACATAGAAATACGCGTCATTCAGCAAATTCAGTAACGAGCGCCAAGGATCAACAGATTAGAAACATCACAACAGTGCAGCAATAAACATGTTGACTTGGTACTATAATGGTGGGGAAGTGGAGGTAGTGATGGAGGGAAGTATGGCCTCCAAATCCTCCAGAATATGGCCAATCATTTACCCAGTAAGTCAATATCTCAAGAGCCTCATTGCCCACCACATCACTAGAATGATTGACAGTCATCGATAATCCCAGCTGTTGTGGCTATTGAACTGCATAGCTACATGATGTATAGAGACGTTCTGCATTATACAATCACCTGCATTGCCCATCTTATCTGGTGGCAGACATAAAATCATTTGAGAGTTTAATATTGACAAGCACACGACTATGACGTCTCCAGGAGTTAAAGCAAAAATCTTCAGTGAAACTTGAGTCGATCTCTGACCGGCGGGAAAACTGCACAGATCTTTTTATGACCAATTTGTTTGTCAAAATCGATTTGCGGGCCAGAAAAAGGCAATTTATATGAAGATATAGGTCCATTGTCATTTCTACATACGTTCTATCTAGTTGTAGATGTTCAACTGTGGCCTGGAGGGTTTTTAAAGCGAAAATAAACATCATGCGTCATCCATATGACGGAAATCTGGCACCGCGACTGATAGCTCTTGGCTAACCCTGGCACATTTACATGGATGTTGCACTGCTGTAATATTGATGTTGATTAATGAAATAAATAAACTTTAACCCCTGCGTCTCTCATTTGTGGAGCTGGGAGTAAAAAGCCCCATAGTTCAGTTCTCTGTCCTCATTGTCCTAAACAACCGAAATGTTGACAAACATGCAGAGATAACCGTGTGTGCAGGGGTAAAGGACTAAGCAAACATTGTTTTGAAATCCTGGAGGGTATTTTCCAAAGTAGGATCAGCAAGTTAGACAACTAACATTTAAATATATCATTATCATGTAAGTACAGGTACCAGTCAGGCTTACCGGATGGACTTCTCGATGCAGCTGCGGCAGAAGCGATGACCGCACGGCGTCTGCACGGCCGCCCTCAGGGCCATGAGGCAGATGGGGCACTCGTACTTGCTCTCCAGCGGAGGGTCGAACTCCACGTCGTAGCCTTGCAGCGGGGCGCCGCCCTGTAGGCTGGTGGGTGTACTCTCCGTGGGGCTCAGCGCCGAGTCGCTGCCCTCTTTCTCCAGCATGGCCAGCGCACAGTTGGACAGCTGTGACGCGGCCGCCCCACCACAACACGCTTCATCATTCTCCAGGCTGCTCTTCTCGCTCTCGAAGCAGGACATCTACACAAGGAGGAGAGAAAAGTGGAGAAAAATGAGATACGAGCGAGAGCAATGACCATTACCCCTCCACAATTCTTCACAAATGGTTTTATTACACAGAACAATATGCCTTCTGTGGAAATCACTGGGCTATGTTTCTCTCTCAGACGATTGAATGTTTCCTTCTTCTTGAAATGTGTGTCATCAGTTCCACTTGGCCTCAACTGTCTCCTGAGCTCTGTTCTGAGATCAGCCCGAGATGAGAAACTTCATAATGACTGTACATGACTCAGGGGACCACAGGTAGGGAAAAGCCACAAAGGAGACAACACCAAGCTAACATCTTCAATTCAATGCCTTTGCGTTAGCCAGTTGACATGGTGGATACAGTCTGAAACTACAGTAATTTACCTATATAGGGCTATAAATTACCTAGCGAGCTGCTAGCTCGTCAGGTCCGTTATGGGCGGGGCAATCTAAGTTCCTCATGCATTTCAAGCAAAGTAGATGGATAGGCAATATTTCAGACAGTATGTCAACATCTGTAAACAAAACCCGTCTGACCTCGTGGTAACATAAGTGGCTAGCTGTTTAATATCAGAAGCTCAAATATGAGAAGACAAGTTCAAAAGCAAGTCATAATCACAGTCATGGCACAAGTTAGCTGGCCATCGTTACGTTAGCGACGATGCTGACACGGAACTGTAACCCTACGAAGATCTTGAGATTACATTTCAAAAAGCTAACAAAACTAAACACTGCAACAACCACATTTATGCATGATTCATGTATTAGTCGATGGGGTTGGAATATTTGACAATATGCGTGTTAATGCTTACCTTAGCTTTGAAAGTACATCGGTTTTCTTGACTGACTCTTCTTAGCTAGCTAACCACTTCCTGCACTTTCGTCATATTCTTCTTCTCTGCCTCATTGGTGGTGGGAGGCAAACGAATAAGTATTAACGCCGCCGCCTGGACGAGGGGGAAAACAAAAACTGTTTTAATTTTATTCAGAAACACAGGAACAGTTTTTATTCAATTGAGAAACACACAAAAAATCCTTTATACACTTTATTCCGTTTTTTAGGACAAGGGTCATCAGAGCAAATACAAATACAACATGTACTTCTTCCCCTAGGACCCTTTTTTAAACTCCAACATCAATATCTTCCTTCACCACCACTTTGTTTCCAACATCCATATTATATCCTCCATCTTTTCAGTCCTTATTTGAAAAGTTCCTTTCTCATTTACATCCAGTTGTTCATGTCCTTGTCTGCTAACCCCTGCTAAGTAGAGGTTAATACATAGTTCATTTCATTTGTGAAAGATTTGCATCCTAGTCATATATTTAAAAACAATCCAAATAAACTAGTAGTACAGTTTACAGGAAAAGTAGGACAGTAGGACAATTAGGTTTTTAAATGTCTCACCAGGGTTACGCTTTTCCTAGTTCCAGCTGTTTTCTGAAAACAAGAACTCAACAATAAAACACGTTGCTGAAAAGTTCAAACCAGTTCAAACCAACAATTCCAAAGCATGATTCAATAATTTCTCATATGTATCAAAATAATAACCATTTTGAAAAAGACCCAGTCAATAGCTTAACAGAAAAAAACACACCTGCATCAATTCACAAAATACATTTTTTTGGAACTGACTAGGAAAGGAAAATATAGATGGAATGGCATCAGGACGTAAACGAACACCACGCCCAGTTTTGGATGTTGTCAGGTATTTCTCTTCGAAATGCTCTAAACACAGTTTGGAGTTTCTGGTTGGCTTCCAGGCTTTCCATCTCATTTGATGCACCCACTCTTTTAGTCTTTTGGGGTCACCCAGTGGAAAACTGTTGGCATGAGAAAAAGTTGAAAGACAGAAATTGAGCAAAAAGTAACAATTTAGCTAATAAACATCAATATAAACTACAGAGGAAGAACATTAGCTATTTTTTTAAAAGCTAATTCAGAGATTAAAAAATTAATAAAAAAACGGGGTCCTTGCCACTTGTTTTGGTATACAGCTGAGAGCTGGGGCTATAGGGGAAATGTAACCCAGCCTTAGACAGGGCTCTGTCTAGAATCCAGCCTAGATCCAAGGGCTGACAGTCCATGACATCAGATGATAGTTTTAAACATACTGTATTTTGAAGCTGTGTGTTGTTTACATCGTTATATGTAAACAATGGAGTAATACAACCTTAGATTTAGGTTAAGATAGAGAGAAAGACAGTTGTTGTAGCCTTAATAACAATAGCCCAATTGAAAATACCATCATTGAACAGATTCCCAGACTAACGTAACTTTGACATTACGATACGCTTGTTTTACTAACGTTAGCCTGTTAAGAAAAAACACATTGCTAACGTTAGTTAAATAAACAATTGAGTAATAACGTTTAGCTAGTTTGGTATGATAAGGTATAATATGCCACATTCTATAAAAATCGAAATGACTGGAAATCTCTTAGCGTAGCTCAACATAGTTAACTTGTTGGCTATGGTTTCTTACGCTTAGCTAGCTACGTTGTTAGTGTTGGTAGTAGTCAAATGCTGCAAGCCTTACCTGTGAAACGTACATTTGTGGGTTTTACGTTTACCCTTCTCATATCTATCTGTGCTATTCTTACAGTTAAGAGCTGAACAACGTGCCATTATTTTGTTACAACAGAGAGGACGTTTATAGACAATCTTTGGTTACAAGTTGTTTATTTTTTCTTCCTCCTTCCTTGCTGGTTTTATGGCTAGTGGCAAACGAAAAGGTAGTGCAATACTGCCACCGACTGGACAGGGTGAACAAAGGAACAGAATACATTTTTAATACACAGTGCGCTCACACACAACTGCGTACAACAATCTGTTTTTATTTTACTTTAAAAAACGTAAAAGATTTATTCATACAGTATTTTTTTTTATGACAAAGGATCAACTTCAGGCTGGGAACAATGGTCAATTCCATTTAAATTCAAGTCAATTTGTAAGTAAACCAAATTCCAAATCTTCCTCATTGAAAAGCAGTGAAGAGTATTGGAATTGGAATTTCAGTGTATTTCCTGAATTGACCCCAACCCTGACTTTTACAAATATATACATTATGTGAACTAATTCCCCCCCCCCTTTTTTTTTCTTCACTCCATCGTTGTCTACCTTCACTACTACTTTGCGCTTCCAACGTCCTTATTATATATATCCATGTTTTCATTCCACTGCCCTTGTTTGAAAACCTCCTTGTCTGCTAACCCCTCATGACCTCCAGGGCCACCCTGCAGCTCATGGCCACCCTGCAGCTCACACAGGTGTGGGTGTAGTCCTCATCCCCAAGTTTCATGTCCTCATATCTCTTCAGCTCGGAGTCCTGAGTGACCAAGATCCATTCCAAGCACTGACTGCACTGCACACAGACTTCCTTTGTAGGTGGTTGGGCCTCTAGTATGACAAAGGTCCTTCCTTTTATCCCATTGTACTGCAATGCAAACAGGGTGGTCAAAGCACAAGTCAGTATAAAAGCTGAACAGAAATATAACAATATTATTCAGTCTTTAAAGACCTATTCCTATGATATTTGATGTATATTACTTCATTCATTGGTGATTTGAGTTGTGACCTGTGAGGCTTAACACTAATGTCAGCTTCCAACTTACAGGCAGCTTTCTTGGTGAGGTGGAGACGGACTGAGTCCCTCCGCAGCGCAGCAGAGAGAGGGGTATTTGTCTAGTGGTGGGGTGCTCCTTGCAGCAGAAGCTGAACACACTGGCAGCCAGGTAAACATCCCAGTGATCAGGATGGTCTTTCACCAGATCTGACACCAACCTGTCCAGTTATATGATGAAAATGGATTAAACAAAACAAATGCATATTTTATAAGTCAGCTGGGCTAGCATGTCATGTGATTGGATTCAGGAAACTGCCAAAAGATTCTTGCAATCATTACCCAGTTCAATTTAGTACCGATGCGCTTCTTGAAAAGTTATATTAAAGTTACGTTAACGAACGTTGGAGTGGAGAACATACCGGTCTATGAGGGACTTTGTTACTGGATCCAGTGACACTCCCAGAGGACGGTAGAATACGAGTTGGCCTGTCAGTTTCTTCAGATCACCCAAAGCCGAGTTGATCTGTAAAATCAAAAGAGGAGGGGTACTTAATATTCATGAGATCATTTGGTGCAACATACATTGGGCCATCACAACCAATACAACTGGTTCTGTTTTCAGGTGGAGGTACAGTAACGCTAACATAGATAAATGCTGCAAATACTGCATAAGAAACTACACAATACCATCTCTACAATCTAACCACAGTATCTCTTACCTCTACAGTCAGCGCTACACTCAAACAACACAGGATTCCAACAGGGAAGCCAAAGCGAGAGATGAGGTCAGAAATTATTTCAGCAATCTCTTTACTGCTGCAGGTTTTAATGGGGTAGGCTTCCACCCATTTTGAGTAGTAGTCCACTACAGTTACTATAAATCTGTGTCCAATTTGGGTCTCTGGAAATGGCCCCTTCACTTCCATTGTCAGCCATTCCCATTTCTCCTTGATCTGGTTCAAATAAAAGAAAATGATATATATATTAGATATAAAATAATAAATGTAAGAATATTGTTGTCTGTTGTCCAGAATAAGCCTGTCTGTCAGAAACCTTACCCTGATTGCGAGCTTGGGGATAAAGATCAGCCCTTGCTTTTGTAAAGCTGAAGGTGGGACCTGAAATTGTCAGGAGAGTTCAGTGATTAAAGCAGGAAATAAAGGTTTGGAGGTATAGAAAGCCTTTATACAATGTTGTTGATCATACACACAACTAGTCGTCTAAGCCCTTACACACTGTATACACACAACTAGTCCTTATATGAGTTTCAATGTAGCCCTCGTTTGGGCCCATCAGGATTGTTTGGTTGTGAGTGGAGCACAATCGATCGATTCTGTTTGGCCCAATCAGCCTCATAAGAGCTAACACTTACTTCATTTGGTCTATCTTCTCAGCCCAGTCAATACTCTGCAAAAATAAAAATAAAAGGGATACATGAAATATCTCCATAAATGTAAAAACTCCAGATAAGAGCAGACCTGGGCCAAATACTCAAACACTAGAGGTGCGCTTGATTTAGCTTACCGGTGTGCAGGCTGGGAAGACAGTGTTCCATTGGTTATTGTACTGGGGCGAGCTAAATCAAGCGCACCTCAAGTATTTAACACAACATGTGTTTGACGATTGGAGGTCTGGATAAGAGTGATATGTTCTTCGTACCTGTGGAACACAGTAATCATCATGGAAACGACTTGGGTGCCATATACTGTGGTTAAAGTAACTGGGAGTCCTCTTCAACCGTGTTGACGCTGCAGAGCTAGTGTTTCATTACAAGAGGAAACAAGAGAGGGAAACTATGAATTGCTTCATTTCTTCACAACATCGGCCCATAACCTATAACTCATACAAACTGTATTGGTTTTGAGAACCACCTTGGCTCAGCTGGTACTGATGGCAAATCCTCAGGAACACGATCCTCAGGAAACTGAAATCACAAGTAGAGGTTAATAAATACACAATATATACAAAAGTATGTGGACACCCCTTCAAATTAGTGGATTCGGCTATTTCAGCCACACCCGTTGCTGACTGGTGTATAAAATCGAGAGCACAGCCATGCAATCTCCATAGACAAACACTGGCAGCAATTATTTGTTACTTTTATTTCGTATTATTTTATATTGTATTTTTTTGTGGTTTTGTTTGGTATTCTTTCTTAAAACTGCATTGTTGATTAAGGGCTTGTAAGTAAGCATTTCACTGTAAGGTCTACACCTGTCGTATTCGGCGCATGTGACAAATAACATTTGATTTGATGGCCTTACTGAAGAGCTCAGTGACTTTCAACATCGCACTGTCATAGGATGCCACCTTTCCAACAAGTAAAGTTCGTCAAATTTCTGCCCTAGGAGCACCAACGGTTCAGCCGCGAAGTGCTAGGCCACACAAGCTCACAGAACGGGACCGCCGAGTGCTGAAGCGCGTAAAAATCATCTGTCCTCAGCTGCAACACTCACTACCGAGTTCCAAACTGCCTCTGGAAGCAACGTCACCACAATAACTGTTTGTCGGGAGCTTCATGAAATGGGTTTCCATGGCTGAGTAGCCGCACACAAGCCTAAGATCACATTGCGCAATGCCAAGCGTCGGCTGGAGTGGTGTAAAGCTCACCACCATTGGACTCTGGAGCAGTGGAAACGTGTTCTCTGGAGTGATGAATCACGCTTCACCATCTGGCAGTACGACGGACAAATCTGGGTTTGGCGGATGCCAGGAGAATGCTACTTGTCCAAATGCATATTGCCAACTGTAAAGTTTGGTGGAGGAGGAATAATGGTCTGGGAATGTTTTTAATGGTTCGGGCTAGGCCCCTTAGTTCCAGTGAAGGGAAATCTTAACGCTACAGCATACAATTACATTCTAGACAATTCTGTACTTCCAACTTTGTGGGAACAGTTTGGGGAAGGCCCTTTCCTGTTTCAGCATGACAATGCCCCTGTGCACAAAGCGAGGTCCATACAAAATGGTTTGTCGAGATCGATGTGCAAGAACTTGACTGGCCTGCACAGAGCCCTGACCTCAACCTCATTGAACACCTTTGGGATGAATTGGAATGCCGACTGCGAGCCAGGCCTAATCGCGCAAAATCAGTGCCCGACCTCACTAATGCTCTTGTGACTGAATGGAAGCAAGTCCCCGCAGCAATGTTCCAACATCTAGTGGAAAGCCTTCCCAGAAGAGTGGAGGCTGTTTGAGTAGGCCAACCTGGATAGAGACAATGGAGGATCTCCGTGAACTTTCCAGGGAGTTGGTTAGAGACATTTTAAACTTAGCAGAGGATGTAGAAGCAGGACCTGCTGACCCAGAGCATGTAGCTAGTAAAGCAGAGGAACTTATTGAAGGTGAATAGCGCCACCCAGTGTATTGGAATGTGTTCAGTAGCTCTGCATCAATCCATTATCCGGAATTGATTTGTCTTGGCTTGATGCAGAGGGTAACCAATCAGGCGTTAGGTTCCGCCTACCAACTTTTGATGGGTCAGTTTGACAGTTTTAAGTAATTCATGAATCACTGCAATGCAGGATCATGAAATGTAAATGTAAATAGTGAAATAATTATATATGTATTTTACATAAAATGAATCGGTATTTGAATCAATTAATGATACATTTAATTACACATTTATGTATTTAATTCTAATTTTAATTAATTAATGACACATTTAAGTAATTATTTAATGGTGTATTTATTTATTTAATTGTGGCACTTTTAGTCCTCCATATTATAGCAGCAAAGGGGGGAACAATTCCATATTAATGCCCATGATTTTGGAATGACATGTTTGACGAACAGGTGTCCACATACTTTTGGTTGTGTAGTTCATTTCATTTGTGAAAGATTGAGAATAAAAGTGTGACTCCTAGCCATATCAAAAACAATACAAATTGAAAACTAGTAGGACAATTAGGTTTTTAAATGTCTCACCAGGGTTACTCTTTTCCTCGTTACGGCTGTTTTCTGAAACAGGAACTCAACAATTAAACATGCTGCTCGAAAGTTCAAAACAACAATTCCAAAGCATGATTCAAGAATTTCTCATTTGTATCAAAATAATAACAATTTTGAAGAAAAAAAACAGTCAATAGCTTAACAAAAAAACAAACCTGCATAATTTCACAAATTACCTTTTTTTGGAACTGACTAGGAAAGGAAAATATAGTTGGAATGGCATCAGGACGTAAACGAACACCAGGCCCAGTTGAGGGTGTTGTCAGGTACTTCTCCTCAAAATGCTCTGAACACAGTCTGGAGTTTCTGTTTGGCTTCCAGCCTTTCCATCTCATCTGATGGATCCACTTTTTTAGTCTTTTGGGGTCACTCAGCGGAAATCTAATTTTAAAAAAAGTAACAACTTAGCTAATATACATCAACATAGATGAGAGAAACAACATTAGCTTTTTTTTTAAAGGTCTAATGCAGACGTTTTTATCTCAATATCAAAATAATTTCTGGGTAACAATTAAGTAATACCTTACTGTGATTGTTTTCAATTTTAAAAAATGGTCCCAAAAGAGGTTTGGAACTCTTTCTTATTGGTCTATCAACTAATTTACCGCCTGGTGATATCACCAGGCAGACCAAAACGCCATCCCACCAAAACAGGCAAAACATTTCAGGCAGTCTTCAAACAGCTCTTACACTAAAAGGGCATTATCATCATTTTCACCGTATTATTCCAACCTCAGTGTGGAAATATATATATATATATATATAAACACAGGAAAATCACGTTTTTGATGGCACTGGACTTTTAAAGCTAATTCAGAGAAGATGGGGGTCCTTGCCACTTGTTTTAGTATCCAGCTTAGGGATGGGCTATAAGGAAATGTAACCCCATAGTGCTGCAGATGCAAAGGTTGACAGTCCAGGACTCCCTAAAAACACGCCACTTCAATACATGTGACTTTTCGTAGCAGGTTAGGAAAGCATTTTCGCTAACCCTTTTCCTAACCTTAACCTAATTCTCCAAACCTGCTATTACAAAGTCATAGCTGTTTTCGAAGTGGCATGTTTTTAGGGAATTTCATGACAGACCATTTCATCAGGGACATCAATAGACATTTCGTTTTGCAACTAAATCTAGTTTCTATTTGACAAATTCTGGTAGGTCCCTCTCCATTTAGTTCACTTCAGTTTAAATAACTTTTGCAACAGAATCTGCATAATGAATACACCCCAGGCCTGTAATCTTTAGTCAAATGTTTTGCAACGGAAACCGTTTACTTCAAACGGAAAACGTGTTTGCAACGAAAACAGTTATATTTTGGTTATGATATAGAAAATCAGCTGTGGCTAGCATAAATATCGACAATAGCCTAATTGAAAATACCATTACATTGGACAGATTCCCAGATCCCTTCACATCAGGACTTGTTAATTTAGCTTCAACAAAAACAGCTAGCTAACTAGTTATGCTAAGGTATAATACGGCACGTTCTATAAAATCGAAATGACCGGAAATCTCTCAGCTAGCCTCACATGATAATGTTAGCTTCGCTAGCTGCTATCTAACATGTTGGCTACCCAATCGCTTACACTACGTGGTTAGCAAAGAACGTGTTGTTAGTCAAATGCTGCAAGCCTTACCTGTGAAGCCTAACTTTTTTGGCACGCAACTGATTATTTTTATCATATGTATCATGTCCTCTATTCTTACAGCTGTAAGCTGAACATGACATTTTTTATTCTTCGTGTGAATTTCCGGCAGAACTTAGACGCGGTGTTATTTATTGCTGCCTTTCGCAGGTCGGAGTGCGTATTGCACATTTGGTCCCCATCATCTAACCCTGCACCTAAACACTATCCCCCAAAAACCCACCACCCCATCCCACTACTTTGGTCCTAAGCGATCCTACACCAGGCTGTCGGCCTGGGAGGATGGAACCCCTTCTCTCAAAACTTCCTGTAGATCTTCTGCACTAAAATCACTCACACCCAAATATTTATCTGCTGCTGCACCTACCACATCTATGTTCTGTGATTTCAGCTCCATCAGTGCAGTGCAGTTCATCACCATGGTTATAAAGGTAAGAAATCCAACCTTACTAAAACTCATCTTCTCTGGATCCCTCTCTTCAGGCCTATACTCACTGGGGGTATAGGCCTGAAACTTTCTGCCCATCTCAAACTCTGGCAATCTAAACCTGTCTCTCTTTCACAGGGCACTTCAGTTTCCCAGCTGCATGGGCACCTCCACAGTTGACACAGTGCTTTCTCTATCCCAACTGTACACTCCCTCTGACTATGCCCTCCTGCACATTTCTCACATTGTGGGATCTCCCTTCTACACACTGCTGCAACTTGTTCAAATCCTTGGCACTTAAAGCACCATAGCGGGAATATAGGCCCTCACAGAATAGCAAATATAACATAACTATAAGTAAACCCACTACAATCATGCAGTAACATTTGTGTACAGTCAGTTAGCAGTTTAGCAATAACTCCGGCAGGCCCCGGTGGCAATACATTAGTAAAACCAAAAGCTTACCTTGACTTGGAAGAGTTCCAGTGTTGGATAGCCGTAGCCAGCTAGCTAACACAGCATCCTTCTGTTTGAGCCGGGTGTTTGAGTAGGCTAGCTAGCTGCATTTGCTAGCTAAGTAAGTGAAAGTAATATATATATATATATATATATATTTATATACTAAATATAGCTCTCTCTCTTGATCCTCCTTCATTTTTGAAGAAATTAATTTGTTCAAAACTGTTAATCTATTGTCTTTCTCTCTCTTTGAGTCAACTACTCACCACATTTTATGCACTGCAGTGCTAGCTAGCTGTAGCTTATGCTTTCAGTACTAGATTCATTCTCTGATCCTTTAATTGGGTGGTCAACATGTCAGTTCATGCTGCAGAAGCTCTGATAGGTTGGAGGATGTCCTCCGGAAGTTGTCATAATTACTGTGTAAGTCTATGGAAGGGGGTCAGAACCATGAGCCTCCTAGGTTTTGTATTGAAGTCAATGTACCCAGAGGAGGACGGAAGCTAGCTGTCCTCCGGCTACACAATGGTGCTACCCTACAGAGTGCTGTTGAGGCTACTGTAGACCTTCATTGCAAAACAGTGTGTTTTAATCAATTATTTGGTGACGTGAATATATTTTGTATAGTTTTTATCTAAAAAGGAAAACTATTTTAATGTTTCACTATTTTTATGAAATTCACTGAGGATGGTCCTCCCCTTTCTCCCCTGAGGAGCCTCCACTGCTATCAGGTAGAAACTCTGTGTCAAAGCTCAACAAGACAGATAGGGCTTGTTCATTTCTTCTTCCTCGCTGGTGGTTTTATGGCGTGTAGAAAACAAAAAGGTAGTGCAACACCACCACCAACTGGACGGGGTGGAAAAAAGGAAAATAACACCATGTAAAATCCCAAGTAGGGGTAGCTGCAGCCCAATATGGTGACCAGAGTATGAGAGAGTGGGTGTGTCGAAATGAGCGTGCGTATGGAAAGAAAATAACCTAATTGGGCAGATTTGTTGCCACTCAAGACCGCTTCGCGTGGCTGGTTGGACTGCATGACAAGTTGATAAGCCTGGCGACCATAGCACCGCTGCTGTATCAAGGTGCCTGCCAACCACTGAGGCAGATATGCTGCTGACCTTAGGTGCTTCACACTGGATAGCTGTTTCACAGTCAGGGCCGGATTGGCCACATTTTTCTCTCTGCACCCTGCCAAAATGTGTTGAAATGCAGTAAATGAGCTGTTTTCCGGGGACCAAAATGCAGTAGCCCAGCCGTGATCACGGCTCCTGCTTGCCAAGCACTGAGGAGATTCTATTCATCTGTCCCAGGCACACGGGTAGGCGTGATTTGTACCGGATGAAAGTTGATTTCATTCGTTTTGGAATGGGGCTGCCTCGTGGGCATGAGCCAGGTGCCCCGTTCAAAGCCCACAGCAAAGTCGGCTCAAAACAAAAGTGACATAATTAGGCACGTGGTGTATTGCTTTTGATAGAAACACTATCGCCATTTAGCAGACACTTTTATAAAAAAATAAACGTTGTTTTCCCACTAGCACTGACTTTGCTGATAAAGTCTTTGTTGAGAGAAAATGTACTTGATACGATTGTGATGTGTTGTCTCACCTAGTTAGCTTAAGATAAACGCACTAGATATAAGTCGCTCTGGATAAGAGCTTCTGCTAAAGGACAAAAATGTAATATTGTAGTCATGTGTGCATACATTTTATGTAGGGGTGGTCCCAGCGGGAATCAAACCCAAATTCTAGTGTTACAAGCACCATGCTTCCACCAACTGAGATATGGAGGACCAGATCTGCCTTCCCAAGGGAAATTAGTTTGAAAATTCAAACATATATTTTATAGAAAAGAGATGTTGTATGTTTCTGGACGATGCACCATGCTGCCTTGTTGACAACATGACCCAGCGGCACAGATTACTGTTCCATTTGAGAAGAGCGCTCCTCCCTCCTGGTTTTTGCCCTTTCAGGTCACGGGTCATAGACCGTTGCCCCGCTGCTCAGCATAATCCAATCTGTCCACGGTCTACTGTCCATTGACCCCCAACGGAGTGGGAAGTAGCTGCCTAGTAACCAATATCAGGGTGACAGTCACAGTAAGCAACCGTCTAAGTAACCTATAGCAGAGCGCCTTCCACACACCCACTCCTTTCCACACGCCCACTCCTTTCCTTTCGACACACCCACTCCTTTCCTTTCGACACACCCACTTTCCGGTAGCCATATTGGACTGCAGCTACCGCATTCTCTAAAATACCAGAGAGGATATCAGAGAGGAATAGGCGAAGCACTGAAGCAATATATAGATGTTTGAAGCAGTATATAGACGTTTGAAGCAGTATATAGATGTTTGAAGCAGTATATAGATGTTTGAAGCAGTATATAGACGTTTGAAGCAGTATATAGATGTTTGAAGCAGTATATAGATGTTTGCCCAAATGCATTTAAAAAAAATAGAAAAACTCCACTGTTTGAGCACACACAACAACTTGAAAACAAAACTGTCTACAACAATCTGTTTATATTTCATTCCGAAAACTTCAATGACTGAGCAACTTTAAAGTGTATACATGATAAACTCCTATTATTCAAACTTCTTCCCCTATGCCTCTTTTATGACTCCAACATCGATCTCTTCCTTCACCACCACTTTGTTTCCAACATCCATATTATATCCTCCATCTTTTCAGTCCTTGTTTGAAAAGCTCCTTTGTCATTTACATCCAGTTGTTCATGTCCTTGTCTGCTAACCCCTCATGACCTCCAGGGCCACCCTGCAGCTCATGGCCACCCTGCAGCTCACACAGGTGTGGGTGTAGTCCTCATCCCCAAGTTTCATGTCCTCATATCTCTTCAGCTCGGAGTCCTGGCTGACCGTGCTCCACTGACTGCACTGACTGCACTCCACGCGGACTTCCCTTTGAGGTGGTTGGGCCTCTAGTATGACAAAGGTCCTTCCTTTTATCCCATTGTCCTGCAATGCAAACAGGGTGGTCAAAGCACAAGTCAGTATAAAAGCTGAACAAAAATATTACATAATTCAAACCTATTTCTATGTGCATTTCTTCATTCATTCAATGGGAATCAATGATATGAGTATGTTTTGATGTAGGAGTAGGAACTTGTGAGTCTAAACACTGTCAGCCTCCAACTTACAGGCAGCTTTCTTGGTGAGGTGGAGACGGACTGAGTCCCTCCGCAGCGCAGCAGAGAGAGGGGTATTTGTCTAGTGGTGGGGTGCTCCTTGCAGCAGAAGCTGAACACACTGGCAGCCAGGTAAACATCCCAGCGATCAGGATGGTCTTTCACCAGATCTGACACCAACCTGTCCAGTTATATGATGAAAATGGATTAAACAAAACAAATGCATATTATTATAAGTCAGCTGGGCTAGCATGACATGTGATTGGATTTAGGAAACTGCCAAAAGATTCTTGCAATCATTACCCAGTTCTATTTAGTACACTACTATCCATAGTATAAGCTTTTAGAATCAGGTGGCTGTGTAGCAAGGTACAGTGGAGAACAAACCGGTCTATGAGGGACTTTGTTACTGGATCCAGTGACACTCCCAGAGGGCGGTAGAATATGAGTTGGCCTGTCAGTTTCTTCAGATCACCCAAAGCCGAGTTGATCTGTAAAATTAAAAGAGGAGGGGTACTTAACAGGTGTTGGAACCGGTTCAGGGAACAGGACCAGAAAACTGGAAAATAATGCACTTTTTAGAGGAACAGAATCAGAACCGGGAACGAAAGTAATCTATACTGTTCCGGAACAGAACCGTTGTTTGAAAAGGATGTGAACCGGTTAATAATGTTATTTTACGTTCCGGGCATTCTTTTTCCAGTCCCACAAAAAAATGCAACAAAGCGTCTATGCAAAGCCCTCACCCCGTCACTCAGAAACATATTCTAGTTTCTGCCTGCCAGCTGAAAATCTTTGCCAGTGTGTGCGTGCATAGGCTACCTGCCCCTCCCCATCCGAAGCATCGTCTATTGTACCCTACTGACGTTCAAAGAGGGATTCAGAAATTAGAAGAGCGATTTTTAATTAGAGACGAATGGATTAACTTTTTCAATGCTAGTTAAGGATATGATAGTTATCACGTTTCACATTGTTTTGATTAACTACAAAAAGGTAACACGTTTTTATTTTAGTTCTGGTGCCGCTCTGCTAGCTCTGGTCCAACGTTAAACCAACTCTCTGAAGTTCCAAGACATTCAACGTTCCTTGAAGCCGCTCCTCTGTTGGTATAATCCTGTGGGCCTATTTCAGATAATGCAGGTCATAACAAGATGCCCAGCGCTTCAAGCCAAGCCTCCTCCCTCTCTCCCCAACAGCAACATTTCAGTCCCATCTCACGCCCTACCCTTGTCTGTCCATTGAATGTAAAAAGCTTGCCCTTTCCATAGTAAGCTGCTCTATCCGCAGCTAAATGTAAAACATTTTCGATTTCAGTGGTTTAAAAAAGGAAGAGAAAGGAACGACATAAAGCAGGATTGTTTGGGGTGGAACTGGTTCAGATCTTTATTCTGCTGAACAGTGGAATGGAACGACATAAAGCAGGACTGTTTGGGGTGGAACTGGTTCAGATCTTTATTCTGCTGAACAGTGGAATGGAACGACATAAAGCAGGACTGTTTGGGGTGGAACTGGTTCAGATCTTTATTCTGCTGAACAGTGGAATGGAACGACATAAAGCAGGACTGTTTGGGGTGGAACTGGTTCAGATCTTTATTCTGCTGAACAGTGGAATGGAACGACATAAAGCAGGACTGTTTGGGGTGGAACTGGTTCAGATCTTTATTCTGCTGAACAGTGGAATGGAACAAAAACAAATATGGTTTTCTTCAGAACAAAACGACTGGAAAATAATTTTGGTTCCAACCCCTGGTACTTAATATTCATGAGATAATTTAGTGCAACACTTCATTTACCCCAAAACATTTTTATTTAGGGCAGTACAGTAACACTTACATCGATACATGCATGCATCTCTTACCTCTAAAATGTGTGCTCGAGTCAAACAAGACAGGATTCCAACAGGGAAGCCAAAGCGAGAGATGAGGTCAGAAATTATTTTGGCAATCTCTTTACTGTTGTTGGTTTTCATGGGGTAGGCTTCCATCCATTTTGAGTAGTAGTCCATTACAGTTAGTACAAACTTGTGTCTACTTCTGGTCTCTGGAAATGGTCCCTTCACATCCATTGTCAGCCATTGCCATTTCTCCTTGATCTGGTTCAAACAAAAATAATCTGTAGTTATGATGTGTAGTTTATATGCATATCAATTAACATGAGGTAATAACTGGGGAATACACACAACAGTAATCCTTTAAGTTGACCAGGGTCGTGTTCAGTTAGTAGGCATAAAACAGAAGGAAACCCTCAGAACCTGAGTGAAGCAAGGTAGCGCTGCACTATCTGTATACATGTTTGTATTCCTTCGGCACCGTTTGCCCTAATGAACAGGACCCAGGTGAAAAAGAATCTTGTTGCCCGCTGTCCAGAATACAATCGTCTGTCAGAAACCTTACCTTGATTGCGTGCTTGGGGATAAAGATCAGACCTTGCTTTTCTAAAGTTGCAGATGGGATCTGAAATTGTCAGGAGTTCAGTTATTAAAGCACGTGTATGGAAAGGTTTAGGGTTATAGAAGACCTTTATAGGATTTTGTAATCATACATGCAACTAGCCCTAGAGGTTTGGGCCTCATCAAGATCGTTGGGAGTAACAGTGACACTACTTTTCAACACGCTCCTCCCTGGGATTTTTGAGCAGGTACCGTGAACTAAGCTGTTTGGATGAAAACATTTGGAATATTTGGCAAAAGATACAAACATGGTTGTTCTGTAAGGAATTACGGGAACCCTTCCCAATCAAACAATTTTGATGAGCTCAATCAGCTTCATAAGGGCTAACTCACAACTTACTCCTTTAGGCATGTCTTTTACAGCCCAGTCAATACTCTGCAAAAAAATAAATACAAAATAAATAAGCATGAATGAAATATTTGTCAAAAAATCTTTAAAAAAAATTCTAGATAAGAATGATATGTACTTTGTACCTGTGGAACACAGTAGTCGTCATGGAAACGACTTGGGTGCCATATACTGTGGTTTAAGTAACTTGGTGGAGACTTCTCCCGTTGTGTCGACTCCTCAGGAACAGGATCCTCTGGAAACTGGAAGTAACGAGTAGAGGCCAAACACAGTTCATTTTATTTGTGAAATCAAAAGGGAAATCCAAATCTGCCATATACTTAAGAGTAAACAGCAATACGAATGGAAAACTGGTTGTACAGTAACCTCAATTACCTCGACTAACTGGTGCCTCCGCACATTGACTCTGTGCCGGTACCCCCTGTATATACATTTTAGACATTTAGCAGACGCTCTTATCCAGAGCGACTTACAGTTAGTGAATACATATTTATTTATTTTTATACTGGCCACCCGTGGGAATCGAACCCACAACCCTGGTGTTGCAAACACCATGCACTATCAACTGAGCTACATCCCTGCCGGCCATTCCCTCCCCTACCCTGGACGACGTTGGGCCAATTGAACCCACAACCCTGGTGTTGCAAACGCCATGCTCTACCAACTGAGCTACATCCCTGCCGGCCATTCCCTCCCCTACCCTGGACGACGTTGAGCCAATTGTGCGCCGCCCATGTGTCTCCCGGTCGCGGCCGGCTGCGACAGAGCCTGGATTCGAACCAGGATCTCTAGTGGCACAGTTAGCACTGCGATGCAGTGCCTTAGACCACTGCGCCACTCAGGAGCACAATATAGGAGCACAATATAGCCTCGCTATTACTGCTGCTCTTTAATTATTTGTTACTTTTATTTAATTGATTTTTTAGATATTCTTTCTTAAAAATGTATTATTGGTTAAGGGCTTGTAAGTAAGCATTTCACTGTAAGGTCTACACCTGTTGTATTCGGCCCATGTGACAAATAAAATTTGATTTGTTTGGAACATTTAGCATTTCTCACCAAGGTTACTCTTTTCCTCCTTCCAGCTGTTTTCTGAAACTACAAGAACTCAACAATAAAACAGACCATTCAAAAGTTCAACTCAACCAACAAAGCCAAAGCACGTTTCAAGAATTCCTCATATGTTACATTCACAACCACCAGACTCAGTTAGGTCTAATAGCTTAAATGAAAACAACACACCTGCCTCATTTGACAAAATACCTTTTTTTGTAGGTGACTAGGAAAGGTAAAGATAGTTGGTATGGCATCATCACGTAAACGCACTGTCTGCCCAGTTCTATCCATGCACCTCTCCTCGAAATGCTCTGAGCACAGTAGGGAATGGGGGGTTGGCTGCCAGTCTTTCCATTTCATCTGACCCACCCACTCTTTTATTCGTTTAGGATCACGCTTTGGAAAGCTGTTGACATAAGAAAAGGTAAAAAAAACAAAATGTAAACATCAACGGGGAAATCTGTGATTGTAACATACATTTTTGGACTTTTAAATGTATATAACTATTGATTCTTGAAGAATATAACTTATAAATGCCTCATGAGCTTAGTTCAACTGTCATACCCATCAGAACCCAAAATATTAGTTTGTAATTGTAAACAAACACTTTATAGCCTCATAACATTGTTAAAACTATAATTCTGACATCATGGATGGTCACTGCCTCTGGTCAGTCCTTGCATTCATAGCTCTGTCTATGAATTTGACAGTGGTTACATTTCTCCAGCCCCATCCCTCAGCTATTTACCAAATCAGTGGCGAAGCTCCGCTTTGTTACTGTTTGAACTGCAGATTGCTAAAAACAGTGATGAAACAGCGACCACTAAGGCCGGGCTAATACGGGTTGTTCGTTTGTTTAGAAGTTCCACGTTTTTTTTATGATACGGTAGCTAAGATATAAGTCACATTCGTCAAAATCAAGGTATAGCTGGTTAGCTATTTTATTACTGGAAATCTTAGCTAGCTACACAAGCTAACGTAAACTGACTAGCTAGTTGGCTAGTTACTAGCTAAATTAGCTAATCCAAATGTCGACGTTAGTCTTACCTGTGAAATGTAACCTTGTTTGTTTTATGTTTAACATTTTTAAATGTATTCCTACAGTTGAAAGCTGAACAACGCCCTGGCATTTTTGATAGCTAGCTAGCATTAGCTAACAACTACTACACCAAGGAATGTAAAAAAAACAAGGAAGTGACGCACAGGAAGTTAACTTTTTTCGGCTTCTACCTCTTCTGCCACAACACATCTGTAAAGAAGACAGAAAAATGGCTGACTTCAGGAAAGTCTGTCCTGGGTCTCTGCCCTATGTTAACGTTTCGCGAAAAGTGTCTGTTCAAGGGAAAGTTTTTATCCTCCTATGTATAATATTGGCCGAACCCGGAGGAGCTACCACCCACTGGGTTGTCACTGAAGATGGAAAGATTCAACAGCAAGTACGTTAATGGCCCGTGTTTATATCCGTATTTTGCTAACTAGCTAGCCGTTAGCTTCTCTGCTAGCAAGCTAACTACTTTATCACAGATAGCTAGAACCAGTATCTTTGACTTTAGTTTGCTCTTCCTAGGATTTGCTTACACGGCTGCAGGCTCATACTAGCTTGCCAATCATTGATTGCTAATTAGCTACTTAAGTCCCTCTCTGGGACTTTCGCTAGCACAGTAATGCAATGCTGACCCCCTAAGGGTACTGACCTGCCTTTAACTTGAACTAACGTTAAAGTAGTTCGCTAGAGAACGGGGTCTCTGGGTAAGCTAGCTAACTTACATGTTAGCTAACTCTAACTAACTAAAGGCATCCAACCATCCTAGAAAAACTGAAATAAAGCCAACTAGTGATAGATGATTGGTAGGTAGCAAGTTGGCAAGCTAGCTAATTAGCTACTGGGGTCAAAGATAATGGGCATAACTGACCTGACAGACCCAGCATTGGCACAGCCAGCTAGTTATTAACTTCAATGCAACCAGGAGTTTTGACATCCAGCACAATGTCGAAACTCTCTTGGTTGCATCGAAACTATCTAGCTAGGTGAATTGAATGGAAAACTGTGCTTCGGCTTGATGTAAGCGCACAAATAAAAGGGGTTTAGAAAAAAGTATATCTGATGTAACATAATAATAATAATATAATAATATGCCATTTAGCAGACGCTTTTATCCAAAGCGACTTACAGTCGTGCGTGCATACATTTTTGTGTATGGGTGGTCCCGGGGATCGAACCCACTACCTTGGCGTTACAAGCGCCGTGCTCTACCAGCTGAGCTACAGAGGACCACAACCTTTGTATCTATATACAACTAATCTAAAGCTGAGCTACAGAGGACCGTAACCTTTGTATCTATATACAACTAATCTAAAGTATCCACTTACACTTAACGTTTAGAAGGGCATCACATGTTCAGACTATTTAGCGATTGACATTATGTCAGCCGTGGCCAAACTATCTAACACAGATGGTTTGGGAAAAACCAAAGATGACCTAGTTACTACTACGTCATATCGATGTCAAGTCAGCCAGGTTGCTCTGCCTCAATTTTGTTTTGGTGTTGTCTCACTTCATGTGTACTGTGGTCAGCGAACTCAGAGGTGTTTAGGCTTTTGGGTCAAGTCATGGAGTGAAAAGAAGTACTGTCACTGTTTATTTTGAGACAAACATTTTCTGTTTTTTTGCAGGTTGACTCTCCTTTGAATCTTAAACATCCACATGACCTTGTCATCTTCATGCGACAGGAGACCCGTGTCAACTACCTGAAGAAGTTAGAGGTGATGACTCATAGCCTATTGCTCTACTTCCTGGTTTTACAATGTTAGTCCAAGGCCTCCCCAGTGTTAAATATGTATACTGCTGTGCTCTCCCTTACTTGAAAGATGCAATATCTACAATATTCACATCTGTTCAATGGTCATTTAATACTCATAGATTATTGAAGAACATATTAGATCACATCAGATGGGAAACCTGTCTTCCTTTCTTTTTCCTCCAGTAAGATATAGCATTGCTTTCAAATCAAGCCACACTGAAAGGTCTGAATCTCATGTCTCTGACCTCTGCTTTGTGCAGAAGCAGCTTGTCGCTCAGAAGATTCACATTGAGGAGAATGAGGACAGGGACACTGGCTTGGAGCAGAGGCACTATAAAGAGGATGCCGACTGTGTCACGGCTAAAGTTCCCCTGGGAGACTTGGATCTCTACGATGGTACCTACATCTCTCTGGAGAGTAAAGACATCAGGTAAGCCCAGGCTGGGCACTCTTGACCAATCATTTAGTTATTACTAATTTGCCCTCACCTAACTCATTATCAAGGGGAAGCACTGATAAGGGATGTTGACATATGTCATCAGGGCGTGTAATGAATCCATTGGTCGTGCTCCAAAACGGCTTCATCTTATCGTTGACATTGACCGATGACATGAGTCATTTTAAATTTTTTGGGTGATCAACATTTTTATTTTCAACAACATACAGTGTACACACATTGGATGATCACGTCACATATATTAGAGGTCATGACACTACAGCACAAACAAAACAAAAACAAAATACACTTTTATACAAACAAATAAACAATGGAAGTATTTACATACTGACAGAAGTCATAATTATTAGAACACACAAGGTGATATTCGTACAGGGAGAAAGTAGGGAGTTCACAAGAGGACAAGTATTCTTGATGGCATCCTGTTGACAAGAAATGTTAATCACTTTCTGATAGAAAAACCATGATGGCTTGTCTTTCAAATCTAGACCGGCCTGTCCTACATCTTCATCATCAGGCATTTTTAAACAGCCACATGATGCAAGTCAAGAACTGGTTACCTTTTCTCCCCTTGTTCCCCCTGTTCTGCTGGACACAACACTAATGCTCCCTGGACCTTGACTATGGATGTTTCTTTCAGCCCTGAGGATTACGTAGATTTGAGGTCCCCTCTACCCCCGGATCTGGAGAAGCCTGACTGTGCCAGAGTATTTGAGCTCCCGTATAGTATCCACGGTTTCCAGCATCTCCGGGTGAGTTGAGGGAAAAGCGAACCCACTTGTTAATGCAATGCACATGCCTGTCTGGACCTGTGCCATGTGTCTATCTTTATCCAGGGCGTGCAAGAGCGGGTGAACCTCACATCTCCTCTGCTCTCTAAAGAGGACCCCATTTTTGGCTCCCTGTCCCACAAACTGGGCCGCAGCATTGACGAGGTGGGCCATCGAATCCAGCAGGGCCTGCTGAGGGTGCGTTTCTCTCTACTGCCTCACCAACACTGTCTGGTCTGTTTTTTATCGGTTTACATATAGCTGAAGGGGATTACTTTAACTGTGATGCACTGATTTATTCATTTTTATAAATGGACAGTCACTGTTTTAAGTGTTCTGGTCTGACTGTCATATAGTTCCCTTCTAATGATAGTGTTCTGGTCTGACTGTCATATAGTTCCCTTCTAATGATAGTGTTCTGGTCTGACTGTCATATAGTTCCCTTCTAATGATAGTGTTCTGGTCTGACTGTCATATAGTTCCCTTCTAATGATAGTGTTCTGGTCTGACGGTCATATAGTTCCCCTCTAATGATGTGTGTGTTGTGTTGTCCAGAACTCGTCGTCCTGGGTGCTGTATGACCTGGCGTCGTTCTACTGGCGGATAAAGAACGAGCCCAGGCAGGCGGTGGACTGTGTGGTCCGTGCCCTGCACTTCTCACCCAGGTACAACCAAAGCAAAACGCAGCTTCAGTTTGTCATGTTCATTAGGGCACACCATGTAAAAAAGTTTGCAATGGAAAACTAAGTGAGCCTTTCTTATTGGACAAGTCTAGGTATTCCCTAATGTTTCAGTATGTTGTCTGCCCTTTGGTGCCCAATGAACACGTCCCAGCTACGGTTATTCAGCATTCAAACAGTGGACCATATAAGAGTTTTGAGTCCCATGCTCGTTGTCTGTTGTGTATCCAGGCTGCACAAGGACTTGGCACTGGTGAACATGGCCAACATCCTGCACCGGGCCCACTTCTCTGCTGATGCTGCCATCCTGGCTCACGCTGCCCTGGACCTGACCTCTGACCTTCTCACCAGCCACTACACCCTGGGCAACATCTACGCAGTGAGTTACAGCACCACTAGTAGATTAATATATTGGGGGGGGGGGGGGGAAGATGCACTGAATACAACCCAGGGGATAATGCGTTAAAGCGATTCCGCTTGTTTCCAAGGTGGTTCCCGATGGAATACACATGAGACAAAATAAAGGAAAGCTAGCTGTACGACGTCATCATCTGGTTTTATCAACAATTGCAGCTCTATGATTCCTATTGCAGAGACGTTCTACATCATGTATAGTGAAATAGTACAAACTTGTATCAAGAGAACAGCAGGGTTCCAAGCACTGACCCTTGAGGAACACCAAAGTCAGTTTTTTCGGGATGTCTAATGACAACAAAGAAAGCAGACATTAGGTGAATTTAAACAAAATGTAGCCTTTAAATAGAACATGTGGTTCTGTAACATTTGTTGGCACTACGTTTTAACATTTCTGGAGGGACGCTGACATAGGGTTGTGTTGGTTTATGTTCACCTACTGTCTGCTTTTAATATTTTCACTGAACCTACACTTACAGTGGGATGTTACACTTACAGTAGTATTTTTTATTGGAGTATAGCAATAATCTCTCCAACAGTTATGCAGTGGATATGGATGTTGGATGTTACTGCAATGCTTGTTGGCAAGGCTTTCTCCAGGTGCTCAGGAAGTGTATTCCTGTTGGTATATTGTTCATGTTACCGGCCCTGACCTTCAGTATCTTTCTCTCCAGTTATTCTAGAAGAGTGAATCATCGCTGATATATTATTTCTCTCTCTCTCTCTCTCTCTCTCTCTCTCTCTCTCTCTCTCTCTCTCTCTCTCTCTCTCTCTCTCTCTCTCTCTCTCTCTGTGTCTGTCTGTCATCCCCCCTCCCTGTCTCTCCACCTCCTCCCCTCTCTCCTCTTCATCTGTGTGTGTAGATGCTGGGGGAGTACAACCACTCAGTGCTGTGCTATGAGCAGGCCCTCCAGGCCCAGCAGGGCTTTGAGCAGGCCCTGAGGAGGAAGCACGCCGTCCTCTGTCAGCAGAAACTGGAGCAGCGCCTGGAGGCCCAACACAGGTAAAGGCACAGCGCCTCACTGCTCAGGGCGTAGTTAGGTTAATAGTGGCAGGAGAGTGGCTTTATTACAAAAGGAAGTGGGGGGGGGGGGGGGGGGGGAGGAGTAGCTGGAACCAGGGTTGTGTTCAGTAGGAGAAAAACGTGAGGAACCATTTTGAAGGGGATTTAATGGGAAGGGAAGCATTGTTGTGGCACATACTTCCTCTTTATATGGCACAGGTTACAATGCAGAATATACACTGAGTGGACAAAACATTATTATGCTTTTTCCATTACAGACTGACCAGGTGAATCCAGGTGAAATCTATGATCCCTTATTTATGTCACTTGTTAAATCCACTTCAATCAGTGTAGATGAAGGGGAGGAGACCGGTTAAAGAAGGATTCTTAAGCCTTGAGACAATTGAGACATGGATTGTGTGCCATTCAGAGGGTGAATGGGCAAGACAAAATATATAAATGCCTTTGAACGGGGTATGGTAGTAGGTGCCAGTCGCACCGGTTTGAGTGTGTCAAGAACTGCAATGCTGCTGGGTTTTTCACACTCAACAGTTTCCCATGTGTATCAATATGGGTCCACCACCCAAAGGACATCCAGCCAACTTGACACAGCTGTGGGAAGCGTTGGAGTCAACATGGGCCAGCGTCCCTGTGGAAGGCTTCCGACACTTAGTAGGCCTAGGGCTAGCTATTTGTGATCTGCCACACCCCCTCCACCCCCCAGGTCTCTGCAGCGCACGCTGAACGAGCTGAAGGAATACCAGAAACAGCATGACAACTACCTCCATCAGCAGGAGGCCCTGGACAAATACAAGCTGCTTCAGGAAGAGCAGATCCTCCGCAACATCATCCATGAGACCCAGATGGCCAAGGAGGCACAGCTGGGTGAGATGCTACACACACACACACACGCACACAATACACACACACACACACACACACTCGCATGCAATACATATACACACACACACACTCGCATGCAATACATACACACACACTCCATACACACACGTAGTACACACAAGCGCAATACACACACACACTCGTGCGCAATACACACTCACAGATACACACACACACAGACGCATACATACACACACACAAATACACCGTTTTATATAAATTCATATGTCCATTTAGAGATGTAAACAGAAAATAGTGCAACAATAATTAGGTGTGTGTTTAGGCAACCACCAGATGTGTCATCTGGGCCAGCAACAGAGCAGCCTCTTCTGCCCCTTCGACCTGCCGGTGCGTTATCACCGTGGAGACCTGTTTGAGCACGTCCACCACATCCAGTTTGGAGAGGAGGTGTCTGTGGCGGGCAGCGTGGCTCTGGTGTCGGAGCCAAGCATCAACCAGACCACCAGCCCCGACCTCCACCCCTCTGTGTCCGGAGACCCCGAGCCTGCAGCCCTCTGGGGCCACCAGGCCTCCCCCACCGAAGTGAGTCTGGGGACTGTGTGTGTGTTCTGACAGCCAGACAGTGTGTGTGTGTGTGGATAGTGGGCTGTATGCTGTGTTGGCAGGACAGTCTAAAGGTTCTGTGGAGCTGACTGCGTGTGTTTTGTCTGTAGGACATTCAGAGGCTGCTGTGGCCTCGGAGGGCCGACTGTGCTCATGAGTTTCCTGGCATCCCCCCCGCCCACCTACTACCCACCTTCTACCTCCCACCTGACACGCAGGGCCTCAGGTTAGTGTGTTAGACATAGGGCCTCAGGTTAGTGTGTTAGACACGGGGCCTCAGGTTAGTGTGTTAGACACGGGGCCTCAGGTTAGTGTGTTAGACACGGGGCCTCAGGTTAGTGTGTTAGACACGGGGCCTCAGGTTAGTGTGTTAGACACGGGGCCTCAGGTTAGCGTGTTAGACACGGGGCCTCAGGTTAGCGTGTTAGACACGGGGCCTCAGGTTAGCGTGTTAGACACGGGGCCTCAGGTTAGCGTGTTAGACACGGGGCCTCAGGTTAGCGTGTTAGACACGGGGCCTCAGGTTAGCGTGTTAGACACGGGGCCTCAGGTTATTGTGTGTGTGCCATGTTGTTTGTGTATGCTACCTTTCTGGGCCTGTTTCTAACATGGTGTGTGTTATATCTTGAAGCCGTGTGTTTGTGTGTGTGTTCTGGTGGAGTGTGTTGACTCGTAGAGCCTCTTCCTCAGCACGGTTTGGTTAACATGTGATGTATGATATGACTCATGCATTTGCTGACCTCACTGGTGTGTGTTCAGCCTTCAGAATGTGCTGTATGGTACCGGACCCCCTCCCTCCTCCCTGGCCACCCCAGACTGCGGCCCTCTGCCCCAGCCCCCTCCAGCTGACCTGCCTGCCTCTGTGGGCTGGCCCATGGAGGACAAGGAGTTGCCAGACCCCCATGCCACCCAGGTTAGTGTGTGTGTGTGTGTGTGTGTGTGTGTGTGTGTGTGTGTGTGTGTATGTGTATGTATGTGTGTGTGTGTGTGTTGGATGGGGGTCTGTAACAGCATCATCTTTTTGACTGGGCTTTGGTTTCAATACAATACCATCTTTATTGAACTATTATACAGAGACAACAGAAATGTGTTTTCTGTCACAGTACCCAGCTCCACCACTGGGAGCACCACTGAGTCTGCCACAGAGCAGCCCCACTGGCGCAGGTTAGGATGCAGGGTTGAAGTGTGTAACTGTGCTGATCTTGGTATTGTGTGTGTGTGTGTGTGTGTGTGTGTGTGTGTGTGTGTGTGCAGGTGCTGCTGTCTCGCAGCAGAGGCTGGAGTTTGGAGCAGGCTGGTACCAGCATAGCCCAAGCCATGAAGAAGGTGAGCGCCGTAGAACAGAGAAACATCCTTTCATATCAGAAATATACTTCACTACTGTCCTGTCCTGAGAAATGCTATGGCTTTGGACTGTTCTCTTTTTTTATTGTCACATGCACCGGATAGGTGCAGTGAAACGTGTTGTTCTACAGGGTCAGCCATAGTAGTACGGAGCCCCTGGAGAAAATTAGGGTTCAGTGCCTTGCTCAAGGGCACATCGACCATTTTTTTCTTTTTTTTACCTTGTCGGCTCAGGTATTCAAACCAGCAACCTTTCCTTTACTGGTCTAACCTCTAATGAACAAGAGCATGCAGATGCTCTGATCCAGTCGAAAGTGAATGTTAAAATACTGTGAATTAAACTTGTAGGGTTTGAACAGTTCTAAGTAATAGAAAATGATACATCCTCCTCTCCTCCAGGCTAGCGCCCCTGGCTGGTTGCTCCAGAACGAGGCGGCTTTGTTCTGGCGGGCGAAGGGTAACGGTACCAGCTCACTGCAATGTCTGCGCCACTCCCTGGCATCGGCTCCGCCCCCTCAGCGCCACCTGCCCCTCGTCAATGCTGCCAACCTGCTTCTGCGCCACGGCCTCAGCGCCCACGCACACACGCTGCTGGAGGACGCCCTGGCACTCAACGCCTCCGAAGTACACACATTTAAAATACTTTATTTGAATCCACAAATCACATTTACATTCAAGAAGGATTGAAACATCTCAAAGGTCTTTTGTATGCATGGACACTTAAGGATACAGAACGCACCTTGTTCTCCAAACAGACAGGCGGCCCATAACAGCAGACACAGAGCAACACCTTGCCCTCTGCTTTGCTCTAGTCTTAGGCAGGCCTGCAGGCTGCGTGCCTTAAGGCTGTGGACGTGACTGAGACAAATATCAGTGCTACTAACAGCTTGCAGCTATATCTGCGGCTGTTAAAGCGTGATACGACGGGCTGGTATTTAAATTTAGACGCTTGTCAGCAATGGTCTGCTCAATGTAACAGTCAAATGACACACGCTGCTGGAGGATACCCTGGTACTCAGCACCTTTGAGGTACACACACACACACACACACACACACACACACACACACACACACACTTCTGTTCTTACATGACATATTTTTAAATGACAGTTGGAGGCCATTTGTTCTATAAAGTTTGATTCAGCACCTTTAGAAGTTGTCCACAGTATGGGCATAATGGTATGTTACATAAGGATTTATCCACAGTATGGGCATAATGGTATGTTACATAAGGATTTATCCACAGTATGGGCATAATGGTATGTTACATAAGGATTTATCCACAGTATAGGTATTATGGTATGTTACATAAGGATTTATCCACAGTACATAATGGATGTCCATTCTAATGACTCTCTGTCCCTGCCCTCCTCTGGTCCCCTGGCAGCCCCACACTCTACTGAGCCTGGTGAGTGTGAATCTGGCCCAGGGCAACGTGACGGGCGCCCTGGACCTGTTCCGCCACACCCTGGCCCTCTCTGCCAGTTGTGCCCAGTGCCGTGCCAGCCTGCCCCTTCTGCGCTGCCTACAGTTCTACCCCTTCCTATACAACCTGCAGCGCTCGCCATGTCCGCGTGAGTGCCACGGTTCACCTCTCATGCCATGCCATACTTTACTGTCCATTGTTGTGGAAATGAATTTGGGAGGCCTGCAATAAATGGTACCTGGCTTATTTACAGTCGGCACCAACCTTCCCCTTTGACCTCTGTCTGTCTTGTGTAAGGGGTTACAGTGTTGTAAATTCAAACTTTGACTTCTGTCTGACTATCTTATCTTGTCTAAAGGGTTTAATATTAATCCGCTTTAATATTGCAGATAGATTCCAGGTTCTATCAGTTTAATTGTTTGCATCATTTCTAATTCCTTTTTTATTTATCTCTGTACTTCTTCCTCCTTCTCTACCATCCCTCTCCTGATTGGAGGAAACTAACGGACAACAATACCCTGACTGCTACTTACAGCTGTTTCCAGTCTGTAGTTAAATAATTAGACATACAGCTCTGGAAAGAATTAAAAGCAAATGTTTCTTAAATCAGCATCTCTACATGTATGACAGCCATTCCATTCCAGTGTCTGTTGAATTCCAACACAGGCACACCTCCTTCTACTGAATTAGGTACTGATTCGGTGATCACCTGAACCAAATCTTATCATCACTATCCTCTTGCAATAGGACCAGCTGGATGGCAAAAACAGTGCTAATAGTACCTCAAAAGTAATATTAATCAAAAAATAACTATTGACCATGCCAAAAGAGTTGAAAAGGAACGTTTTGAGTGAGGAAAAGAAGGGTTTAATTCGGGCTTTACTGGCAGAGGGATACAGTGAGCGTCAGGTTGCTTCCATCCTTAAAATGTCAATGACGGCGGTTCATAAGAACAAGGTCAAGCAGCAGACATTGGGGACAACAAAGCTACAGACCAGCAGAGGGCGGAAACGACTCTACTGACCGGGATGACCGCCAACTCATTCAAATGTCACTCAACAACCGTAGGAGGACATCAAGTGACCTACAAAAAAGAATGGTAAACGGCAGCTGGGGTGAAGTGCATGGTGAGGGCGGTTCGAAACAGGCTCCTAGGGGCAGGGCTGAAGTCGTGCAAAGCTAGAAAAAAGCTCTTCATCAATGAGAAGCAAAGAAGAGCCAGGCTGAGGTTTGTAAAAGACCATAAGGATTGGACCGTAGAGGACTGGAGTAAGGTCATCTTCTCTGATGATTCCAATTTTCAGCTTTGCCCAACACCTGGTCATCTAATGGTTAGACGGAGACCTGGAGAGGCCTACAAGCCACAGTGTCTCGCACCCACTGTGGAATTTGGTGGAGGATCGGTGATGATCTGGGGGTGCTTCAGCAAGGCTGGAATCGGACAGATTTGTCTTTGTGAAGGACTCATGAATCAAGCCACGTACAAGGTTGTCCTGGAAGAAAACTTGCTTCCTTTTGCTCTGACATTGTTCCCCAACTCTGAGGATTGGTTTTTCCAGCAGGACAATGCGCCATGCCACACAGCCAGGTCAATCAAGGTGTGGATGGAGGACCACCAGATCAAGACCCTGTCATGGCCAGCCCAATCTCCAGACCTGAACCCCATTGAAAACTTCTAGAATGTGATCAAGAGGAAGATGGATGGTCACAAGCCATCAAACAAAGCCGAGCTGCTTGAATTTTTGCGCCAGGAGTGGCATAAAGTCACCCAACATCAATGTGAAAGACTGGTGGAGAGCATGCCAAGACGCATGAAAGCTGTGATTGAAAATCTGGGTTATTCCACCAAATATTGATTTCTGAACTCTTCCTAAGTTAAAACATTAGTATTGTGTTGTTTAAAAATGAACATGAACTTATTTTCTTTGCATTATTCGAGGTCTGACAACACTGCATCTTTTTTTGTTATTTTGACCAGTTGTCATTTTCTGCAAATAAATGCTCTAAATGACAATATTTTTATTTGGAATTTGGGAGAAATGTTGTCAGTAGTTTATAGAATAAAACAAAAATGTTATTTTTACCCAAACACATACCTATAAATAGTAAAACCAGAGAAACTGATCATTTTGCAGTGGTCTCTTCATTTCTTCCAGAGCTGTATATTACTACTTCCCTCTTTGTTCAAGTGCTGGATTTACCCCACAGCAGCCAATCACCATTCATTATGATTTACCCCACAGCAGCCAATCACCATTCATTATGATTTACCCAACAGCAGCCAATCACCATTCATTATGATTTACCCGACAGCAGCCAATCACCATTCATTATGATTTACCCCACAGCAGCCAATCACCATTCATTATGATTTACCCCACAGCAGCCAATCACCATTCATTATGATTTACCCCACAGCAGCCAATCACCATTCATTATGATTTACCCCACAGCAGCAAATCACCATTCATTATGATTTACCCCACAGCAGCCAATCACCATTCATTATGATTTACCCCACAGCAGCCAATCACCATTCATTATGATTTACCCCACAGCAGCCAATCACCATTCATTATGATTTACCCCACAGCAGCCAATCACCATTCATTCTGATCTGAACTCCAACCCTCCCATGTTCTCTCTCTCTCTCTCCTGCTGATGTTTCTCTCTAGCATGGCGAGGGAAGGGGAAAGCGTTTTGAAGTGGAGAAATCTGCCACTCAATAATTGAAGCTGTTAAAAATAGTTCAGCTGCTGCTGCATTTAGAAAGCTCTATATTTGACAGTCAGAGGCCAACCCTCTCACCGTATTTATAACCTACACACACACTTCCTATGTGGAGGTGAAAGGGTGCAGGGTGACTAGAAAGGTAGAAAGACTCATTTCCACTATGACAAAAGGGACAATAAAGTCCCAATTCCATTATCTGTATTTGTTGCTTGAATGTCATGCACATTGTTGGAAGGCCAGTTTAGTGGAGACTGAAGTGTCTGTGTGCTGATCGGTTTAGTGTGTGTGTGTGTGTGTGTGTGTGTGTGTGTGTGTGTGAACAGAGGGTGCTGTGTGTGTCGGAGAGGAGGATGTGACTCTACAGCTAGATGAATGGGAGGCTGGCAGGGGACAGAAACAGCAGAAGGACCCCACCACCACGGCTGCCCAGGCTCTGCCCGTCTCCACTGTGGAGGAAGCTCTCCTGTTTCAGAGTAAGGCCCTTATGATTGGGACTCTGACTATATGAAATCAAATGAACAAAACTGTTCATGGGATACTGCACACTCAGATGCTCCCAACGCCTGGGTCCTGTTCAGCAGGACACTGTAGCGAAATGTTTTGAAACCCGAAAACTAAAAAATCTCCAGTTAAAACCCTCCCTGTTTCTGTCCGTTTTCTTCTGTTTGGTACCTAATGAACAGGACCCTGCCTTTCTGTTTGTAACAGAGGTGGTGCTGGACAGTAACGGCTCTGGAGAGGCAGCCCAGCAGCAGCCAGGAGGAGGAGGAGGACTAGGAGAGAGGGATGAGGAGGAATGGCAGCTGAAGGAGGAGCTGATGGGGGCCTTCGAGGGGGCTCTGGACGTGGGGGGCAAGCGGGGTGACCTGAGGGGCATCCGCGTACTGAAGAACGACCGGGTGATGGGGGCGGGCCGGAGCGGAGGAGGGCCCTGCTTCGGGAACTGTGAGGATGACGAGGGGGCTGAGTGGGTACGTGTCCTGTACTGAGTAACTCCCATGATGTAGTATAGAGACAGACTGTGGTGAGTGGGTACATGTCCTGAGTAACTCCCATGATGTAGAAAAAGTTCTGTCCAAACAGTAGCCAGGCCCCAGCCCAACTTCCCCCCTCTCTGTGTTCCTGGTCCTCCACAGATCACGTTCCAGGTGAAGCGTGTGAGGAAGCCCAAGGCAGACATCCCCGACGGCTGGGGCAGTGCTGAGGACACCCTGCAGGGGGAGACACTGCTCCCTGGAGGCCACTCTGTCCTGGAGATCAGCGGCCCCACCATCCCCTCCACCGGGCCCTCGGGTAATAGACACCCTGCACGCTCACAGACAAACTCATAGGGAGAGTCTCAATTGTATTTACATGACTCCTCGTGTCCTCTCGCCGCCTCCTCAAAACCCATTGGAGAAGGCCAGTTGGGAGGGACCTCTGACTTTCTCATCCAATGGGTTCTGAGAAGGATGCCAGGAGTCAAGGAAATACAATGGAGATTCTCCCATACAGACAGTTCTCTGAGGCGTGTAGTAGTCATCATCACTGAACCATACTAAGAAAGTGTTTGTGTCTCCAGGGTACTGATTTGTGTGTGTGTATGTGTGTGTGTGTGCAGGGCGATGGAGGGACTACACCAGTCTGGGCTGGCCGGGGCCAGAGGAGTGCCAGAGAACTCGCAGGGTAGACCTCACCACCGTGGCCAGTACCTGGCTGGCAGTGTCTGCCAAGAACATAGAGTCAGTACCAACCTTCCCCTTTGACCTCTGTTTGTCTTGTGTAAGGGGTTAGGAGAGTGTTGTACATTTAAACTTTGACCTCTGTCTGGCTATCTCATAGATAAACATATATAATTTGGTGTGTGTGTCCCAACCCTCCCCTGGGGAAACCACCGCACAGTCCATATTTTTGTTCTAACCCTGCACTGACACAGCTGATTCAACTAATTAATCAAGAACAAAATGTTGACTGCAACTGGAGTCAGTTGGGAATCACTTTATTAGGACTTAAAGGGATAGTTGGAGATTAAAGGGATAGTTGGATTTTAGCAATTAAGTCCTTTTTTATATTTACCCAGTTAAGATGAACTCATGGATACCATTAGTATGTCTCTGTGTGCCGTATGAAGGAAGGTCGTTTCTGGAGCCATTGCTAACTAGCTAGCGCAATGACTGGAAGTCTACAGGAACAGCTAGCATGAAACTACCTTCAACTTCCTTCAAACTGCGCACATAGACATAAAAACGGTAACCATGAGTTCATCTGACTCTGGGGAAGTATAAATGTTGAACTATCCTCTTAACACCCAAAGCCACACTTGAATTTAAAACATGTATGATGTTCTATTCCCCCCTCCTTCCCTCTCTTCTCTCATCTCCTCCCCCCTCCTCCCCCCTCCACAGCATCACTGAACACATAGACTTTGCCACTCCACTCCAGGAGCCTGCGGTGGAGCCGTTGTGTAATGCCAACCTGGCTACCAGCATGCATACCCTGGATCACCTGTCTGGCGTGGCCAACCGCGCCGCCATCCACTACACTGGAGAGAGTCAACTCAGAGAGGTAGGGGACAGAGAGAGTCAACTCAGAGAGTTAGGGGACAGAGAGAGTCAACTCACAGAGGTAGGGGACAGAGAGAGTCAACTCAGAGAGTTAGGGGACAGAGAGAGTCAACTCAGAGAGGTAGGGGACAGAGAGAGTCAACTCAGGTAGACGAGGAGCCAGAAGTCACGGAACCAGGTAACGAGAAGTCAACAGGAAGTCTAGAGGAGAAAGGAGTCACTCAGAGGTAGGGGACGAAGATCAACAGAGATATAGGGGAAGAGAGAGTCACTCAGGAGTAGGACGAAGGTCACTAGTGTAGGGCAAGGTCAACTCAGAGTGGACAGAGTCAACAGTCATCAGAGTAGGAACAAAGAGTCAACTCAGAGTAGGGGACAGAAGCAACTCAGATGGACGAGATCACTCAGGTGGGACAAGAGAGTCAACTCAAGTGGAGAGAGAACCAGAGAGGTAACAGAGAGAGTAAACTCAGAGGTAGGGACAGAGAGAGTCAACTCAGAGAGTAGGGACAGAGAAGTCAACTCAGAGAGTAGGGACAGAGAGAGTCAACTCAGAGAGGTAGGGACAGAGAGAGTCAACTCAGAGAGTAGATGAGAGAGGTAACAAGAGAGGTAGGAGACGAGAGAGTCACTCAGAGGGGTAGGGGACAGAGAGTCACAACAGAGAGGAGTCAACTCAAGGAGGAGGGAACGAGAGAGTCAACTCAGAGGGTAGGGACAGAGAGAGTCAACTCAGAGGTAGGGAACAAGGAGAGTCAACAGAGAATCAACTCAGAGGGTAGGAACAGAGAGAGTCCACTCAGAGAGTTAGGACAGAGAGAGTCAACTCAAGAGGTAGGGACATAGAGAGTCAACTCAGAGAGAGGTACAGGAGTCAACTCAGAGGGTAGGAGACTGGAAGATGTGCTAACCAGAGGAGGTAGAGACGAGAGAGTCAACTCAGAGGGTAGGGCAAGAGAGTCAACAGAAGAGAGGTCAACTCAGAGAGGTAGGGACAGAGAGAGTCACTCAGAGAGGTTAGGGGACAGAGAGAGTCAACTCAGAGGGTAGGGGACAGAGAGAGTCAACTCAGAGAGTAGGGGACAGAAGAGAGGTACGGACAGAGAGAGTCAACTCAGAGAGGTTAGGAGACGAGAGAGAGTCAAACCAGAGAGGGTAGGGACAGAGAGAGTCAACTCAGAGGGGTAGGGGACAGAGAGAGTCAACAGAGGAGTCAACTCAGGGGTAGGGAACAGAGAGAGAGTCACTCAGGGTAGGACAGAGAGTCAACTCAGAGGGGTAGGGAACAGAGTAAGAGAGTCAACTCAGAGGGGTAGGGACAGAGAGATCTACAGAGATCACTCAGAGGGGTAGGGGACAGAGAGAGTCAACTCAGAGGTAGGGACAGAGGAGTCAACTCAGAGAGGTAGGGGACAGAAGTCAGAGAGAGTCAACTCGAGAGGGTAGGGACAGAGAGAGAGAGTCAACTCAGAGGGTAGGGACAGAGAGAGTCAACTCAGAGAGGTAGGGGACAGAGAGAGTCAACCAGAGGTAGGACAGGGAGTCAACTCAGAGGGTAGGGAACAGAGAGAGGTCAACATCACGAGGGTAGGGAACAGAGAGAGTCAACTCAGAGGGGTAGGGACAGAGAGAGTCAACTCAGGGGGTAGGGAACAGAGAGAGTAACAGAGAGTCCAACTCAGAGGGGTAGGGAACAGAGAGAGTCAACTCAGAGGGGTAGGGACAGAGAGAGTCAACTCAGAGGGGTAGGGAACAGAGAGAGTCAACAGAGAGTCAACTCAGAGGGGTAGGGAACAGAGAGAGTCAACTCAGAGTAGCAGATACGAGGTAGGGACAGAGAGAGTCAATCAGAGAGTAGGGAGCAGAGAGAGTCAACTCAGAGAGGTAGGGACAGAGAGAGTCAACAGAGAGAGTCAACTCAGAGGGGTAGGGAACAGAGAGAGTCAACTCAGAGGGTAGGGACAGAGAGAGTCAACTCAGAGGGGTAGGGGACAGAGAGAGTCAACTCAGAGGGGTAGGGAACAGAGAGAGTCAACAGAGAGTCAACTCAGAGGGGTAGGGAACAGAGGAGAGTCAACTCAGAGGGTAGGGACAGAGAGAGTCAACTCAGAGAGTTAGGGGACAGAGAGAGTCAACTCAGAGAGGTAGGGACAGAGAGTCACAGAGAGTCAACTCAGAGTAGGAAAGTTAGGGAGAAGAGAGTCAACTCAGAGGGTAGGGACAGAGAAGTCAACTCAGAGAGGTAGGAGAGGGAGAGAGAGTCAACTCAGAGAGGTAGGGACAGAGAGAGTCAACTCAGAGGGTAGGGGACGGAAGCAACTAGAGAGTAGGACAGAGAGAGTCAACTCAGAGGGGTAGGGAACAGAGAAGAGAGTCAACTCAGAGGGGTAGGGACAGAGAGAGTCAACTCAGAGGGTAGGGACAGAGAGAGTCAACTCAGAGAGGTAGGAGATGGAGAGAGAGTAAACAGAGAGAGGTAGGAGACGGAGAGAGTCAACTCAGAGAGGTAGGGGACAGAGAGAGTCAACTCAGAGAGGTAGGGGACAGAGAGAGTCAACTCAGAGAGGTAGGAGATGGAGAGAGAGTAAACAGAGAGAGGTAGGAGACGGAGAGAGTCAACTCAGAGGGGTAGGGGACAGAGAGAGTCAACAGAGAGAGTCAACTCAGAGGGGTAGGGAACAGAGAGAGAGTCAACTCAGAGGGGTAGGGGACAGAGAGAGTCAACTCAGAGGGGTAGGGAACAGAGAGAGTCAACTCAGAGGGGTAGGGAACAGAGAGAGTCAACTCAGAGAGGTAGGGGACAGAGAGAGTCAACTCAGAGAGGTAGGGGACAGAGAGAGTCAACAGAGAGAGTCAACTCAGAGGGGTAGGGAACAGAGAGAGAGTCAACTCAGAGGGGTAGGGAACAGAGAGAGTCAACTCAGAGGGGTAGGGGACAGAGAGAGTCAACTCAGAGGGGTAGGGAACAGAGAGAGTCAACAGAGAGTCAACTCAGAGAGGTAGGGGACAGAGAGAGTCAACTCAGAGAGGTAGGGGACAGAGAGAGTCAACTCAGAGAGGTAGGAGATGGAGAGAGAGTAAACAGAGAGAGGTAGGAGACGGAGAGAGTCAACTCAGAGGGGTAGGGGACAGAGAGAGTCAACAGAGAGAGTCAACTCAGAGGGGTAGGGAACAGAGAGAGAGTCAACTCAGAGGGGTAGGGAACAGAGAGAGTCAACAGAGAGAGTCAACTCAGAGGGGTAGGGAACAGAGAGAGTCAACAGAGAGAGTCAACTCAGGGGGGTAGGGAACAGAGAGAGAGTCAACTCAGAGGGGTAGGGAACAGAGAGAGTCAACTCAGAGGGGTAGGGGACAGAGAGAGTCAACTCAGAGGGGTAGGGAACAGAGAGAGTCAACAGAGAGTCAACTCAGAGGGGTAGGGAACAGAGAGAGTCAACTCAGAGAGGTAGGGGACAGAGAGAGTCAACTCAGAGGGGTAGGGGACAGAGAGAGTCAACAGAGAGAGTCAACTCAGAGGGGTAGGGAACAGAGAGAGAGTCAACTCAGAGGGGTAGGGAACAGAGAGAGTCAACTCAGAGGGGTAGGGGACAGAGAGAGTCAACTCAGAGGGGTAGGGAACAGAGAGAGTCAACAGAGAGTCAACTCAGAGGGGTAGGGAACAGAGAGAGTCAACTCAGAGGGGTAGGGAACAGAGAGAGTCAACAGAGAGAGTCAACTCAGAGGGGTAGGGAACAGAGAGAGTCAACTCAGAGAGGTAGGGGACAGAGAGAGTCAACTCAGAGGGGTAGGGGACAGAGAGAGTCAACAGAGAGAGTCAACTCAGAGGGGTAGGGAACAGAGAGAGAGTCAACTCAGAGGGGTAGGGAACAGAGAGAGTCAACTCAGAGGGGTAGGGGACAGAGAGAGTCAACTCAGAGGGGTAGGGAACAGAGAGAGTCAACAGAGAGTCAACTCAGAGGGGTAGGGAACAGAGAGAGTCAACTCAGAGGGGTAGGGAACAGAGAGAGTCAACAGAGAGAGTCAACTCAGAGGGGTAGGGAACAGAGAGAGTCAACTCAGAGAGGTAGGGGACAGAGAGAGTCAACTCAGAGGGGTAGGGGACAGAGAGAGTCAACTCAGAGGGGTAGGGGACAGAGAGAGTCAACAGAGAGAGTCAACTCAGAGGGGTAGGGAACAGAGAGAGAGTCAACTCAGAGGGGTAGGGAACAGAGAGAGTCAACTCAGAGGGGTAGGGGACAGAGAGAGTCAACTCAGAGGGGTAGGGAACAGAGAGAGTCAACAGAGAGTCAACTCAGAGGGGTAGGGAACAGAGAGAGTCAACTCAGAGAGGTAGGGGACAGAGAGAGTCAACTCAGAGGGGTAGGGGACAGAGAGAGTCAACTCAGAGAGGTAGGGGACAGAGAGAGTCAACTCAGAGGGGTAGGGGACAGAGAGACAGTCAACTCAGAGAGGTAGGGGACAGAGAGAGTCAACTCAGAGAGGTAGGGGACAGAGAGAGTCAACTCAGAGGGGTAGGGGACAGAGAGAGAGTCAACTCAGAGAGGTAGGGGACAGAGAGAGTCAACTCAGAGGGGTAGGGGACAGAGAGAGTCAACTCAGAGGGGTAGGGGACAGAGAGAGTCAACTCAGAGAGGTAGGGAACAGAGAGAGTCAACAGAGAGAGTCAACTCAGAGGGGTAGGGAACAGAGAGAGTCAACTCAGAGAGGTAGGGAACAGAGAGAGTCAACAGAGAGAGTCAACTCAGAGGGGTAGGGGACAGAGAGAGTCAACTCAGAGAGGTAGGGGACAGAGAGAGTCAACTCAGAGGGGTAGGGGACAGAGAGTATCACACATCTCACCCGTCTGCATCATTTTACTGTTCTGCCGTGAGCCTCAACCGGCTTTCTGTTTGTCATTCAGGTGCTACAGAATCTGGGCAAAGATAAGTTCTCCCCTCAGTCCTTTGAGCAGGTGGGCACGCGCATTGCCAAGGTCTTGGAGAAGGTACGTGTTTCTAGAGGTGGTACCTGCCTGTCAGGGTATTCTACAACCCTGTATCACTCAAATCACAGCATCTCACGGCAGTAGAAAGTTCAATAAAGTAATGCAGACAAATGAAAGTCTCTCCTCTCCTGAGCAGAACCAGACCTCCTGGGTGTTGTCTAGCATGTCTGCTCTCTACTGGAGGGTGAAGGGCCAGGGCAAGAGGGCCATCGACTGCCTGCGTCAAGCCCTACACTACGCCCCGCACCACATGAAGGTAAAACGGACTGAGACCTGCCCAATAATAACACAAACGTTTGTTTTCCCGTTGCAAAACGTTTTCCTACAGCGTGCACTGCTGAACATGACCCTGTGCTATAGTCTGCGTGATAACTCAGCATCTCTCTCCCTCTCAGGACGTACCTCTGATCAGCCTGGCCAACATCTTCCAGAACGCGCGGCTGTGGGACGACGCCCTGACCGTGGCCCGCATGGCCGTGGAGATCGCCCCGCACTTCGTCGTCAACCATTTCACCCTCGCCAACGTCTACATCGCCATGGTGAGCCCGCCACCATGGGAACGGACCAACATTGTTGTCATGTCCTGGCCATGAGTAGTCTGGTTTAGATCAGTAGTCTGGATTAGATCTGTAGTCTGGATTAGATCTGTAGTCTGGTTTAGATCTGTAGTCTGGATTAGTTCTGTAGTCTGGATTAGATCTATAGTCTGGATTAGATCTGTAGTCTGGATTAGATCTATAGTCTGGATTAGATCTGTAGTCTGGTTTAGATCTGTAGTCTGGTTTAGATCAGTAGTCTGGTTTAGATCTGTAGTCTGGTTTAGATCTGTAGTCTGGATTAGATCTGTAGTCTGGTTTAGATCTGTAGTCTGGATTAGTTCTGTAGTCTGGATTAGATCTATAGTCTGGATTAGATCTGTAGTCTGGTTTAGATCTGTAGTCTGGTTTAAATGCTTCATTCCCTTCAAGTGTCAGTGGTTGTGAAGCGGGTCATTTATGTTGGTGTTGTGTGTTGTGTGGAATCTTCTGCTGGTTGCGTGTCAGGTGGGTGTGTTGAAGAATGCTAATGCTGTGCTAATGGGTATGAGTTGTGTAAATACTGATCAGTTGTATTTATTGTTCTTTGTTCACTGTGTGTGTGTGTGTGTGTCCCCTTATACAGGAGGAGTTTGAGAAGGCCATGCGCTGGTATGAGTCCACTCTGAGGCTGCAGCCGGAGTTTGCCCCTGCCAAAGACCGCCTGAGAACCATCCAGTGTTACCTGCTAACCAAGAAGGACCGCCACCTGCCCTAAGACGACTCCACATGAGAAGCCCTCGGAACACACACACACCACACACACATACAAAAACAGAACTTACAGTAGTCACGCACAAGAAAGCGTTTGTTCAATGTTTTGTTTAAAGTCAATGCCATATCATTTATGTCCTAAGGAGTTGAGGGATTCTGTTAGCTGTGACCTCAGACTCTGGTCGCAGAGTGTAAAACCAACCTCTCTCATTCCCTAAACATTCACTAAATGACCCATGTTACCTTTTGAAGAAGCCCTCCACCTGAACAGTTCTCAATTCTATTACATGAGGGAGCTTTGGGATATATCCCATCACTCAGCTTCCCTGGCCCGTAGACTACAATATATAGAGCCCAGCATAGGGGATATATCCCATCACTCAGCTTCCCTGGCCCGTAGACTACAATATATAGAGCCCAGCATAGGGGATATATCCCATCACTCAGCTTCCCTGGCCCGTAGACTACAATATATAGAGCCCAGCATAGGGGATATATCCCATCACTCAGCTTCCCTGGCCCGTAGACTACAATATATAGAGCCCAGCATAGGGGATATATCCCATCACTCAGCTTCCCTGGCCCGTAGACTACAATATATAGAGCCCAGCATAGGGGATATATCCCATCACTCAGCTTCCCTGGCCCGTAGACTACAATATATAGAGCCCAACATAGGGGATATATCCCATCACTCAGCTTCCCTGGCCCATAGACTACAATATATAGAGCCCAGCATAGGGGATATATCCCATCACTCAGCTTCCCTGGCCCATAGACTACAATATATAGAGCCCAACATAGGGGATATATCCCATCACTCAGCTTCCCTGGCCCATAGACTACAATATATAGAGCCCAGCATAGGGGATATATCCCATCACTCAGCTTCCCTGGCCCGTAGACTACAATATATAGAGCCCAGCATAGGGGATATATCCCATCACTCAGCTTCCCTGGCCCATAGACTACAATATATAGAGCCCAGCATAGGGGATATATCCCATCACTCAGCTTCCCTGGCCCGTAGACTACAATATATAGAGCCCAACATAGGGGATATATCCCATCACTCAGCTTCCCTGGCCCATAGACTACAATATATAGAGCCCAACATAGGGGATATATCCCATCACTCAGCTTCCCTGGCCCGTAGACTACAATATATAGAGCCCAGCATAGGGGATATATCCCATCACTCAGCTTCCCTGGCCCGTAGACTACAATATATAGAGCCCAACATAGGCTACTGTTCTTTGTTCTCTCTCCAGTGGAGTTTGACTAGGGAGGACAGACATGGCATTGTTTTATTTCATGAATTCATACACATCCTTCCCTCTGTCCTTCTTTCCTGAAGGTGTTCACTGAACTGCATTGAAACGATACGGTGTAACTGGAAACCTTGTGCCCAATTCAGTCAGATAGGTGAAATCTCCATGAGGGGGAGTATTGGAGGAAGGAAAGATGATTTTATTTGATGTGTTGGAACTGGGCCCCTACGTTTTCTTATTTTCTTCAAGGGCTGAGGGTCCTTTCATTTATATGAGGTGGTGAAACACAACAAAGGGAATAATTTATTTTGTTAGGAAGCAATCGAGAAGGACAATGCAGTAGTTGATTTACAAGACAGATATGATCCCATAGATGGTGCCGTTTTTTTATTTGTGGTTTTAATTGGGTGAACAGTTGTCATCACACAGTAATTTCTTACGATTTAAGAAATAGTTTGGTAAAGAGACATACATTGCTGCTGGTTTGTAACTTGCTAACTAAACGCAAGTGTACCGTGTTGTGGAATGGCCCATCTCAAAACGTTTTACAATTATGGCTGCTTAAAAAGATTAATATAGATTGTCTTGTTTCGCACATGTCTTTTATCATTCCTATTTCTGTGGGGACCTACAATGAATCAATTAAAATGTATTTTTCTGAAAGGAAAGTTAATGCATAGCAACAAAAAACAAACTTTAATGTGCTGTTTACATTTGCTCTTTTATGGAAAATTATTTGTCAGAGATTTTAAAAACGCTTGGCTTTTGACCATCTTTCAAACTCTAAATGGTTGTGTTCAGTGTACAGTATTAAGGCAGTGTGATGTATAAGTTGATCGGCTCATCATTTGAATGTATCCATTGTCTTCGTACAAACTTCAGACCTCTTTGGGAAATAAAAAGCAAAGATGTTTTGATGCCTTGAGACTTAAGTTGAATGGAGGTGGGTTTTGGATTGAGATTTCTGGGATCTTTGCTTCAGAGTGCATTTAAACTGAAACCTATGCCTGAGGCAGTGGTGTGGTGGGGAGAAATAATTCCGTAAATGGTTGACGGAGCCGTCTTTGCAACTCCTCTCATGGACAGTACAGCACAACCCTAGGTACACCCCAAACCACTACTCCCATTGAAAACGATTGGGTTGCTGTGTTTTTTAACGCATATTTTCGTCTGGTTTGAACTCACCCCAACTCCATTGAACATGTTATACTTGATAACTGTTTATGCACTGAGACAAAGTATTGCATAGCTCAGTTAGACTTGCGTAACACTACATCTGTTTTTGTCATATTCCTATAATTGCCTTTTTTTTTTTAATGCTGCACTTGTGGCTCTATGATCATATTCCAAATGAATGGCGTATTTCACCCTGCTTTTGGCCTGAGGAAATTGATAGGGGTTCTTTAGTACTATAGTAGGTGCAGATTGGTGCTGTCCAGGTGTTTCCCCCAACCAGGACATGTTGCTAAAAACCAAATGCGACAGTGAGTGTGTTCACAGAACTAACACGATTACTTACAGGACAGTCTCCACAGTTACCTTCCTGATACAATGGATCTTATTTACATTTACATTTTAGTCATTTAGCAGACGCTCTTATCCAGAGCCACTTACAGTTAGTGAGTGCATACATTTTTCATACTTATGGATCTTATGGATCAGAAATGACAGGATTGGTAGCCTCAAGCATCACCCAAATGGGAAAGTAGAAGGCACTGCCATATCAAGGGTAGAAGGTGGTGTAACTATATCAGGTTGGGAACTAACACACTGAGGTGTTGTTAACCCACTCATATACTGTTCAGTCATCATCAACGACCCGTTGGCCTACATGGGCTGGGGCTTGCATGGGCTGGGGCTGCAATTCTGCAGAGACCATGTGTTTTGTCTGCAAGTGCTGGAAATAGTGCAGGCACATTGCGGCCTGCTATTTTTAGCAGCCTGTGTGGGAACGTGTCAGTCGCAGAGAGGCTGGCACACAGGCACGGATATAAATATTAAGTAAACACAGACGAGGAGGCAAAATTGCACAGTTGCATGTTTTGTGTGGTTCAGCGCCTTGGAGAGCGACCGCATCGCTAACGGCTGTTAGCCTATCATTGGTACCTCTATATTACTGTCTTCAGAACCGCCCCCTTTTACAATGTTTCTCAATTAATCATTTGACTCTGGTGGTATTTCTGAACCATCATGTCTTGGGTACAGTGTATAAATAACTTGTGTGCAACAAAGCGTGTGTGAATTTGTCAGGGGGGCGCGAGGAGGACTGGGATCCCAGTTATGTAATAGGCATGTGATGTGAGTGACCAGCACCACACACTAACACACACACACACTAACACTAGCACTAACACACACACACACTAACACACACACACTAGCACACACACAGTAACACACACACTAACAAACACACACACACACTAACACACACACTGCATTGAATGGGGCTGTGCAACACTCTGCACCCATTGAGGCTAAGAGTGAGATCAGCCAATGGGAGGGGTAGTAGACAGGCCTATGGGTAGCTGTATTCTGCTGTGTAAGACATTAGATTATATAACTTTGTTGAAATAAGTAACAATAACAAATAGAAACAGAAACAAACATCTAGCAGAGGTTTGACATGTCTACAGACTACTTGGATTCACAGAGTATCTGGTAGGTTACCTGTGGTGTCTGTATATGTCTATTTAGATAAGAGGACAGGAGTATCTGGTAGGTTACCTGTGGTGTCTGTATATGTCTATTTAGATAAGAGGACAGGAGTATCTGGTAGGTTACCTGTGGTGTCTGTATATGTCTATTTAGATAAGAGGACAGGAGTATCTGGTAGGTTACCTGTGGTGTCTTTATATGTCTATTTAGATAAGAGGACAGGAGTATCTGGTAGGTTACCTGTGGTGTCTGTATATGTATATTTAGATAAGAGGACAGGAGTATCTGATAGGTTACCTGTGGTGTCTGTATATGTCTATTTAGATAAGAGGACAGGAGTATCTGGTAGGTTACCTGTGGTGTCTGTATATGTCTATTTAGATAAGAGGACAGGAGTATCTGGTAGGTTACCTGTGGTGTCTGTATATGTCTATTTAGATAAGAGGACAGGAGTATCTGGTAGGTTACCTGTGGTGTCTGTATATATCTATTTAGATAAGAGGATAGGAGTATCTGGTAGGTTACCTGTGGTGTCTGTATATGTCTATTTAGATAAGAGGATAGGAGTATCTGATAGGTTACCTGTGGTGTCTGTATATATCTATTTAGATAAGAGGATAGGAGTATCTGGTAGGTTACCTGTGGTGTCTGTATATGTCTATTTAGATAAGAGGACAGGAGTATCTGGTAGGTTACCTGTGGTGTCTGTATATATCTATTTAGATAAGAGGACAGGAGTATCTGATAGGTTACCTGTGGTGTCTGTATATGTCTATTTAGATAAGAGGACAGGAGTATCTGGTAGGTTACCTGTGGTGTCTGTATATATCTATTTAGATAAGAGGATAGGAGTATCTGATAGGTTACCTGTGGTGTCTGTATATGTCTATTTAGATAAGAGGACAGGAGTATCTGGTAGGTTACCTGTGGTGTCTGTATATGTCTATTTAGATAAGAGGACAGGAGTATCTGGTAGGTTACCTGTGGTGTCTGTATATATCTATTTAGATAAGAGGACAGGAGTATCTGGTCGGTTACCTGTGGTGTCTGTATATGTCTATTTAGATAAGAGGACAGGAGTATCTGGTAGGTTACCTGCGGTGTCTGTATATGTCTATTTAGATAAGAGGACAGGA